AAACAAACTTGTATATTCAGGCAAGCTACCAGCTCCGGACACCACGGCCTCCCACAGCCGGGCACCGTCCAAGTGAACCTTGATGTCATTAGCATGAGCCCACTCCACAATGCGCTTCACCTCAGCGAGCGGCATAATCATCCCATCCAGGGTATTCTCCAAACTGATCAATTTGGTCGGACAATAATGGATATTATCACCCAGCACAGCATGCTTCTTAATATCTTCCAACGTCAAATGTACACCATTTTTGGGAATAACAGGGGTCATGGTGGCTCCAGTCCAAGCGCTCACACCACCAGCCTCATAGCAAATGATGTGTGATCTATGATCGCACAACACTGAATGGGGTGGCTGCGCGAGATGCGAACGAATGGCCACCTGGTTTCCCATTGTCCCGGAAAGGACCAACAAACTATCCTCATGCTTGGTAATCTCGGCGACATAGCTTTGCAGCTCGTTGGTAACTGGATCCTCCTCGAACACATCATCAAGAAGAGTTGTTTGGCAGATCGCTTCGAGCATCGATGGTGTAGGCTTCGTCATTGTATCGCCTGGCTCAGATTAGCTTCAATTCCGTCATTCCCTTTCCCGGTCGAGTCATACTTCGAAGGTCGAACTCGGCAGCTCCAGCCCCATGCCAGGCTGTGGGCTTCTTCTCGGTGGTGCCAGCGACTGCCGAGGCACGAGTCAGGGCATCAGTAGAGAGTTGTGCCATGGCAACTGGAAGGATTATTTTTCGTCCGCGTGGGGCTATTACTCGAAGTGCCGAGGAAGGCCGACAGACCGGATGCAACAAGCGATTCATGGATGAGTTTTGCGACAGCAAGCGCAGATAACTCGAGGAAATTGGGGAAAGAGGGGGGCGACACGTGATCCGGGGACAGAAAGGATGCTACCATTGTGGAACCGGGCAATATAGATATCGCCGATGTGTAGCAGATCATATTGGTTATCGGGGGATAAGCCACACAATTTATCCCAGTCCAGGTCCACAACCTAAAAGTCGTGTTTCACCTATCAGAAATGTATACATAACCTGTAACTCGCGGCCTCCGCGGCTATGACGCCACTGCAAGTACCCCTTATCGATAACCAAATTCAGACTAGTGCGGCCAACGGACGGCCTCGACCGCTGAGTCAGCTTTGGCTGGCCGCGGGCGGGCCATGCGCTTCAGTGGTTCAAGCCCGCACAATCTTACGGACTCTCTAACTACTCACACTGGTCGCGCAAAGATGGATCTTTCCCATCTCACACGGCCTGGCATTTTGTGTCAGTGTGCTCGGTGCTCCAGCTCGCTGGCTGCACTAGAGAATGAGTGGGCCAAACTATCTAATGCCTACTCAATCCCAACGGCATGGCTCAGTGTCGACCTCCATCGCATCGCCGTTTCTTCAGAGCGGAAGCAAATCCCTCAAACATCTGATATGACACTTTTACGTGGCCGTGTTATCCAAGAAGTGTCATGTAAACTCTGTCAGCAACGGATGGGAGTACTTTGTCCACTTGACAACGGGTAAGTCGCTGTGGACCAAGACTGGCGCTTCCCACTGCTAATCTGCTCTTAGGATGAATATTCTATGGAAAATGTCGAAAGTTGCCTTTAGGGAGATTGTTACCATGCGAACGGTAGAGCCCGTCTTCAAACAGGGGGCCCTTGAACGACTGATTTGTCCCCCAAAAGAACCTCCGCGCCGAAACCCCGACCCCGTCCAGGGCAGCGCTCTAGTGCCAGCTGGCTGCACAGACACCACCATCCTCGATCCCTCTATGCAAAAACAGATGCTCCACCAGGGCAGAAGCATTGATCAGATCTCCAACTCAGTGAACAACCTTCAAGACACAATGTCAGATCTCAAACATTCATTTACAGCACTTCGAATTGAGTTGAATGGACCGGGTCGAAATCTGGGTGAAGGCTCCATACTGCAGGGACAAGACTTTGACATGATTGCTATGGTTCTGAAGGAGCTAAAGTCCAAGTCTGACGAAATCGAGAAACTGAAGTTGGAGATTGAGGCGCTGAAACTGAAGAATCGCTACATGGGAGTGGCCCTGCCACAGCAGCAGGAATCATTGGCGGTAATCAACATGAACGCTGCGCTCCCCGAAGTTCGGAGCCCCGGTTTGCTTCAAGCGGGCCGGAAACGTAACTGGCCTGAAGCATTCCCAGGCGATCGCAGTCAGGCAATCGCGGACTCGTTCGACGAAGACGATATGATGGACGAAATATCGCTATCAGATCCGCCGATGTATAGCTCTCGCGTTCCTCTCAATGACGAACGTCAGGCTACAATTACCAATGGGCCCCCGGCACAAGAGCAACCGAGGTCCCTGGAGGTGCATATGCATCCTCGAGAGCCCCAAAGCACCTCTAACTCCCTTCAATGCCAACCCTATACCCTACAGCAAACCATAGCTAAGCGCCCACGTCTGGGTGCGCCGATTGAAGATAGCCCCCACACAGCCCCTCCAGAGTCCCAAGCTGTTCCTCAGAAAAGACCGCCTGGCAGGCCGAGGAAATCGATCAGCCGACCCATCATCCCCGATTCCACCGAATCACCCAGTACCGCTCCTTCTAGCACCCAAGGGGATGTCGAATCAAACGGCCAGCAAAACATAGTGCGACGTCGCACGTCTCGTCGTAGCTTGCGTGCACAATCCCTCGGTCCAAATATCAACCAAGAACTTGTGCAAGACGACCAGCAGAAGTCACAAGAATTGACCAGACCCCCTTTAGAAACTCACACAGCGCCCAACAAAAAGAGCAAGCGAAATACTGGTTCCCCCAATGGGAAACGAACTGGTGATCCACACGATGATGGAGATGAGGCCGCTATGAATGAGAAGCGGAAAGCTAAGGTCGCGGCGCGGGACGTCATGGCCAAAATGGCTTTACAGCACGAGGAGGCCTTGGAGGCCGAGAATGCACGATAAATTGTCGGCGATTATCATTCACATGTACAATACACAATACACAAGACATAACTGTATTATGACCAAAACCCCAGCTACAAATGATTGGTAGGTGCGAGTAGTTCCTAGCCAATCTCGTCGATCCCTGTTTCAGTCTGTCAAGCTCACTCATAGTGGGTGGCATGAAGCGTGAGGGGAAAGCATCATATACGAGTTAAATGCTCCATTTCCCCTCCTTTCATATAGTTGGCAGATGGATTTAAGGTTGTACATGTCCCGACTGATGTGACGGCCGACAAGGATTGGACTGCTACAGTGCAACTGGTCATAAAACATTAACTCAGACGGAGCATCAGATAGCCCAATCTAAGAACGAATCTCCTCAAGCGCAACGTAGATGCATTTTTGCTACTGCACAAGGCCATTTACACTATTATCGCCATAAGGAAAAATCACATATATCGGTAGAGTAATTGGAAATTGGATTCCCAAGTTATGAGGGAATATATCCTAACGCACTATCATATCTCATTAAAAATCATTATTTTTACTCCACAATGTCCACAAACACTGTATGAGTTGCTAGCGAGTCGAGATGAAGTTCTGCGAATCAGACTCTTGTTGACTGAATGACTGAGGGAATGCTGCGATGCCACCAACGATGCCAATGGCCATAAAGGCAAGGGAGATGAGAGACCAGATGACTCCCCAGCACTGGGAAGATCCACCATACCTCTTCGCGAAGACGCTGGCATCAGAGCTGTTTACTTTGCGAAGGATGAGATCGTCGCACTAGAGGACAGGTTATTAGCAACATAAATCAAGAGAGTGTAACTGGTACTTACAATATCCCAAACACTGTACAAAGCAGACATGACACCAATAAACAGCTGCAGAGCAATGTGAATTAGTATAAGTCGACAACGGAGGGAATCGAAATGTCAAACATACCACGACCCAGCGCAAGGCCTCACCATGGACAATGAACCAGCATGCCACCAACAACCCGACTGCAAGAAGAACAGTCATGATAGTCAACCAGTCTCTCCGTGCCCACCAAAGGGTGAGCAGAAAGCAGACACCAAGGATGATGCTGGCAACCTTGCTGGCGACGATATTAAATCCAGCGAAGATCAATAGAGCGCCGATGATTGATGATCCCAAGTACCCAGCAGGCAGAGTGATAGCACTCATACCGCCTTGCATGACAGTGACACCACCTTCATGTGGATCCAACGAGATAGACTTGACTTTTCCACCGGTACAGCAGGCAGTAATCGCATGGCCGAATTCATGGAACGCAATTACTAGCATCTATCAAGGGGTTAACCACAGGTTGTCAATATAGGGCTACTGGTATTTACCTTGAAGGGCCATAGTACCCAACGGACATATGGTAGATTCCATAGAAGTGCAATGATAACAACATATGCTGCCATCACCCCTAAAGTGACAGCCTGAGTGTGATTGACACTCAAGCCACGCCGGGCCAGTTGGTGCGGGGCCGTTTCCACCGCGCTTTGGGCTAGCGCTGCATATAGGGCTGGCATGGTGTGCGATAAACAGGGTCGGAAAATCGAAGTATGGAAAAATGCAAACTTGCGAAATGACCGAGAAAGTGCAAGTGGGGTTTATTTAAACTCTTAAAGAGGTCATCCACGCGTCCCTATAGGGACGCGCATGCCACTTGTTGTTTTTCGTGGCGCAGGTGGCTGATCTGCCGTGGCTATTTTTAGTGGCTTGGCCCGCTTGGCCTTTTAGGCTGAAGTGTTTGATTCTCTTTCATACTACCCTCTATCAAAACATTGTTATTTACAGATAAATGCAGAGCTTCGGAATAATCTGTAATGTGTGATTCTTATAAGAGATAAAATCATCTAAAAATGTAATGTGGGGATTGCACCTGCCAACTGGCTGGGGTTATATATATATAGTGAAGATGTGAGGAAGCTGCATTTCATACACTATGGAAGCAAACACCTTGCATCCTTAACTGGTCTTTATCACTTCACTCACCATTCAATCTCAATCACTAGTACATCTCAATCTTACATCAAATAAAGGACCGATTGAGTTCTTTGGGATGTACAAGATTAAGATGGTGGTTAACAATGGTAAATCTTCAACGGCAGCCACATGCAGCGTAGCATCGAGATCAACTTCGAGAGGAAGTACGCGAGCCTCCACTTGCAGAGAAAAGTTGGGAAAAGCTTAGCGAGACTTCAGATGTTCTGTTCTCAATCGCCCGGGCCCAATATGATGGGGTTCCTATGCGGAATCCTCCCTGCTTGTCCGGCCTCCGCTGCAGCACGATCTTTATGTATATGTTGGCCAAATACACATCGCGATGGCCATTTTACAGAGTGGCTGCAATGCTTTGTAATCCCCGGCACTGGAGCCTGGTCAATGAGGTCGTGAACCCAAGCAAAGACCGCAAACTCACTGAGATTGCTTCCCGCCACGGGATTGATCAAACGGACTTTGAGCGAGTAAGCCGCCAGCTCAGGCGGCTTTGGCCTCTATTTTTATGAATACCACATTATTATGTTGGCTTATGTCGGCATGGTACACAATGCGATTATGTGACATACTCTGCATGTTGATTCACTTCCTTTGTTTCCTTTTTACTTCTCAATAGTAGGTTCATGATTGAATTCTCCAAAGAAATAGTCTGTATGATCAAGTAGGACGCCTCTTCCCCTTGAAGATCAAGTTTAGTCAGCCCCTGTTCCTCCTGACCTGTTACCTTCAGAATTCAAGATGCAACCTTTTAGAATGATGCACTCTAATGCCCGTCCCCACCTCATCAAACCGCAATCCACCCGATCTGGGCCTTCCAATTGTGCAAAACAAGTCATTATTGGTCTGTATGGCCTCCCTGGCGCCGGGAAGATCTTTTGGCTGGGCAATCTCCAGACAGCACTGGGCAACGATGACTTTAGGTTCTACGATGGCAGTGATGCCATCGCGGCGGTAACTCCCGGGGGCGATGAGATATTGACCAATATCAATCGTCTGGAAACTGTCATTATGTTGGACGCCGACAAAACATTGGCTCAGGAAGATAGGAGTGCTCATCTGGGAGCATGTCCGCGCTGCCTCAGACGAGGGGGTGTGTAGCAGCCCTCTGAAGATTTTGTTTAGCAGTCCCCTGGGATATTCGTATACTGCTTTCCGCGAGGTAAAACTGTTGTATGAAGAGGCACTTGGGGATGTGGAATTTGAGGCTTGCTGCCAGACTGTAGCATCATTGATACACATTCATAGTGATATTAAGCAGCTCTTGCAGGTGGTTGGCAGCACCAGCTATGTCCAGGCAGTCGCCGTTACCTGCGGAATCCGATCTGCTCGGGAGAAGGTCCTTGAAAGAGAGGGTCTTTCGCTAACAGTCAAAGTAATTGGTGATGGCTGGCTGCGCAACGGCCTTCTTGTGACGCACTCTCTCAAGGCTGAATTGGTCAGTCACCTGTATACTGTTCAGGGGCTTCATATCATTGCATTTGGGGATAGTTCCCTCGATCTGGAGATGCTGAAAGAGGCACATGATGCTATCGTCGTCACCGGGGAAGAGATGACACGAAGCAAGAGTATGGAAAAAGCGTTGGTAGAGGCTATTGGAAAGAATGGGTTCCAGCCGCGTCAGGCGGTCCTACCGCAACACGTAACACCACGTCTCGATACCATTCGGCTGCCCTCTGTGCGGTTGATAGATCAGCATTTCATTGATTCAGTCCTCGCAAGATACAAACGTCCGTATGTCTATAACCCCGCTGGACGTTTGGCCAAGCTGCTCATGACACCAATGCGCAATGCATCTATTTCAGGACCTGCCTTACGAGAGGTTCATCGGAGACTCGGATACTATTTGGCGGCAGAATTCTGTACCCACATCATTGGCCTTGAAGTTTACCCCATTCCGCATGTTCAAGGTTTTCTGACTGATGGTTATCGACTCGTGAATGAGGAAGAAACATTGATTGTGCCGCTCATGCGTGGTGGGGAGGCAATGGCCTTCGGGGTCAATCAGGCCTTCCCGCTCTGCGTGTTTCACCACGCGAAGGTTCCCAATGGCCTCCATCAAGACCACCTGAGGAATATGGTCACAATCATACTGGTTGACTTTGTGGTGAATACTGGCAAATCAGTACTGGAATTGATACGACATATCCGAAGTCTCCATGCGACCATTCCCATTGTGGTGGTTGCTGGGGTGATAGCGGATTCCACGAGTAGAATTGCTTGGTCCCTCGGTTGATTTACCGGACTGCACTTTGTCGCCCTTCGTTTTTCGAAGAACTAATTCATCGGCAGAGGGGTGACTGATACTGGTAATAGGTTGCTCAACACAGTGCATATGGATTGATCAGATTGCTTTCGACGGCAAGTGTCATCTCGGTGGTTTCTCATGGGTGAAAGTGACCATCGAATCCTTGTCTTCACCTTTCGAATTGTCTAGGGTTCAAAATTCCCAAATGAAATGAGAGTTGTGTTCAATCTTCAAAGTCCATGTCTTGATTTGGAGTGTATAACTGCCTAGGGCCCGAGTCGCTAAGTGACTGACAAGATCCATTTTAAATACAATAAATACAGTAGATCCCTGAAAATTGGAAGAAGTAGTTTCAAAATCTCCAATGAAAAAGGTATGTTGTTACTACCTGCCAGTACTACTAAACCCCGCATTTCGGGGATTGGGATCAACTTCACCATTGCCCCTTGGGTCTACAAAGTGAGATTCACGTAAATGCGGGGAGAACTTGTCTCCTACCAACACTCCATCACCATGCTCTGCGTGCTCCCACTCCTAGTAGCACTTGCAGGCGATACATACTCCCTGGTAACTACGGAGACGAAGACAGATACAACCTACCACAGCAATGCCGGTGTTCTCAAATATGTTAACCCCCTCATCGGCACCTATGGAACAACACCAGATGGCAATGGCGGCATGATTCCATCGGTCAGCCCTCCCTTCGGTATGACCCGGTGGACACCGCAGACCCGCGAGAACTTCATCTCGCAAGTGCCCTACGGTGACAGCGACCGTCTGATCCATGGATTCCAGGCCACGCACCAACCCGCTATTTGGATGGGCGAGGCGGGTCAGGTTGTACTGACACCGGGGATTGGCGAAGTGCAGCCGCTATTTCAGAACCGAGGCTTGCAGTTCCGGAAGAAGGATGAGAGGAGTACGCCATATGTTTATGAGGTCCTTGTTGATGCTGCTCAGCTCTTGGACCGTGACTGGAATGCCACAGCTGAGGCTGCAGGTGACGGGCCTGTTCCCGGTGGTGCGGGCTCCGTGCCGGATGAGGTGAAGGAAGGTGCGAATGGACGGACGCGAAAACGGCAGATTGAGTCTGTGCTTCGTAGCACAGATAGTGATGAATATGAGCGGTCAATTCAGGTATATATTCGTTTTTTTTCATCCTCGGCACGAATTCTTTCTGATAGTTTTCAGGTTTCCATGTCTGCAGATTCTCATGTAGGCCATCTTCGATTCGACTTCCAACACAGCTTTACCAAATTGAATGATGAAGAAGAACCGTGGGTGTTTATTCAAGCATCGCGTCGGAACTGGACAGGCGAAGTCCATATTGACGTGAACAGTCGGGAGGTCTATGGCTATAACACCGAGCGTCAGGATTACCTCCTTGGGCCGGACAAAGCACCATCGTTCAAAGGATATTTTGTATCTCGGTTTTCCGAGCCGTTTACTAAATTTGGTGTGGCAAATGGAGGCTCGATTACAAAGGATAAGATCCACCGACATGGGAATTCCACTGGTGCATATGTGAAATTTTCTAACTCGACATCCCGTGTCGAAGTGCGGACTGGTGTTTCCTACATCAGCATCTCCCAGGCACGGAAGAACCTTGAGATCCAGGCTCCAGATGAGCACACCTTTGAAGATACTGTTGAAAAGGTGAAGTCGGCCTGGCTTGAGAAGCTGGGCAGGGTATCCATCGAGGGCATCAACAAGACCCATCCGGATAACGACCCCCGCACTATTTGGTATACTGGTCTGTTTCATGCACTCCAGTATCCAAGTGACTTTTCCGAGCCAACATCAAAGAAGGATGGTGCACCGCGTATTTTCTACTCGGGCTACACTGACAGTGTTCACACCGAGAACGACTCATACTACCAGTCCTGGTCAATTTGGGATACATACAGAGCCGAGCACTCGCTCTTGACCATTTTCGCGCCGGAACGGGTCAACGGCATGATGCGCTCCTTGCTACGCATTTTCGATTGGTCCGGTTGGTTGCCGATGTGGGCCAACCTGGTCGAGACGAATATTATGATCGCGACAAATGCAGATGTCATCCTTGCCAATGCTCTGGAGCGAGGATTTAGGGGCTTTGATATTGGCAAGGCTTGGCAAGCAGTCAAGAAGGATGCATACACCCCGCCTGATCACGATACCGATACCCTGTACTATGATCGTGAGCCGGGCACTTCATATGAGGCCCGTGCTGGACTCACATCATACATGAACCAAGGCTGGGTGTCTAATGATGGCTGGTCCGAGGCTGGTAGCCGCACATTGGACTACTCATTCAATGATTACGCCTGCTCGGTTGTTGCGGCGCACGCGGGAGAGAAAAACGCCACCGGGCAAGCCCTCAAGAAACGAAGCGGAAATTATGCGTATCTTTGGAACAACGAGACTCAGTTTATGCAAGCCCGAAACGCGAACGGGACGTGGGCTAATAATACCTTTGGATGGACCGAAGGCGATGACTGGGTCTACACGTTTGATGTGATGCATGATGTGAAAGGACTGGCTGACCTTTTTGGTGGTCGTGAATCCTTCCGGAATAAGTTGGATGCGCATTTCCACGGCGGTCACAATGATCATACCAACGAACCAAGTCACCATGTACCTTATTTGTATTCTGCTCTTGGCTATCCCAACCAAGCAGCTGAGATAATCAGGGACATTGCTTGGGAGAACTACAACACAACTAGTGGGGGACTCGGTGGAAATGAAGACTTGGGACAGATGAGTGCTTGGTATGTCTTCTCCGCGTTGGGGTTGTATCCTGTCAACCCTGCCAGTGACGAGTATGTCGTCGGGACACCATTCTTTGAGGAAGTGTCCATCCGTCTTCCTAGTGGAGCGAGAACTGGTGGAGCTGTCACCAATGGTAGAGAGAGGAGGCTTGAAATTAGCGCTCCGGGGGCAACCACGAAGCCATACATTGGTGGTTTGAAGGTTGATGGCAAACCTGTCAATGCCCCTATTTTGAAGCACAGTCAGATTGTGCATGCGGGAAGAATCGAGTTTGAAATGAGTTCTACACCTACCTCCTGGGGAAGTCGCCCCTTATGGGAAACCTGATACTAGGAGCGCGTCCAAAAGCACCAGGGAGATAAAGAGGAAATCAAGACTTGAGATCCCAACTGGAGGTAGCGATCACTAGTTTTGACAATTGAAAGGTCGCTTCGTATTCAAATTGTTCATGGGTGCGAATCTGTTAGTCGAGTACTTTTTTCCAAGGTCCATTTCCCGCGTTCATCCATCGACTTCCTGCTCCGTTGGGATTAATCAATCGCCACATATTCCCTGCTAGTTTGATCCTTCAGCATACCCATGTCGATTTTGCATTTTATTCAAATGTATAATTGGCTCTGACGATCATTTCCGGAACCCCTCATTGATCTTGCATCACCTCATTCGCATGATCTGTTGCAAACTATTGCGCCATAGTACATGCCGTCTCCCAACTGAACACATAATTCCTTGGCCATTGATAAAGTTCTACCCCATCAGCTTTCTAACTGGCTGCGAATTTATTCCTCCGTTTTCTCGTTGCAACCTCGCGATAACATTTAACTATATCCGCTGGAAGCTACCATGCACGATACCCAACAAGGATTAGACCGCGCATCAGGGCAACACCAACTGAAGCTAGAATTTAACATAAAACGCCACAAGGGCCAAAATTCCTGTCGGTCTTTCGGTCTTATCGTGTTATTATAGTTTCTGGGCAGATGATGCCTGCCGCTCCCCTGACCGCGCCCCAGTTATTATGGGGGGCCCAAGTTCAACAAGAGTATATATACGTCCCACGTCTCGCCATGTGTTCCACGAAGATCCCAGTTCTCCTCCACGTTCTTCCGGTCTACAAATATGGGTATTCCCTCTCCCGTACGGGAACATACAGAGCAGCTCCCCCAATATGACAGCAGCGATAGTGATAGTCTCCAATTTACCACCGAAATCGGTGGGAACACATCCAAGGCCACATACCAGGAGGCATCAGGAGCGCCCGTGGAGGTCAATTCCCCGCTGGGGTATTCGGTCGGCTGGGTTACTGTGATTTTCTTGAATTTGAGTAAAATGATTGGAACGGGAGTGTTCTCAACGCGTACGTACAACTCAACAGTGACTGGGTTGTCGGAATATATGCTTACATACAGCAGCATCGACTGTCCTCAAAGGTGCCGGCTCTGTTGGTCTTACATTGTTCTATTGGGTGATAGGTTATTTGATGGCATCTAGCTCTCTATCGGTCTACATGGAATTCGCATCGTCCTTCCCCAGTCGGTCTGGTTCGGAGGTTGTTTACTTGGAACAGTCGTACCCCCGACCCAAGTACTTCTTCCCTACTGTCTTTGCAATGCAGACGGTACTTTTCTCATTTAGCAGTAGTAATGCTGTTGGTATGATTGCATTTCTGGTGAAGGATGAAGTAACGATATACTGACCTTATCTAGTACTGTCCCAGTACCTCTTCAAACTTGCGGATTCGGAGGCTACTCCGTGGAAGTTGAAGGGAGTCGCTGTAGCTTGCTATAGCGTTGCAGTACTTGGTGAGTGATAATTCTTATTTGTATGTGATACGTGCTAATGATCTCGGCACAGTTCTTGCGTTTCACACCAGATGGTCTTTGAGACTGGCAAATGTCATCGGATTGGTCAAGCTATTGACATTGATATTGTACGTGCTTACTCGCAATGTACTTGTGAGACAGATATATTTAACTGGCAGAGCTGACCGAACTTAGCATCGGGATAACCGGCTTGGTGGTTCTCGGAGGTCATACCTCAGTGAAAGACCCCAAGGCAAATTTTAGAAATGCCTTTGAAGGTACTAGCGGTGCCACGGCCTACGGAGCAACTAATGCCTTGACCAAGGTTTGGTTCTCCTTTGCGGGCTATGAGAATGCTTTCAATGTTGTCAATGAAGTCCGGGTATGTCTTTCACATCATATTTTGCCGACCTTTTGGTCTAACTCGCATTAGAATCCTACCAAAACCTTGAAGTGGAGTGCTCCACTCTCATTGGGAGTTACGGCAATTCTATATGTCCTGGCCAACATTGCGTATTTTAGCGCTGCGAGCAAGGAGGAAATTCTAAACTCGAAAGTCGTTGCGGCTGGTGTCTTTTTTGAGAAGGTATTTGGAACTGGTGGTGCATCTAAGGCGTTGAATTTCCTTATCTGCATGAGTGCTTTTGGAAATCTCCTTGCTGTGCTCATTGGGCAGTCGCGTATGCTGAGGGAGTGTGGAAGGTCAGTGATGAAACACTTTGTATATTTTGGAAGTGACATTAACCCTTTGGATATAGACAAGGTGTTTTGCCTTTCACTTCATTTTGGACTTCCACGAGACCATTCGGAACACCTCTCGGTCCCTACTTTGTAAAATGGAGCTTAACCGTTATAATGATTCTGGGGCCGCCCGCTGGTGATGCATTCAGTTTCGGTACGTCCTCGTCTCCTTTCTGACCTGCTGTTTGATGACTGCATGGGAGCTAAAAAGACCGTCTGCTAATTTTGGAAAACAGTCGTGGACCTCGGAGTTTATGCATCAAGTTTCTTTGGTTCAATCCTCACAATTGGCCTGGTGGTCACTAGAATTCGTCGTGCACGCCTCAATCTCCCACCACCGGACTACCAAGCCTGGCACGTTACCGTGGCATTTGCAATTCTCTCGAATCTGTACATGGTTGTGATGCCGTGGTATCCGCCGAGTACTGGGGCCAATGGGGGCGATGTGAGCTTCTGGTATGCAACCTATTGCGCGGTTGCCCTTGGAATGTAAGTTGTTGCTGTCCTCACTCATCGTTGGTATATATCGCTGACTTGACCCACCAATACAGTATCGGGGTGTGTGGAGTTTACTATTATGTCTGGATCAAGCTCCTTCCTAAACTCCAAGGTTTCAAGTGGGAGCAAACCGTTCTCAAATTGGATGATGGTGCTCTGGCACATCGGCTTGTTAGGGTGCCTAAGAGGAATACCTGAGAGACATCACTAGGCGACTCTAACAACTGGTGCATATGATTAGTATCTTAGCGAACTACTCTGTAAATTGATATTATCACTATTCCAAGGCAATGTCACCCTATCTACGGCGTACGTATGCAAGTAAATATCATTTTAGCGTTAAAGACGTGATCTCAGCAACATTGTGTGGAGCCTGCCCCACTTCCCCTATGGCCGGGTATTCCGGGGCCGACCCGTTCCCTTTCCAGCCACATCAGGGACCTCGGCAATGCCAATATTTACCCACGACCTACTCCGTACAGATGAAAAGCTACCGGTATTGGTCTGGCCTATCGAGGGGCTGAGATTAATCCAATCCCCGTATTATATCTCATCAAGGCCCATCGTTGATAGGGCGCTCCACGATGAGCCGCCGGGCTATCGGCTCTGGAGCCTATTTCTCCGTGAGCGTTTGGTATCAACAACTAATGGTATGAAATTTGGGTGATCACTATTAGAAACTTGGATGGTATCGTATTGGATGGCTCAAATCTACAGCCTGCTGACCGATAACACTCGCTTTGGCTGAGATTTGTATCTCGCACCAGTGCTAGAACTAGCGTGGAGGTCTACATCCCCTTGCAAGAATCAAACTTTTACCCACATTTTGTCTGCAAAGATGTATAACGCTAGCCAAAGTCTCCGTTCTGTACGGGAAACCCGCGGTCTTCGTTGTTGATACGCCAAACACCAATCATTTGGATTGCAATTTGTCCGTCGGGAGAATAGCACCTTTATCCACTTCTAACTGTCACAGCAGCGGCCTGTGAGAATTCTCGATAAACAAAACCTCTAACTCTAGTTTTTCAAAACGCCCCAATCGCGCGGGTATATAGTTAGAAGCCCGTCATGCCTTCACAGGCCAAGGCCCACTAGGGCCTCCGGTTTTGACCCATTTCCGAGGCTCCTCGTAGCACACTTGGAGATAGTACATGTATTACTGGTTACGCAATACTGTACATGGTGGAGCAATAACCCCGATGTATTTACTCTGTGTTAATATTATGATTCCCGGTGTAGCCCCTGGGGCCAGTAATTGCCGTTTCCACTATAAGTCCAAGAAATATCTATATATTGAAGAAAAGCATTTGAATGGTCTTGCACATCTCGTCCTGAAACATGCCGAATCAGTTAAATTAGAGTTCCAACTGGTACCTCGTCAAGGAAATAGATTGCATACGGTGGCGACTGTCATTGGGCACCGATATAGACATTCTATACACGGCTTTCGGGACAGTTGCATTCCCGCGATCAGGAGTACAGTTACTTCAATGCGGCTCTCGCATATTGGCCATTACCATGGTTGCATTAGCATTCGGAATTCATGGGCGAATTTAATTGTGGATGATAAGACCGTGGTCAATAATGTCCTCGGCATTAATAAAAAGACCTAAAAGAAGGCCTTGCCAATTCTCGATCCCATGTCCAGTTTGCATGGATTCATGGAACTCGTTGCTAACGGCCAATGCTAGTGGCCATGACTCGACTACATTATAGAGCTTCATACTAGAAAAGAAATTGCTTATGGCGATCAAAATATGTTTGCCCACAGCTTAGTGTGAGCGTGATCGCATGTGCCAGGCACGAACACGGAGGACCTTCCCAAACTTGGCTTTGTTGATCCCACACTTTCTGATTTTACTTTTCTCACTTCTTCAGCCCTTTCCCATCTACCACACTACAACTCTCCAAACCATTCTACCGTGAGTTTTATCAATATATCTTGAGAAAGACTGTTTCACAGTAGCTAACATAGGGACTTGGACTAGGGACGCCTATCTCAACCTTACGAGAGAAGTCAAGACTCATCCACCGCCAAAATGCCAGCGACTGATGGACTTCGTATATCTATCCTCCCTTTTTGGCATCCCACATAACGTGGAATCCATGGCTAACCCGTTTGCAATAGAGCCCCCTCTCACCCCCGCCGAGCGGGCGATTGTGAAATCCTATGGCGGTTGGACATCCTTCATGCAAAGCTTCGGGCTTAAGCCATGGGAGCGTGATGACGCTGAAGAAGGAAAGAGAATTCTGGAGGCCCTTGTTCGAAATGATGAAGACTCTTAATGAGACACTTACGACCGCTCTCTGGATGGGACATGATGATCGCGATACGGGGCATGGGTGTTGACCATGCGTTATTGAGACTCTCCTTCTGACTTTGACAATGCGATACAACCAATTATTTGCATTCTTAGTGATCGCCCATTCTGGTTGCGTAGGCTATGAATCCTACGATCATAACTGTCTTTATCTGCCCAGTGCCTCCATATAATGAACCCGGGCGTAAAACCGTGGAGGACGGTGTGTAGCTAGAGCATATAGGCTGTTTTTACTTTACATTTTACCCAAAAAGAAGATTGGAAAGTCCAAGGCGAATCATCTGTGTGAACCCTCCACGGACGGCTTCAACATTGCCATTGCTATTACAGTGATAAACCTCTACTTCACCACGGCCCAACCGACTATCCTCTTACTATATATCGCAAAGCAGTGTTCCAACTACAAAGGGCCGCCGGAGATAACATTCCAAGGGCTTATGAGATACAATTGCAAAATCTCGGCTTTCTTCCATTAATGACATTAAACACATAATGCGTCACACACATCAAGAGCGCCAGAGGGCAGCTCTGATGGACTCAAAACTTAACCGACCATGACAAAAGACTAATTCATAACCCATTGAACGCCTTCCCGACCCGAAGAACCAAAATCCGTAATCTAGAACGTCTTGCCCGCTGGGTCACCGAGGAACCAATCCGCAAACCCCTTGAAAACCATCGATGTGGTTGTCTGCTCAGATAACTCGTAAAGATCTGAAGAGCGCAGAACAAGGCTTTCACAATCAAAGTAAGACTCCAACAAACGCGCACTTTTGCCCAGAAACGACACGATCAAGATCTGCAAAATATCAAGTCAGCAACCTTTAAAAACCCACAGTTGACGGGAGGAGTCCAAGACTTACCGGTACTATGTTATGGTGAAGTAACCGCACTTTTCTCAACCGACTTAACATCAGACGAAGAATGATCAACAGCTATCCACGGCACACTGTGCTATCCTCCCCCTCCAAGCCATTGTATATGACTGCTTTCAAATGTGGGGATTGCTCTTCGGGAATGTCCATGATCGTGAACACGCTAAAATCAGGCTTGTCATACTTGTACAAATGCTTGAAGGAGTTATAATCACCGGCGCTGTCGAGGGGCATTAGATACTATGAACCGATACAACAAAAACATATATTAGAATAACAATAAAAGATACTGACTTCATCGAACGCCATTGCTCGTTTTCACATCTGAAATTCGCGTAGGAAAAAGCATAACTACTCCACGCTACTTCAAAGTGATATACTCGAGACATTGGATCTGCAAAAGCATCCTTATTATTGAGGTGCTCGACAGATTTGCGAATCAGTTTCTTGGAAGGTTGCGGGAGGTTGGCTTTCGGCGCGAAGAAGTGGGGCTTAAGGTCCGAGCCTTTTTCGAGAGCCATAGACTGGCGCTTGATGTTCAGTTGATCCAGTTGTGACGCGTCGAGTGTATGCAGTATCAGAGCATCGATGGTAGCCTCGAGCGTGATTAGACTCTTGCGCTGCTCCAAATGGATATGTGACTTCTCAGCAGTTGTGTCTGAAGACATCTTTGGTGGTCTCATGGGATGGCTGGCTTGGATAAGAATTTTTAGAATTTGGAAGACCGTGACTGGGACAATTTGGGGGATTTTATGTGGAAGGATCTCAGTAGATGGGGGTTTAATATCGCAGATGAAGTGTTTTGTGGGGTGTGGTGATAGTTGACCCGACGAGACAAGAGATCGTGTTGATAGAAAGTTAGGACTGCTGCCGGCTTTCACGTTTTGGAGAAGTTGGCCACTGTTTCTGCGCAAGATTGGTGATATTGGGCAAAACTGAAAACGAAGAAAACAAAGGGCAAAGTGACTAACCAGTGGAGCGGCGTTGATGATATGGTATATGGAAAGATGCAAAGGTAGCTTGATTTTTCTCCTCATGATATGAAATGTCTCCTCCAATTTCAAGCGGTCATTTGGCAGCAACAATTAACCTTCTATTCAAGACATAGTGACCTTGGAGAAGAATAACTGGTCAAACTGGCAGCTTACCTTGTTATCCAATCATTTTCATCTCCCCAACGTCCACTTATCGTCACCTCCTTGTTGATGCTTCTCTTCAACGTCGTTCTTCTCATTTGATACCACCCTTCTGCAGTTACCCGTGAGTTTATGGTGTCTCAACCCATCTTCCCCGGCAGCCATTTACCCTGTATTCGTCCCAGCACACGATGACCCTACGTCCCTGACAGCACTGTGCATGGACAGCACTTTCACTAAGAAGTGAGTGCTCCAGTGTCGCATTTCCTTTCTTTTGTTTGCATGTCACTAACACCATGATATTCACCAGAGAGTGACAGCCCTTGGTACTTGGGACTACAACAAGTTTGTTTCAACCCCAAAACAAGCCTGTTGCATCCCCGGAATCTGATATTCCACCCTCTGAGAACGTAAGAACACACACGCTTAAGCCATATTGGCAGCACATACTGACATCTTATCATTATTTACAGGCACCAATGGCGCCAAAGTCAATGAGGCCAGCACGACCCACCAAGGTAACCAATTTCGAGCCGGTGGAACTAAATGGGAAGAATTGGGCGAAGTTAGAAGATCATGAGGCCCAGTTGGCAGCATATCTCGGATTTCAGAATACCTCGGACCTTCGAGAATTCGCTATCTCATGGCCAACCTTGCTTGCCGAAAAGTACTTCGCACCAGCAGCTCAAAGGATGACAAAAGCTGGTGCTTTCAAATTTTTATCCAACCCGGGATTGAGAAGCGAAATTGTGGCCGTGGCCGTGGACTCATCTCCTGACTTGGTATGGCCTTGGCACTCAGGAGATCCTCAATACCACAAAACCATCCAGAAACGGAAAATAGTGGCTTGGACTTTGTGGAATATGGTATTGAACGTCAAGCAATACAAGAATACAAGATTTGCGGAGAATCTGTCCCGAACGCAAATTGAACAGGCAGAGTTTTTGAAACGCCATGCATCTAACAGACTCGGCCGTACCTTATCCTTCCCAGAAACCATGGACAACTTCCCATGCCCTGAGCTTGGTCCCTTGACTGATAAGGGGGAGAACGAACTTGAAAGTTACAATCGTTGCTGGGAAGTCCTCCGATATCTTGGCAGTGGGTTTCATAAGGGGAACTGGAAGCGTCGGTTTGCAAACGTGGGGGTTATGAAAAGTGGCCGCATTGTGGACGATTCACACGCCCCATCGTGGATGCAGACCGTCACAGAGAGTGCACTCCCTGACCAATCCCGACCCATTGAGCTCGAGATAGTCTGGGTGCACAACGAAAAAGTTGCGATGTACCACGAAACGACCCTTGCTATTGAGCAAGCTGAGAGCAGACACGTGGCTGTGCCAAGCTCACAATTCACATTTCCCTGGGACCCTCGTGTTTTCCCGGATGTCCAGCAGTTCCGTGACAATATTCGACGTTGCCTAAATTGCGAAGCATTAGGTTTAGATTTGCAGAGCATTCGGGTCCACTGTTATGATGAAGACGAAGATAGCCACGAAGAAGCGGACGCTTTCACCCAGGATTGGACGGAGTTAAAAGCTTTCTTTAACAATTCTCAATATTCGAATTTTGTTCTTGCGGTTTGCCTGGAGCCTTTCGACACCGATGATCTAATGTTCTCTATTTATGAGGATGGCGGTGTTCCCATCGACCCGCTCCTGTACCTTGCCACCCCGAATTCTGAAACTAGTATCGAAAGCGAAACTGCCGATGAACAACAAGCGGGTAACTAGGAGACTGGTCCGTTCTAGTGACATCGGATGAGCTTGGGGACATATCAGCGCAGAGGCAGGCTTGTGGTGTCGCTAGATGACAGTCCATCGGTTCCACCACCCTTGTGATTAAAATCTTGCAACTTTTAAAGAAACTGAACATTTCGATTTATATTACGAGCCTTTTATCTATCCCTGCTGTTAGGGCTACTTTCCCGTAAAATCCATAACCAGGATGAGCTTCAAATCACGATATGGTAACACGAGAGAGAAGGGGTACAACCAGCAAGAACGGGGCTTGCATGTAGGAGTTCCATGGTCTGTGATAATTGTAGGAGCCTTCGCGTAGATGACGTTGTTTTTATGTACTGCCACATGTAGTATGAGATTCAAAACCTTCTCCGGGATAATGCCCGACCCTTACAGGACAGCGGGTATTTCAATCCTCTGTCACGCCAGTCGGGCATAGACAGAGAACATCTATCTGTATTGATAGAGGTTGGAATTAAGGATTTGAGATCTAGAGATATAATGATTGCTCGAAATCCTTTACACAACCCTATTGCCGACCTACCCAGGAAGCCTACAGTTGGGTCATATTACTCTATTGCGGTCGATGATATAAATTTTGTCTTCACTCTACCGACATCATTCACCTGAACCCCAGAGTTCCATTTTCTCTGTCGAGAGAATATTTGCATGATAGAACTTTCTGTCGGGTGTTCAATTGAAGAACGTACATATAGGGAACTAGGTGCCTAGGTGTTGGTTAAGTATCAGAATCAGTGTGTTGGCAACTGCAGAAACCCGTGGCCTAGTTGGTAGGTCAACAATGAGCCATACCTGCTCTAGATCACTTTCTAGGTCACGCACCATGGGTTCGAACCTCTGGGACCGCAAGTCGCCGTCGAGAATTTCGCACTCTCTAGGCTGGGTTTGTCATCTTTTTTTATATCTCTCTAGTATTCTCCTCCCCGTTGCCCGCTTTTAGAGTATGTAAACGTAGTATCTCAATTCAATTAAACCATCCATATGGATTATATAACGTTTTGGGTGTTTACTTTAGCAATATGGATATAGGACTAGGTGGCTGGGCGTTGGTTAAGTATCAGAATCAGTGTCCTGGCAACTGCAGAAACCCGTGGCCTAGTTGGGAGGTCGACCATGAGCCATATCTGCTCTAGATCACCTTCTAGGTCACGCACCATGGGTTCGAGCCCCCCGGGACCGCAAGTCGCTGTCGAGAATTTCGCACTCTCCAGGCTGGGTTTGTCATCTTTTTTTGTATCTCTCCTGTTTTACTCCCCCTTCCCTACTATCAGAGTACATAGACGTAGCTAAAATATATCAGAGTGATATAACATGCTATTGGGTGTTCAATTTAACAATATATCTATACGGAACTAGGTGGCTAAGTGTTGGTTAAGTATCAAAGTCAGTGTGTTGGCAACGATATATTGTGACCCACGTCAGAAAGTCTCTCACTTCACGTCATGCCTTTACCTGGCAGTGCAGAAGCTAGACATAGGTCCCCTTGTCCCCCTCCTCTGACAATATGTTTGTCGACTGATTTTGACGCTCGCCCTATTCGGCCTCGGATACCAGCCGGTATTGTGCTTGAAGCTTTGGATGTTTCTCCAGTGTGTTGTGCAGTTTGTCAACCTTGTATATCTGATTGGAATCGGGAGTCGGACGAAGTCAGTCTATTGAGCTTTGTTTGCGAGGTGTTCATTTCCCAGTCTAGTGAAGATTCAGAAATAATCTAAATCTTAGGTCTCCAGAATTGAGATGACGTCAGATTTGCAAGGGTCTTCATTTCAGACCACGATAAATCTGAGGCGCGTACCGTGATCATCACCAGTGAGATGATGGTAGAGGGTATTCTTTGACATCTCGAGTTTCCTGTTTTGTCCTAAGGCAAGCTGAATGCAACAGAGCTGCCGAAGGCTCAAGAATGACATAAGCTTAACCTTTCATCTTACAGATGAGTGACGAGGTTGTACACACCTTTCTGGTAGCTTGTTAGTTCGAAGTAGACAGGGAACTCGGTATCTTCATCCATACCTGCTAGCACCCAACAACCATTGACTTGAGGCCCACCCTGGATTTCCATAGTACTCTGCTATGCACTTCCCTTGGTATCGTTGTTACCCATCTTTCCAACGTATCTGTCATTAACGCGCTTGAATCTAGGTTAGTAACGATGCCGCCGGCAAGGAGTTCACGTGGAGAGCCACAGAAATGGGAAGATTGGGTACAGGCAGTCTACCCTTTCAGTAACAGCCTATCCCCAGCCAACAAAATTACTTAGGCTTGGGCTGCGACGATTTGCGATAGTGTACATATGTCTGATTCGTTACCATAGACCTTGGCGAGGACTTTGAGTTCCATGACCAGGGTTTCCAGCGAGCAATGCCATCCATGTATCATCTATTCCCAAGCAATTAATGAACATCTGTTTATCGTCTGCTTGCAACTTCATTACACACTCGTGCCGTGTAGTCAAAGACCTCATATTTCATCTTGTATCTGAAAACTCTCCAAGTTCGCTATTAAGCTATCTAAATGGTAATCAGATGGTATCCCTAATAGGATCCTTCTCGGCATCTTCGATCTTCTTCAAGAATTCCGCCGCAGCTTTAGCATCGCCGGGGAAAATATTCTCAGCAATCATCCGGCGCGGCGAACTACCAAGCCATTGGAATAGAGAGAAATCCCGGAATCGATCTGCGCGGAAGATTTCTAACATCTCTAGAGGTTCATTGTCACTCAGGTTCTCAACAAAGTGTCCCATATTCCGAGGCACGATGCCGACGTCCCCGGCCATGTAGTTGAATGTTCTGGCATTTCCTTCCGCGGCAAAGATCGTAACTCGGGCACGACCTTTCTTGAAATATGTCCATTCGTCGGCGTTGGGGTGCCAGTGCATCTCGCGTAGTGCGCCCGGGGCGATCTCTAGATGGGCGGCTGCCACGGTTTTGGAAATTGGGAAGTTTGTGGAATCGGTAATACGCACTAGACCGCCGCTCGTTTTAAGAGGCTCTTGCGCGTGCATATGATGTGTGAAGTTTATCTTTGACTTCTTGAATGTGCGCGGTTTTTCCTGGTCAATGCTTCCGGGGGTTGAGCCTTGGAATATGTACTTCTCGGATGTGGGGATATTGTCGAATTGTTCTGGGGACATCCGGAAGTTCTCTGCTAGAACTGCTTTGGGGGTATGTGCTGGAGACAGCGTTAGTATTTATATTTCAGAGATTGGGACATATACAAGTCAACATACCCAACCAATCAGTCAAGACGAAGGTGGACTCTTCGGAGAAGTTCCCATCATCAAAGATGAGAAGGAACTCTGTACCATTTTCGCCGAGACCTTGGAGCGAGTGTGGATGTCCAGCGGGGAAATACCACAGATCTCCTACCTCCAAGTCGTCCATAAAAGTAGCACCCTCTAAGTCTAGTGCAGTGACTCGCACTTTTCCAGCAAGAACATACGCCCATTCAGCTTCAGTGTGCCAATGCAGTTCGCGAATGACACCTTGATCCAGACGCATATTCACACCGGCGAGTTCACGGCTAGTGGGCAGCTCGCGGATAGTTGTTTGTCGAGTCCATCCGCCTTCCTATATATCCATGGATACATGTTTAGATAACGATGTACAGCATATCATATTACAATGACCATACCTCAATCCGAATATGTGAATCTGCAAAGCTCCATCGCATATTAGGCATACTGCCATGGTCGGTACTCGGCGGACGAACAAGATCGGGGTTCTGGCGTTCGCGATCTCGATTCCGAGGTCCCATCACGGTTGTACCATCGCCATTGCGGAACGGCAGTGGCTGTCGATCATCCCCAACAGAGTCGACCTTGTGATCATATGGGTCTCGATGTCCCGGAGAGAAAGGCGGGTCTCGTGAAATAGGCTGTTGACCGAACCATTCTGCGGGATGGCCGGCTGGTACTTGGAGTAGCTTCTGTATGCCGTGGTCCGGGGCAGGGATAGCCCATGTAGACTGGAGACATGCCAGGTTTAACAGAAGGTGTATAATCTGCATGGTGTGCTTGAAAATTAATGAATTACACAGAGAAAAAAAATAGGAAGCTCTAAGAAGGTAAATGCACAGGTGTAAACTCAGAAAATGCGTTCTCCGCATCGACGTCACGACATTACTCATATCCCGGTCGCATCTCTCGTCTCCAACGATTTACTCCAACAAATTTGCCGATTACATTTCAGCGCACTCTGATGATCCCTGAGGGGTGGATGACGGAGTTTCATTCTTTGCCGAGCTCGAGATCGAGTTCCTACGCCGCGGGCTCCACATAAAACAACTTCCCTTCATTTCAATCCGTCCACCACCTCACCTCACCACCAATGTCTAGCGAAACCGACGCCCTGTTGGGCAATCACAGATGCTCCAAGCCCTCTCGGTTATCCCGGGTATCCAAACACCTGCGCAGTGACCTCGACCCGACGTACGGCGACCTGGTCCTGATATTCTGTTACGTCATCACCGGCCTCCTGGACAGCTCCGCGGTACTCATATGGGGCTCCTTCGTGAGCATGCAAACCGGCAACACTGTATATTTTGGCCTGGGTCTCGTTGGCACTGAAGATGATCGCTGGATCAAATCTGGAGTCTCTATTGCGGGGTTCTGTCTGGGCTCACTGTGTTTCGCCATCTTCCACCGTGTCTTCCCGGCGAGACGGAGATGGGTGCTCTGTGCGTCGTTCCTTGCTCAAACCTTGTGTGTCTGTATTGCCGCTTTGATCGTTACGATTTATCGGCCGACTCGCGGTGAGCCCTTGAGTTGGTTGGTCCTCGTCCCGGTGGCGCTCATCGCATTCCAGAGTAGTGGGCAAGCTGTGACGAGTCGTGTTTTGAACTTCAATGGCTTGACTAGTGTTGTTCTCACCAGTACTTATTGCGATTTGTTTTCGCATCCTGATTTCCTATCGAGGAAGGTGGTCGGTCATGCCGAGGAGATGCGGCGGATCGGTGCAGTCTTGTGTTTGTTGCTCGGCGTGGTCTTGGGGGGTCTCTGGGCTCATAGCTCTGTGGGCATGATGGGGGCTTTGTGGACCGCGGCGGGTTTGAAATTAGTGATTGTTGTCACTTGGTTGGCCTGGAATGGAAAGAGTGAAGATAATACCGAATGAGTTTTACAAGACAGGTGGACGGTCGCGGTACTAGATACATTGTGTACTGGTGTTGATGCTGGGTTGATATAGATGATACTACAAAGATGATACTAAAATATATACTATCTGAGCTGTATGCAATGGTGCTAGTTCCAACTGCTATTGAATTGATTGGACCTCTTTCCATTGAGTTGGAATAATTATGTTAATACACCGGGTCTTTCGATATCCATATTAATAACCCCGGGCCATTGCAATTCAGAGGAAGGAGATGCGGGGTGCCGAGGTCAATGTCTCCAAAGCCGTATTTTGACCCTGTCTCTACCCTGTTATAGCGATTGATCATGTTGGAGAAATTGGAGTATTGGAGTAAGTCCTTTCAGAAACCGCGACCGGGAATATGAGGGATGGTCTTGTACTTCGTCTTTCGTAGTTATATACTATTACAAAGTAATGGGAAATGGCGATACGTATGATGCTCTGAAATACCGTTCTGAAATTAATCAAATATTCTAGACTATGGGTGTTTTTCTTTCCTTTTCTCTTTCTTTCTCTCTCCGGTTTTAAAGCAGCAATATCAATCATTGACTGGACATGTAGCACTCGCCATAGAAAGAAGCAGAAACATTACAGCGAAGAGAAACACTTCCCCCAAATTCCCAAACTGGACATGAACATGATTCCAGAAGAAGCCCGGTCGCAATACTAAGAGGCCGTACGAGCCAACCCAAGCAAGTCCAAGCATAGATAACGGCATTGGGGACTGACTCGATGTACAGTCACTTCTTCTCAACGTCAACGGTTTTTTTTTTTCCTTTTCCCCTGTCTGCACGGGACTTCTTGGATGCTGTAGGTTGCCCTTCCTCTTCCTCCTCTTTCAAATCAGACTCGGAAATTTTGACATCATTCTTTTCGATTTCCTCAACTTTCACATCAGCCCCAGCAGCCTCAACAGCAATTTCCTTCATATCTTCTTCATCTGTATCTTCACCAGACTCCAGCTTATTAGCCTTGTATAGATCTTTGAAAAGCCGATCCATGTCCTGCACCACGCGCTCATAGACGGAGTGGATCGACTCAAGTGCCTGCCACTTCTCCCCAAATTTGCTTTTTCCTTTCATGTTGGTTTGGTCAAGTGGAGACTGATAGTATGTGCTATCATATTCCACAGGTCTCTTGCGCCTTTTTGCTTGCAGGTATTGAAGGGGGGGGGACTCGGACCAACCTATTTTTTTCCTATTGTTAGATTGTTTCAAGTTCATGTCGTGCGCTGCATCGCTTGAAAATTCTAAAGCATGTCGGAATCAAGGATGGAGAACTCACAGTACTCCCTTTGCTATTATCCTCATGTCTGTCGCCGTTCACTTTCTGATTGTCAAGCCCTAGCCCGGAACCTTATTAGATCGTAGTATACCTTGAGCAGATACCGACTTACATATGGAGCATCTGTAACTCTGTGATTTTGAAAAGAAACAGTTCATACAACAACCTCCCTGGAGATACGGGCTGCGGCTGTCACAGAATAACAATACAACTTTCAAAGGGGCCACAACCACGCTTGCAAGACTGGCAGGCTTCTTTATGTGTCATTACATCTCCACAACGTTGACCATGGGCAGCAATAGCCTTTCCAGTGTAGGAAATGGTGAGGGAAACCTCTCCCGACTTTGACCAATCGACATCCCGGATAGGTTTGAGTTCAGATATGATCTTGCACAATCGCGAGCTATTTGCAAGGTCTTCAACCTTAACATTCATATTCTGGTCCAAATAGAACAGGTAATCTATGAAACCATAGTGTCAGCACTAACCTAGATGACTATTGTACGGGTTTGAACAAAGACTGGGTAATTGACTCTTGCTGCCCATCTCGATATCAAACCCTGCATCCAACTGTGCTCATTAACAACTGATACAACACTCAATATTATAATACTGAAAGGCTGTGAACTGATGGGGGCCGATAAAGAAAGACATCCAGTGTTGGGGGATGAAGAGGAAAGGAGGGTGTGGAAATCTACTCCATATTTATATGCCACCAATCCACGGGGGCCACAAACACAAATATGGCCTCAGGTCATGTTAGGATGCATGCCTTGTTTTTTAGGCTGGCCAGCTGCAAAGCTAACTAGCTTTCTATATGTTTGTAGAAGAATCAACCTTCCCTCTTTCTCTCTTAGTCCAACCGTTAGCAACCTTTTACCCACGTAGCGACCATTCATACGATATCTGGGTCCTGCAAAGCCCGGATCATGATGAGATAATCATTGATCTGGAGAGTCCACTTCACAACGTCCAACGATTTAGGTCGAAGTTTATACATTCATTGCATTTTCATCATCTGATGCCTAGAAGACGGCGTTACTATGTAGTTACAGCCTATAGGAAAACTAAAAACGCATCTCAATTTCAATCGCTCTGTTGGACCGTCACAACAGGGCCAACATAATGCCTTCTGCCCTGGAACGCGTACATCAAAAGACTAACGATAAACACAGCAACGAAGATGACCACACTCCAATTGAAATCTCGCGCCGAGGGGAAAGGACTGGGAGGCCAGAAAGACCAAAAGAGCGCAAAAAGAACATAAAGCAGCCCAGTTATGTTTATTGCAAGACCGAAAGTACCAAGGCTCCAACGTCGAGGAGGCAACGTTTCGGGACAGACGATCTTTCGGTAAATTACGCAGCTGATTGACACCGCATATGTGTACATGAGAGCCGCAACATTGAGAGAGATAATCGCATTGAATGCAACTTGTGACCCGATGTTAATTAATGACAACAAGCCGCTGATCATGCACGAGAGTGCGATGGCTCGCACTGGGATTCGCCGATGTGGGTCGACTCGCGAGATCCAGTCTGCGAAGGGTAGACCTCGATCCCGTGCGAATGCATATGTTTGACGTGCGGTTGATGCGTTGAACAGAATATTACTGAATATAACAGGAACGAGAATTATTGCTGTGAGACCATTGACACCGGAGGTGGACAGGAACTGGCGGAATACGTAGATGAAGGGGAACCCGGTGCTGTCGTTGAGCGCGTCGGGTACTGAGGGTAGAGCGAAAAGGAACCCAATGATTATTGCCAATGCGAGTATTCCGTTACCAAAGTATCCCCATGCGATGGCTATTGGTACATATCGACCTGCGTCCTTGACTTCTTCAGACATGTGTGCAGTAGCGTCGGAACCTGTAGCCATTTGGTATGTTAGTGTTGGACCTGGGAATGTTGATACAGTGCTATACATACTTAGAGACCCGTATATAGCTGTAATCTGACCAATCATCAAGCTGATACTCATAGTCGACCAGTTCCCACCATTGTGGAACGAGGTAAATACGGTTGTTGCGGAGTTGTGAGGAGCCATAGCGAATAGGACAACCACAATGACGACCCAGCATATCAAATGCAGTGCGAGAAGGAGGTTCTGGATTCGTGGTATCCAGCTTGCTGCATAGACATTGAAAAAGTAAATGACAGCTATCATCGCGAATACGAATAGTGTTCCTTGCCAATTTTGGGGCTTGTAGCTCGGGTCACGGAGGGAGATGAGACCTTGGATGATAGTCCCGGTTAGAAACGAGCCAGATGCAGCACCTGCCTGCCAGGCTAATACGGACATCCATCCTGTATCGCAACTGTTAACGGTTGAGAGGAGTCATCACACGAGAAATCTCACCAGTGGTGTAACTCAGAAACTTCTGGTATCGGGGTGAGGAAAACTCCGATACCCAATGGTATTGCCCTCCTGACGTAGGTGCCCTAGTGCATCGAACAAGGATATGTGAGAAACTTCCGACCGTGAAAGCCATCGATCAATTAGAACTCACATCGAAGCCATCTCGGCTAGCGAAACGATGATGAAACCAAACCCAACGAAGGTCCACATGTAAGACCAAAATACACCAGCGAGGCCACCATTTTCAAAACCTTGCGTGTTTGAGCTATTACCAGGGAATTAGTGGCTTATGTGATGCCGCTGGCAGAGACTTTCTCTTACATGAGTATGAACTCCCAGGTAGCTTGAAGAACCGCTGAAAAGCTCAACGCTGCAAGGGGTCGAAAGTTGCGCTGCGAACGTATCAGTTCATGGTGTCCAATTTCCATGAAGGAGAACAAACAACACCTTCAATTCCTGGATTTTTCCCATACGCGTCATATCATCCTGATCCTGTGGGCTGCCCTCCATCTCTGGTCGACCTTTCGTAGGGTGTTCTTCTTCCATCTTGTGAACCCTGTCAAAGGAAAGGATATTACCTTGTGTTTGCGGACTTTCCGGTGGCATTGTGATGATTGAAGTCGGTCAAGTTAGGTGCTAACATATCAAGACTGTTTAGGTACAGAGGAGCTGACCTCCAATGTGGGATATTAATCAAAGATAAAACAGACGAACTGAAATTGGAGATACAAAAACACAAGAGGCACTCGGCTTTGTTAAGTCTGGCCAATCTCGGCTGTTCCGCTGCAGGCATCCCCTAGAGTGATACAGCGAGTCGACTTGAAGCCGAATTTCAGCCCACCCCTATGTTACATACCCCTCGATGAACGACGAAATCTACCGACAATGCACACAAGGCCACATGGCAGGCCCTTCGCAAAGAGTCGGACCGGACTCGGCTTAACCTTTATAAATGTTGGGTGTATTTTGAAGTCGCACAGCGCGTTTGAATCCATATCTGGGGGGGGGGACCTCTCGTCCTCGGGTGGACTAGTACTTGATCCCTGCCAACTGCCGCACTGTGTTTACTAGGATCAGCATTCCCGTGTATCATCGAAAAGAAGAAATGAAATCCAACACCGAGCCAATCCCTCGGGTTGCAGCACGTAAATCGATGTCTCAACTGAATTCACCAACGAACCTATCAAAACACTACTCGCGGGTTGCTGCCGCTTTGATCTGATTGTCTCCCCGTCCGTTGAGGGCGTTAATTCCATTCCGTATGTCGGCTTCCATCTGCATGTTCCCGTGTGGACGTAAGCCCAATCAAATCCCGGCGTTGTACAAAGAAATTTGATTTGGCAGTCGTTCTGAGAGGGGTTGACCTTGCCACTGGAGATAAGTCTGGGGCAATTTAAAACGAATGTGCCTCGAAGAAAATCACATGGGTGTTGGAGTTAGTGAGATCAATAAATCTGCTAGAATATTATTTCGGTATGTCTTTATTTTTGGAGTCCTGCCCTGCCCAAAATGTCATCCCCCGTGTACCCAGTTGGTTGCGATTGAAACTGGACATCATTTCACTTGGTTGTATTCGGCACAATGTAAATGCAACAGTACCACTAAACCCTCCGAGTCACCATAACCCACTGAGTACACATCCCACTCCCTAGATGGAAATTAACAGAACTGTGCCCTTGTTGTGACTGAGTTATTGGGGCTCTGTATCTTCCTAAATCTACGGTATGCCACACTGGGGAGAACCCCCATGTTGTGCTTGCTGAAACATTAAATGCCCAAGTGATCTGCAACATGGGATGTTAGACCAACCGAATACATTCGCCCCATGACTCGGTACAGAGTACCTCGATAGCTACAAATGTACACCCGATGTATGGTTCCACCGATAGACACAATTGGTTTACATTTGTCGGAATATTTCGTGGGGCTTGTCAATCCATATACGGGCTGCCAAGGATCATGATATCTCACAAAAAGGAAAACCCACGTATTCCCAAAATCGAAAATCAAGCTAAGGACGCATAACAGGAATTCAACGGTATATCCACATCCCATGTCCCCGTGGATCAGCTAATGCACCACGGTCACCCCTCAGTTTGCATCCAGGCTGATAGTGGATGGAGATCTGCTATTCGCGATTAGGATGCCCTGCATCACGGTGCCAATTTTCTGAGTCAGCTAGGTTGTTTGGCTCCAGTTGAATATATCCCCCTTCAAATTCCTAGGAGGAGGTCAGGATATGTTTCGTTCTTTTAGCCATGGCAACTGCTTCCCCAGTGCCACCGGGCATGACACCTCCGCTGACAGTGGATACCGAAACAAACCATAATGGAGTGATTACAGTCATCGCATCTTTTTCATTATTTTTGGTTCTGGGGTCGGTAGGAATTCGTGTGCATTCTGCATACAGTAGAAGAGCCCGACAGTCGGATGATTTGACTTTTGCGGCCACTGTGGTATGTCTTTCCGTCTCAACTAATGCGGACTCTTTGGGAAGATCTTAGTGACTGATCTTAGATAAATCTAGATTCTTTCCTTGGCACAGGTATCTGTGGTCTTTGTGCAGATCCACCTTGGCTGGGGAAAGTCAAAGACGCTGATCGCCGATGAGGATTGGAACTCCATCGAGAAGGTTAGTCGAAGTGATCAGGATACGGGGTTGTTTCTGACATCTCCTTCTAGGCTGCGTACAGTGCAGATATCCTCTACATTGCAGTATTATCCTCATCAAAGGCGTCAACAGCTCTTTTTTACCGGACCATTACTCAACGTAGCTCGCAATGGATGAGCTATGCTCTTCTCGCGGTTACTCTACTCTGCGCTCCTGTTACTATAGTTCTACTGTCACTCCGCTGTGATCGGCATCCATGGTATGATATCAACAAACAATGCTCCGTTTTGGTAAGTCACAGTAACTTGAAATACTATACGTTCGTTCACTCATATTCGCCTAGTTCCCTCACTGGCAAGCCGTCACAGCATTGGATATTATTTTTGAATCTATACTGTTACTCTATCCGATCCGGGCAATCGTCCGACTGCAGACGACACTAAGCAACAAAATCATTGTAATTCTTGTGCTTAGCTGCCGGCTTTTGTACGTTCAATCTCCCGCCTAACCAGTTCGATACATCGATACTAACAATAACCCGACGTACTTACAGTCTCATACCAATCTCCGCGATCCACCTCCATTACATGAGTCAACAAATCAATTCGCCAGATCCAACACTCGAAGGGAGTTTTGCTACCATTGTGGCGGAAATTCATGTGGCACTCAGTGTTCTTGTATTGACAGCGCCACTAATGAAACCATTCATCGCGGCCTACGTTGACGAGAACGGTCTCGCCTATACCGACGACTCATCAAATGCACGAACCAATCATAAAGTCACCCCACATTCCGACCGATCAAATGAGACATATCCCGGGTCACGGATGAGTAACCCCCCAACGAAACCCAGAATTTTGAAGAGTATTGAAATATCGGTGGATCGCGACGATGTGGAGCTTTTGGAGAGACGATGACGCCCTCAACGGGGGGCCCGGGATACTATACACACTACACTTAATGAACACACCTATTAGAAACCACTCACCTACCTCCAATTGTTCTCAATATGGGCCGGCAAGATGGTCTCAATATTTTAACCTGCTATTTGGTGTACGATGGTCATAGAATTTACGTGTAGAGTTTAATTAACATCCACTTCGATAAGGGTGACAATCAGATATATATCCAGTTCAGATGCGCCAGGTCCAACTTCGGATACCATCGGACAATATTGCATGTGAAAGTTAGCAATACCAAGGATCTAGACATATCATTGGTGACACTGACAGCGGACCATCTTCCTAAACACGAGGGCGTACCACCAAAGCTGCCACACACAGGACATGATCTCCATATCGGGTTATTAGGTGGCGCAACCAAGCGATCAATTGCGCTATGGCTATAATTTTCTTTAGGGCAAGCCCTTCATCTGAGCGCTCTATTCAGCTATATGCCTTCACCTTGCAAACTAAAGAAGTTCATTTCCGAAGTCTTGTCCTGTGGATGCCAACTCCGTAAAGCTTTCCCCACACTATGACATCACCAGTTTGCAGGTAAAATCGACACTACTGATCGAGATATTTTGTTTGGGTATTGCCAGATATTCCACTTGTATCTCTCATTCTAATAATCACCAAAAGTGGTCGCGATTGCTACGGACCTTTCAATAGCGACCCAAGTCACTGCCATGGGAGATTCTCACCATCTCGGTTCAAGTCATGACATTGACAGAAGGAGTTTTTCAATAGAAAAAGAACAGAGAAGACGATCGGAAGTTGATCACATCTCTCATCTTGCAGACCCATTCGGAGATGAAGAACTTGCCGAAGTCAAGTATCGGACTTTACAATGGTGGCAATGCGGCATGATCATGATCGCAGAAACCATCTCTCTTGGTATTTTGTCGCTTCCATCGGCTATGGCAGTGACAGGCCTTGTACCGTACGTTTTCTACTATTTCTAGCTAACTCCTCACCTAACAAGATTCTCACTGCTTTCTAGCGCACTCATTCTCATTGTCGGACTTGGTGCACTCTCAACCTATACAGGATATGTGATCGGCCAATTCAAACTCCGGTATCCGCAAGTCCATAGTATGGGAGACGCTGGGGAGGTGATGTTTCATCCCATGGGACTAGCTCGCTTTGGTAGGGAATTTTTGGGAACCGCTCAGTTACTTTTCCTTATCTTCGTCATGGGCAGTCATATCTTGACGTTTAGTGTCATGCTGGATACAATCACAGATCATGGGACTTGCTCAATTGTATTTGGGATTGTTGGTTTGGTAGTTTCATTCATCTGCGCCTTGCCTCGAACTCTTCGCAAGGTCTCCTGGTTCTCCTTCGCTTGTAGGTATATCGATACCTGTGCTGCAGTGATCTCCTTGCTAATAACCATAGCCTTCGCAAGTATCCTCGGCGCACTTTTGATTACTATGATCTCCATTGCTATCCAGCGTCCGGGTGATGGCAAGATAGACGTGACTACAAAAGTCAGTCTTTCAAAGGGGTTCCTGGCCGTGACAAATATTGTCTTTGCTTATGGTGTGTGCCTGCACCAATCGGCTACCCAAACCTTCCAACTAATTTCTACATAGCTGGCCATGTGGCTTTCTTCGGCTTTATTTCCGAGATGAAGACTCCAACGGATTATCCCAAGACGCTATACCTGCTTCAGGTTACCGATACAAGTATGTATGTGATAGCTGCTGTTGTTATATACATATATGGTGGGAAAGACGTGGCTTCACCCGCTCTAAGTTCGACAAAGCCAATAACAGCAAAGCTTGCATATGGAATTGCTATTCCTACGGTGGGAGAAATTTCTCTACTTCACATGAAAGGTTCCTAACTTCATATTGTAGATTGTTGTATCTGGTGTGATCAACGGGCATGTTGCAGCTAAATATATTTACGTCCGCCTTTTCAGGGGCACTGATCACATGAAGAAGCGCACATTCCTGTCCATCGGATCCTGGGTTGGGATCACCTTTGTGTTATGGGTGATAGCCTGGATCATTTCCGAGGCAATCCCTGTGTTCAATACTTTGCTCAGTCTGATCGTGAGTGTGGCTGGGAATTGCATGTGAGACAGCTACTGACATGGATTCACTGAGTAGACCTCGCTTTTTGCTAGTTGGTTCACCTGTGAGTGGTATTCGGTCTGCATCAACTTGTTAACAGTGCTGACTTGGATAAAAGATGGCTTGAGTGGTATATTCTGGTTGTTCCTAAACCGAGGCCAATACTTGGCTTCCTGGAAAAAGATGGCTCTAACCGTTGTCAACCTGGTTATTGTCGCCATCGGAGCTTGCTTAGTATGTCAAACCTTGTAATAGTGGGCTATATATCGCAATGCTAATTTTGATATAGTGTGGCATGGGCCTCTGGGTGTCTGGTAAGGCAATTCATGATGATACGAGTGGTGCCAGCTTTTCGTGTGGTGCTAGGGGATGAAGACCTTGGTCGGATCGTACAAAATCCCATGTATGTGTGCACAAATCTCACAGATATAGTTCGGCTTTCTCCCTAGTGAATTCAGATCAGCAATCCCAACATATGGGGTCATTCTTTGCTTCCTTTAGCTTCGGCCTGCCCTCAATATCTTAAACTTCTGTGGGAAAATACGTAACGATATCGTCGTTCCAGGGTTATACCACGCATGACTCAGCCCATCAACATGGACAGATGGATTGTTCGCTCGATGCCATGACGTGTTGCAAGATCACCCGTTGTTTTGGGTTCTACAAAAATGACTTTGAATACTGTATTTCTACGGGGTGGACCTTCTGCAATGCTTGCAACGCGTATATGAACGGGCTCACAGTGACGATCTGATTAGTGCCAACGGTTAGTACATTACCAACGAATCAACCCCCTCAATTATCATTATCCATGAGTCTGTAAGATGGCGAACAAAGAGACCCAAACGTCACCATCTCCGCACAACACCCGGGGAGCAGTGCATGATTCAGCGAGCTTACGGACTATGTTTGACGATGGCGACACATACGACGTCCCTGATGCCTTAGAGAGCAACATGGGCTCTGCAGAAAGCAAACCAGATAAAGGCAAAGAAAGCATAATCGTGGACTGGGATGGTCCAAATGATCCGGCATGGCACCCAACTCCCCTCTTTCGTGTATGTACAGGTCTAACGCAATTATAGGAGATGCCGAAGAATTTCCCGCCATGGAGGAAGTGGGTGATCACCATGATGTTAGGACTGATGACAATCTGCGTTACTTTCGGCTCCTCGGTCTTCAGCACAGCAACAAAACAAACAGCGAAAAAGTTCGGCGTCTCCTCAGAGGTAATGGTGTTAGGCGTCAGTTTGTTCGTTCTCGGCTTCGCCTTTGGTCCTATTATCTTCGGCCCCTTGTCGGAGTTGTACGGTCGGAAGCGTCCGCTGTTTTTGGGAATGTTTGTCTTCGCAATCTTCCAGATCCCCGTCGCGGTAGCCCTGAACTTGCAGACACTCTTCATATGTCGCTTTCTAGGCGGACTGTTTGCCAGTGCACCACTTGCCATTGTGAGTCTACTGCATCCTTTCCAACTCTGCTTTGACCCTCGCTCATTGGAATTTGCTCCGCTTAGGTATCCGGTATCCTGGCAGATATGTTTGAGCCGGTAGAGAGAGGCATTGCAATGGCCATCTTCGCTGCAGCGACCTTCATCGGCCCGGTGGCTGGACCAATCGTCGGCCTCGAAACCCCGGCCTATCGGTTAAACTTTCAATCGCTAGAACAGTGTACCGAAGGGGATGTGACACATGATTTTTTTCAAAACATCTGTCCCTTAGTTGAGCTCTCTTTCGGCGACTTGTCATACTCTATCACTCATCCGGGCGATCCACCGCATACCTCCGTTCGTGGAGGACCGAAACTCAAGCCACGAGCACTTGTTGGGTCGGATATTTCAGACAGGAAGATAGTTGACTACCAACTGACGATGGCCCATCGGAAGCCATACCTTGAAGGGGCTGCTACCATAGGAGAGTTCAAAAGACCCCGAGTCATTAGGAGAAGAGAGTGGACACTTGAAAGATCCCCATCAAGTACAACAAAACGCCTTATGCAGGAGATTAGAGGGTATGTCCTATCTACTTTTTAAAAATTGTTCATGTTTAATTGACTTCAAAAAGGTATGCTTATTTGTATAACTACCCACAAGCTTTTGTTTTCGACTCGGTGAGCCTAGTACTATTAAAGTTCTGTGCTACGGATTTGGAGGCTATTCGTGACCAATTGTGTCCTGTTAATATTTGTATCATTCTACGGGAACAAGTTATTCGTGACTAGTGTACGATGGCAGAAGGTATGCGCGCACTTGCCTTAAATGGTTTTACTCGTCTTAGTACAACTGGAGACTCCACTTCCATAACTTCAGGGGATAATATACGGTCATCAACTCAATTGACCCTAGGTAGGCTTAAACGTCAACACGATTTCTTGGGTCAGCCTTTCTGGGTAGACTACCGTACTAGACAGTGGTTTTTTGACCATCCTTCTGGATATTGGCGCGATCTTAGGTTCGTGAGGAGTAGGGATGGTAGTCCGGAATATAAGGGATACTGGTTATGGTTTGACTATAAGGGCCGTTTTGTTGCTGATGATATAAGGAATTGTTTCCTTTCTTAACGTATAGAGCAGGGTATATATTAATAGAGTAGCCTATATATAGGACTATAAATACCGCTGTTTCTTTTAATAATTATTTAAAAATAATCGGCTGACCTAGGGTATTTGTGAATGTAGGCGATTTCAATATAATATTGGTAGTGCTGTTTAAGCTAGGGGGGAGCGGTGCGGACGGAGTATACCGATAAGATGCTATAGGTAGGGCTAGTCCAAACAGTAGTATTGTTACGGGAAGATGTTCGGATCTAACTGGTGGATCATCCTTACTAGGTAAGCGATGCCATAAATTACTGTTTCTTACCCCCTTACATCTGTTGATCATATGACGTAGAGGTTTGATAAATATATGAGGCGCGTCATCCCCCAATTCTCTCCGTGGACACTCTCAAAGCTCCTATACAAGTCTATACTATGCCTCCCCTTCCCCAGAACCGGAATTTATCCAAGGTATATAAGATAGGTGCTATAATTTAGGAGAATATTTGATTAAACTCATCGCCTTAGATACTCTACTTGGATAATTATCCAATTTATTCAACTAACGTACAGCTTTTAGATAAACGCCGTACTGTTTATCGCTTCACACTTGATCCGAGCTCATATCGACACTCGATTCCCCAGACTATCACATCAGTTATTGTCAAACGGCAAAAGAATGATTGGGAGAAAGAATTTCGGAATGAGAAAGCAGTCTACGACAAATTGAAAGAGCTCCAAGGAAAAGTGATTCCCTTTTTTTGGGCAAGGTTATTATGATGGACTCCCTGCACTTGTATTGTCCGAGATTGATGGTGTTACTCTCTATGAACTGGCCCGCAGTAAGAACGACTTTCCTGCAGAAGCTTTGAGGCCTTATCTCGAGGATGTCTTCCGTCAGTTTTCAGAATATGGCGCTTTGTATCGAGATCAGAGATTGGATAATTTTCTACTCTGTGATCAGGGCAACGAACGATTCAGAGTGATGGCTGTTGATCTGGAACAAGTCGATTTCCCTGATCACCTGAACCCCTGGGAAAGACTGGTTAACTCGGACGGCGCAATGTCTATAATGCAAGATTTCGAAGATATGCAGCATCCACATCGTGACCCATCTCCTCTACGAAGCTGGCGGGTTAGCGGGTAATTTCGACATCGTTTTTTTATGTGTTATTGGCGGGTTCGTCACAATTTCATACTTGGGCTGGCGTTGGACGGAGTACATTACGGCTATCTTGGCGTTTGCTATGGCTGGCATCGGAGTACTAGTAATCCCCGAGACCTTTGAGGGGACACTACTTAAGCGACGTGCTAGGCGACTGCGCACCAAAACCAAGAACTGGGCCCTCCATGCAAAGGTAGAAGAGAAGGTAGTGAGTCCTCGAGATATTGCGATACGATACCTTCTGCGCCCTTTTCAAATGCTCGTGCAGGAACCCATTCTTCTGCTTATTACCCTTTACGTCGGCTTCATCTATGGGTTTCTGTACCTATGTTTCGTGGCCTACCCGATCTCCTTCCAAGAACAGCGTGGCTGGAATGAGGGCGTTGGAGCATTGCCGTTTGTCGCCGTCATTTGTGGTGTTTTTTGTGCTTGTTTGATTATAGTTGTATTTTCGTTGACGAGGTATCGAACGTTCATGATCCGTAATGGTCGAGTTCAGCCAGAGGAGCGATTGCTTCCTATGATAATTGGAGGTATCATATTGCCTGTGGGCATGTTTTGGTTTGGCTGGACGTCAAACCACCACATCACTTGGGTTCCTCAGGTTATATCTGGGGCCTTCTTGGGTTTAGGAGTACTATTAATATTCTTGCAGGTATTGTTATCCTAATTGGAGAATCCCGGCTATTCCCCAAATACTGACGAGTATTGACAGGGGCTCAACTACATCGTGGATGTTTATCCCACGTATGCAAATTCTGCGATGGCCGCCAACTCTTTCTTTCGTTCTTGGCTGGGGGCTGGGTTTCCCATGTTTGCATCGGTAATGGTAAGCTTTGTATGTTTACCAGGTACTACAAGGACTAGGCTGACCACGATCCAACATAGTTCCACAACCTTGGCGTCAATTGGGCGATGACTTTGCTAGGTTGTCTAACCGCCGCTTTGTTCCCTGTTCCCATTGTGTTTTTCATCTATGGGCCGAAGATACGGTCATGGAGTAGGTTTACTGTAAAGGAAGAATGAAGGGCAAGCTATGAAAAGGGTCCGTGGAGCAGAAGCAAGCAGAATCATGGTGTATAATTTCATCCGATATAGTGACATCAGTGATTTTGACCGGAATGTTATACTGGTATGAATTGATCTAGTATTACCAGGTCGAATATGTAGATTCCACGAAATCTTGGTATTGATAGCCTGAACTCGTTATTCTGGACCGAGGCCTGGGGAAATATCACTTTTTTGGTGTTCATTGTCAAGTTTTTATGCAATTGCAATGACCACAGTTATACAGTTATGGAGCCGTCACACCGGTTCTCGGCTGACAATTCGAAAATCCACCAAAAGACAAATATCAATGACACGTAGTTCCTCTTATCGTGGCCGAGGCACAAATCGTCGCCAAAATCTCCATCGGCAAGGTCCGATGTGGAGCAAACCGTCATCTATGAAAAAGCAACATCCCTACTAGACGGTCTAGCCAATCCCCTCGTGGAGTGCAGCTTACTCCAGCTTTTCAGCAAGACCCTAGGGTTCAGCTAAGCTTCCCGGGGTAACGCATGTCGCTTGAATCAGCCATCACAACATCCTGTGAGGGGAGAAATCTGGGGAAACCAAGACTTTTAGCTAATATTATCGTCCCGTTTCATGACTCTCGAGCACTTGTACTCCACTCTTCTTAAAGACTTGTCCGGATATGTGTTCGGTTCCACACCCTCGCCAATGGGAGTTGTGAACCACCGCTCCGGGGTATGCCGCCCCACGTACTGCTCGGCTCCACCAGCATCAAGATCGTCCGGTAGGCGGCGTTCGCCGTCTAACACCCAGAGGAGTGCATATATCATCATTATATCCAACTTCATATCGATTTGGCGGGGCAATGGGTGTGGCATTATCTCCAAACTATAGATCTTGAATTTGCCTCTTCTCAATACCAATATTGCACCATGGCGCCGTATTTTGGCCTCCGTGGCCCTTCCCTGAACAGGGCTATCATGTGGTTGGTCGTGTGTCCGGCCTTTGTGACTTATGGATACAATCAAGGTGTGATGGGAGGTCTGTTGACCTTGGAATCTTTCGTTGGGACCTTCCCACAAATGAACACACTCACTGCAACCGATGCAGAGAAGACCTACAACTCGACGATTCAAGGTAAGCTCAAGTACTATATCTGGGGCACAAATCGATCCCAGATGCTCTGTATGTCCATCGCTTGGCTCATTTCTCATACCATATACTTTCAGGCACGGTCGTCGCGCTATATACCGTTGGTGGAATATTTGGTTCGCTATCATGTATTCAATTTGGCGATAGGCTCGGCCGCCGGAAAGTGATCCTGTTCACCTCCTTCATCTCAATGATTGGTGCAATCTTGATGGCAACATCCTTCTCCCTTCCACAATTCATCGTTGCACGACTCGTCCTCGGATATGGCACCGGTGGCTACGTCGCTACAGTACCCGTCTGGCAATCCGAGATCTCGAAGCCTAACAAGCGTGGCGCGCACGTAGTAACCGACGGTATCTTCATCGGCGCTGGTATCACCTTCTCTCTTTGGGTCGACTTCGGCTTCTACTTTGTCAAGACCAACTCGGTTTCCTGGCGATTCCCCTTGGTCTTCCAGGTCCTTCTATCACTGATGGTCATGGGCTTTGTAATGCTCTTCCCTGAATCGCCCCGGTGGCTGGTAAAAGAGGCCGCACCGAGGAGGCGCGGGAGATTCTGGCGGCGCTGGACGACGTCGATGCTCAGTCGGAACAGATCACCCTCGATATTCGCGATATCGAGACATCCCTAGCCCTTTCTGGAACAGGTTCCTGGAAGGATATGTTGAAGATGGGCGAGCAGCGTTTGTTCCACCGCACCGTTCTCGCCTGTATGGGTCAGATGTTCCAGCAGATGTGTGGAATCAATCTGATCACTTTCTATGCCACGACCATTTTCGAGCAATATCTCAAGCTCGATCCCGTTCAGTCTCGTATCCTTGCTGCATCCATGTGCCTAACACAACCGCTGGGCGGCCTGCTGGCTTATTTCACTATCGACCGTCTAGGTCGTCGCGTGCTTATGTTGTGGAGTGCTGTCGGAATGTCAATCTCAATGGCAATCCTAGCTGGCATCACATCCGTGCAAAATAACACCGGCAGCTTAGTCTGTGCCGTGGTATTCCTTTTCGTCTTCGAATTTATCTTCACGGTCGGATACTCCGGCCTAACCTTCTTATACGCCACAGAGGTCGCTCCACTCCAATGCCGAGCATCTATTAGCGCCATCTCCGCTGCCGCCGTGTGGACATTCAACTTCCTCCTTGCTGAGGTCACGCCCGTCGGTTTCGCTACCATCGACTGGCAGTATTATATTATCTTCGCCGTGTTGAACGCTGCCATCGTGCCGACTGTTTACTTCCTCTTCCCAGAGACGAATGGCCGCACTCTAGAGGAGATCGATGAAATTTTCTTGCAGTCGCGCAGTATCTTCGATCCACCCCGTATTGCTCGCTCGCTTCCACGTATGCACGTGGCGGAGGCTCATAGTGTGGATATCGATGCCAAGGAGGTTGGCAGTGGCGATGAGGGCGTCGGCAAAAAGCCTAAGGTGTAAATCATTCACGAAGATATGAAATAAGGGTCCTGCTGGTTTATCGGGATATGTAAATAGGATTTTCAACCGTGTCCCTTGAGCGACCGGTTATTATGAATTTATCAAACGAAATTTTGTTTTGGTTGCAGAATATTTTCGTGTTTCAATTGAAAAGGGGGGATTAATTGACAGATGACAGATTGAGGGGCATGTCGGTCCGATGATGCGAGCAAATGTCTCAGGTATACTTGGCGCCGTTTCAGGCCATCCTGCAGAGTTTCATCTTGCCAAGCATCCTTATTTCCTTGACGTATTTGGAGAGCCGCCTGTCGATCACTTGCCGGATGGCGATTCCCCCTATCGGGGTATGATGTTGAATAAAGTGGAAACAGAGAAGAAGAGTGGGAACAATGCACTATGCCCGCAATGTTTACTCTTCGGTCGCCGAATTACCATGAATCGGGGATGTTGATAGTAGATGAGGTGATCCGCGACGGAATATCTCCGGATGACAATGTCTTACTTCAAACAATCCTGCATGGTTTCATGGTCTCCATAAGTAGTCTCCGTGTTATATCCGGCGCAGCCGGTCTTACCCCGGGGTGCAGGTATATATAACAGCCTTTGTAATGGAGGCACCGCAGATTAAAAAGAAGCAAACCACACCTCTAAACGGCCCAGTATAACGCAAACACACAATCATCTCACCAAAATGCGCTCTTTCGCATGGCTCGTCTCTCTTCCCATGGTGGCCGAAGCGGGTGAAGTCCTATGGAGTGGACGATTCAACGCCTCTGCAACCGTTGCCGACATCGAGAAATGTATGTGACTCTCAGAAGATGCTGTTGATTAGTACTGACATAAGAGAAGGGTCGTGGTCTAACCAAGTTGGCGCTTGGCAGTGGTATATTCATGGGAATGCATCGACGGACAAGTACCTCGGTCTCTCACCTGACCACAAGAACCCGGCGGATAAGAGTGATGCACAGGGTGTCCGAATCACAATTGTAGGTTATATCTCAAACTCAAGGGAACCGGAAGCTGATAATAGTTAGGACGGCACATCGTTCTGGAATGGACAAGACATGGAACGATCCGAGCTCATCCCCCAGACCAAAGAGGATCTCGGCAGTGGGCATCTGTTCTATCATTTCTCGCTGAAGACAGAAGACACCAACGCACCGAACCCGAGCTTCGAGCACCAGATCGCATTCTTCGAGGTAACAACCCCCTGCCCAATGTATTGAAGAAAGTCACAGCTAACATGTATGTCCACCACAGAGCCATTTCACAGAGCTCAAGTACGGCACCGCGAGCGGCGCTTCGGGCAAAGACAACACCCTCCGCTGGTGCGTTGGTGGAGACTCCCACTGGGAAACTCAGTTGAAAGCAGGAAATTGGTACAACTTCGCCTATGATATCGACTTCGACGCGAAGACCGTTGGCTTGTGGGCATCGAATGGTTCCGAGAGCCTAAAGCAGGTTGTATCGGCTGTCAACGCGTCGACATCGACGGACTCGGCGGATTGGCATATCGGCGAGCTGCGACTCCCTAATGGGGGCGTGAATCCGGCTCCGGAGGATTGGTTTTGGTCTGGCGTTTTCGTGGAGAAGGCTCCAATCACCGCTGCTATTGCGGGTTCTGCTTGAGACATAACTTCAGTGTTGTAAAGCGCTTGGGGGTCGTTTGATAAGATCAGGCCTCGTGTTAAAATGAAATGAAGACAAACAACTTGGCAAACTTAACAAACATCATTCCACTCCACTCTAGGTCCACCAATGACGTAATACGTCAAACAGGGATATAGTTAGCTGTTCACATATCTGTATCCACAGTAACTAAACAGCTAAGCAATAGCACAGGAACCAAGAATTCAAGTCATAATGTGTAGAATTTGAAACTATGTGGTCATTTAAATTCGTTTAATAGTACAAAGGATAATTATTTACCGCACGGTGTAACCGCCGTCAATGAGCAAATCGTTGCCCGTCATGTAAGTGCTGGCATTGCTGACCAGGTAAACATAAGCACCCTTAAGTTCCTTCGCATCACCATTGCGGCCCATGGGGATCATAGAGTTCCAAAGATCCTGGACATCCTTTGCGACGAAATCAGACAACCCGGTGTCAATGTAACCAGGGGAAATGCTGTTCACGCGAGCAAAGTCGCGCCATTCGTTGGCCAACGACCGGGCAAGGTGAATTGTGCCGGCCTTAGCAACGTTGTATGAAGTCTGTTCCTGGGGGAAGTTGGCAATGTGGCCTGACATCGACGCAGTAATGACAAAGCTGCCGGTTCCCCGCTCCTTGAAGTGCGCGCCAACGGCCTTGGCGCAGTGGAAGGTACCAGTCAAATCGGTGTTAATGACTTCATTCCAGTCGTCGACAGAGCCATCAAGGATGCCGCTATCGGCTGTGCGTCCAGCGTTCGCAATGAAGGCATCGATCTTGCCGAAGTCCTTGATCACGTCCTTCACGAGAGTATCCACGCTCTCCCAGTTACCCACGTCGCACTTGTAGGGTCGGACTGTCACGCCGTATTCTTCTGAGAGTTCCTTGGCGTTCTTCTCGCCGCCCTCGCGGCGGGAGGCGTATGTGATGGCCAGGTCGGCGCCCATCTCGGCACAGCCGCGGGCGGCTTCGATTCCCATACCACGAGATCCGGAGGCTCCGGTTACAACGACAACCTTGCCCTTGAGGCTAAGGAGGTCGAGGAGGCGCTCGGCTTTGGGGACAGGGATAGGCATTATGGTGGAGGTTTGGTTTGGTGGTTAGGGAGTCGAGAGAGGGTAGGTTTGAATGGAGGGCTTGATAGTATAGATGAGAAGAGTGTTATTTGATTATAGTCATTCAACTTCTGGGCATGAAGGTGGCTTAAATATGTCGACGCCCCTCATATGACTTCATGGTTGGCTCCACGAAGTATCCTAGCGCTGACATCAGAAACCCAGGTAGGTATAGCTATCTGTGGATCTCCTGCGGCCGGCTTTATCAGGTTATGGCCTCTGTTGTTCCAGCCAACTTGGCAAATGCAGGCATAACATCGAATCACTTCAGTTCTGTCAATCGTAGTGGAGACAGATGGCGGTGGGGCAATGACGTCATGACCTGAACTGGGATCTTCCAAGCCGGAATCAGTTCATCCAACTTGTTTTAATATCATCATGTTGGAGATTAGATGACATCGGCCTCTAGAAGATAATTTCCCGATCATTCTGGAAGCTTCCTATGTTGTTCTTGCATGTTCTCTTCATCAGAACATGTCGAAGCTATCAGCACTGAACGCGGGGGATCGCCCCACTTCGACACGCTAAGGAGAAGTATAGAGTTGACAATGGGTTCGAGCCTTCTCGCCCATTTTGTATGCAGAAATACTTCCTGGCAATCCATGGGAGCCCTATGGGGTATTATATCTTCATAGAATGGTAGAGAGAAAGGTAGAACTAAAGTCTCTTCAAAGAACCCTAAAAAGTGATGACGGAAACGACAAGACCCAGAAAATTGAAACGTCGAGTCATTGACTTTGTATCAGAAACAAAAGAAATCCCCGGGCCACTTCTAGCACAGCCATGTATCCAATAAACTTCTTTTTTCATTCCAAATATGACAGATCAAGCCGAAGGAATCCCTCCTACTCAGCCAATCCGGGAAGGCGGACGTCTGCATCGATCCTCCACAGCAAGTTCCCTACACCATAACAACTTTAAAGATTCATTTTTCTCAAGGTACACACAAGGAATTTCCCTGAAGAAATTTTGAGCCTAACTAACAATGTTGTAGAACCCATTCCTTCTTCCATCGAGACAGTCACATAGGTCATGTCGGGCGACACCCTTTGCGAGGCAGCCAAGACATCGAGCTACATACCTGGGATGGCCCCGATGATCCAGATAACCCGTAAGACACGAGAAAAGGATGATCAAGAGGGATTTCACTGACAATCCAGATTCAATTGGAGTAAAACATATAAATGGGTGCTCACTATAACGATTTGTTTCATGTCAGTGTCCGATCGTTTTGGCTGAGATTATACTAACCGATTATAGTTCAATCCTCACAGGTCTCCCAGCTGGATCCTACGGCGCAGGAAACAAATACATGGAGCAACAATTCCATGTCCAAAATGAGCCCTTTCCTAACCTTGCATGGGCTACAGCGTCTTGGAATATGGGCGCTGCATTCTGGCCCCTGATCTTTGTTCCATTGACCGAATCCTCGGGGCGTATGCCTGGATATTTTGTTGCATATTTCATTCTCGTCATATCCCTGTTTCCTTCAGCCTTTGCGCAAAACTTTGCCACGTTGGTCGTTACCCGATTCTTTGGCGGAGGTGCGTCTTCGGTGTCGATCAACATTGTCGGCGGTAGCATCAGTGATGTCTGGTATGGCCCCAAAGCTCGGAGCTTACCGATGTCTTTGTTTGGATTTACCAGTGTGGTTGGGATAGCATTGGGTCCATTCATCGGATCAGCGATTCAACAGATCCATAAAAGCAGCCCATGGAGATGGTAAGTTTTGCATTTAAATATCCCAATTAATGTGGAAACACCGCTGATAAGCATTCAGGATCTTCTATATTCAAATTATTTATAATGCTGGATTAATCCCCGTCTTCTGGTTCATTCTTCGCGAAACCCGTGCAGATGTGATCTTAAAGAGACGTGCCAAAAAGCTCCGCTATGAGACTGGCCGCTCTATATACGCTGAAGCCGATTTGGACACCACCAGTGTCTGGAAGCTTGTGCAGATTTCATTCGAGCGCCCTACACGAATGCTCCTCACTGAACCTGTGGTCATCTTTTTTACCCTATGGGTCAGCTTCGCGTGGGGAATCCTCTTCCTCTTCTTCTCGAGTGTCGCCCAGACCTTTAGTTCAAACTATGGCTGGGGAACGTTCCAGACTGGTCTTGTTCAGCTAGCCATATCGGTCGGAGCTGTGATTGGCACAGTTCTGAACCCGATCCAAGATTGGATCTACCTCCGATCCGCAAGCCGGAATCGTGAGCACCCGGGAAAGCCTGTCCCAGAAGCCCGGTTGTATACTTCTATACCTGGCAGTTTGTTGTTCGCTGGTGGGCTCTTCTGGTACGGGTGGGCCAGTGTGGGGGACGGCTCTGTCCCTTGGATTGTGCCAGCGCTGGGAATTGGCTGTACTGGCGTGGGAATCTACTCTATCTACATGGCCGTGGTAAACTATTTGACTGATGCATATGAGAAGTACGCTGCTTCAGCCTTGTCAGCTGCTTCATTGGGTCGCAATACCTTTGGCGCATTTCTCCCTCTTGCCTCCTTCCAGCTGTTCGAAAACCTGGGCTATGGTTGGGCTGGGTCATTACTTGGTTTTGTTGGACTCGCCCTATCGGTTGTGCCTGTCGTGCTCGTACTTAAGGGGCCGGCTATTCGTCGACAAAGTCCATTCATGCGTGAGGCCATGTTTGCGCCCGATGATGAAAGTGAACAGGATGACGTCGTACAACAAAAGACAGAAGTGTGATAGGCCACTTCTTCAGACTAGACTAGTTGGTGGACACGCGTCACCACTAAATCCCTGTATATGAAACACAAAGATCGGTAATGAGATATATTAGCGCATTTGCGCTAGATACTTGGTTAATCGTATTAACCGATACAATTCAAAAGTAGAAAGTACATACTCCGTAGGCCGAGCAAGATTGACCACAGTAGCTAGACCTAGGTATGTATTTAACACTATACGCCGCAACATGAACGAAATATGTCCACCTGTATATATATGCTGTTGCCTCCAATAGGATATCGTCCATTGGTCATTTGCTAAATTTGGCATCTGCAGCTCAAACATGTAGTTGGTGGACATTGTTGGTGCCAACTGCGAATTTAAGCTCAATCTGCGAAGGATCATCTCAGCCCCACAAGCTTCGTTGCGCCAAGATAACCATTGCCTTGGACGTGATAGAACTTTCTTGGCGCGCAGTCTCGGCGCTCAAGACATATCCCACTGGTAGTTTTCTCTCTTCGGCGGGATACAGCATCTACCTAACTAACCCTAAGCAATGCTTAAGAATCCAACCGAAATGGTTGCCCTTGTTTGGAGACTCCCCCTCGCCCTACTGGATCTCGGGATTGCCCGCGGTCGAAGGAGATGGCTGATTAAGCGGAGAGTCAGGCCCCGGGGCTCCGAGCCCTCCACCTAGGGCTATATTAGGAAGGCAGGGGACTTGTTTCCAATTAGTGGACAGTCATTCGTCAGCCCTGGCCGATCTTTCCTAAATGGAATAAACTCGTGGAGTGGAGATTTCCCGCCATCAGTTCTCCTGAAGAGTTGACGCGGCGCCAAGCAAGCTTGTGTAGGAGATGCGCCAGACTTGCTGCCACTCAAGTCTAAGCCATTGAGTATTCGGACCGGCCGGGAATTCCGATAATTGAAAGTGCTGTTTCTATTCCAGGTGAACACGCGTCCGGGGTAAAAAATAAATTTGTCGTGAAGAGATATAAATCCAGGCTCCAGCAGCTATGAAGTCCAGTCCTCCAAAAACTGCCTATAAAATTTTACCTTATTCAAAATGGTCCAGCTTTCCAAATTCCTCGCTGTTGCAGCGGCCTGTCTGGCGACTCCTTCCATCGCCCACCCAGGAGAACAACACGATCCCCGCGCCTTGAAGCATGAGATCCATACCCGGAATTCCATGGCTGCCCACGCTAAGCGATCCCTCAATGCTTGCGAGAGCTCTCCCGCCGCGCGCCAGTTGAACCAGCGTAGCATCACCCGTCGCTCGAATACTGTCCAGAAACTTCGCCAGAAGCGTGGAATTACCGCCAGTAAGCTACATCCTTAATCGTATCACCCGTCAAACACTAGCTGATGTGCATCAAGGTTCCCAGAAATGGCGCCGCGACCTTGCTGCTCTCGAGAAGTGGGAGGCTATCGACCACAACCGTACTGGCATCCTTGATTACAGCCCCGCGACTCCGGAGTCAGTCGTATTTGGTGCTAACACCAGCTTTGTTCTGACGCCCACCATCACTGACGGTCCCTACTATGTTTGGGGTGAGGTCGTCCGTCAGAATGTCAAGGAAGAGCTTTACTCGGATGGTGTCGATGTCTTCCTCGAGGTGCAGTACATCGACGTGAACACCTGCAAGCCCGTTCCTGGAGCAGTCGTCGATATTTGGCAAGCCAACGCCACTGGTGTCTACAGGTAAGTTTCCAATGCCCATCGACGGATCTAAATGTTCCAATTGGGACTGAATCATATATCTAATTACTCTTCTCATGAACAGTGGAATCTCCGTGTCAGGCAACTACGCCGCAGACGGCTGGGACTCGACTTACCTGCGCGGCATCCAGCAAACTGACCGTGACGGCGTCGCAACCTTCGAAAGCATCTTCCCAGGCCACTACGACGGCCGTGCCACGCACACCCACCTTCTCACTCACCTGAACGCAACCCTCCTCCCCAACAAGACCCTCAAGGCCGACACCGGTAGCGTCGCACACATCGGACAGCTGTTCTGGAACGAGGTGCTCCGCACCGCCGTCGAGGACACCTCTCCCTATAACACCAACACCCAGGCTGTCACCTCCAACGCCGAAGATATGTGGAGTATCCTGCAGGCAGATAGCGCTTACGATCCCTTCCCGGAGTACATTTACCTCGGCGAGGGCTTGGACGATGGATTGTTCGCTTGGATCCAGATTGGAATCAACACCACCGCCGATTACACTGATAACTCGTACTACAGCATTGCCGCTTACCACTATGCTGATGGTGGCGTCCAGAACTCTGATAGCTCGTTTGGTGGCGGTAGCGGTGGTGCTCCCTCTGGTTCTGCTCCCTCTGGTTCTGCTCCTAGTGGTACCGCTATGCCCAGTGCATCTCCCTCGTCTGCTTAAGGAATTGGATGAATGAGGGAATGTACTCAATCAGTGATCCAAAGAGCTTGATAAGAGGTTGCTCCAGGGAAGTGAAGACCGCAGTGCATCTGGTTGCTAGACACTGTATGTAAGTTTTATCCTTTTATGTATCAACAAATACACATTGTATGTAGGGCCAGTAATCACATTTGATACCGAGATTTTTTTTCATGTGTAACTTCCTCTTCTAATTCCCCCTCTTATGGTAGTTACCTGTGATCTCTTCATAGCATGACCAAACTCCGGCACGTGCGTTAGGGCTCAACGGGTGTGTACCGAACACGAACAACTAACCCCTCGACGGGCGAAAAAGTGGTTGTGTGGCGGGCATAATGTGTAAATAGCCGCGCACGGACGGGGAACCTTGGTTTTGGAGATCGTGGAAATGATCGAATTTGGGAGGACACCATGGGTTTCGCAATTACGGTAGATCATTGATGTCATGCCCACAGTTTCGAATATAGAGCAGGTATTTTCTCGTAGTTATAGTACTCTAGCCCTTGAGCCTTATGTTGTACGTCTGGATTAATTGGCATAATTCCGTTCCCTCCTGGGTACTCCTAGGTATTGTGTGAAGTGCCTCGGCTTCTATTTCGCATATGATAGATGAGGGAGTAATGGCCAAGAAGTTGCAGAAAATACAGTCTAAACTAAGGTCCGAGGTTGTGTACTGATCCACGGTTGGAAGGGGTTTGAGGTGGAAAACCGAGAAAACCGAGAAAACTTAGAAAAACAATTAAAGTTCAAGCCATGTAATTGACCCACGTTGCATGTACCAAAATCAATAAGGTTGGACGTAAAACGTCGATTTCACCTTAGAAATCTCCTTTGTGCAAACCCTGGAGTCCTCGAACCCTGGAACCCTGCAACGTGAGGAACCAATGCGGCTACCTATCCCCGGTTCCAGGGATTATATTTGGCCGTTACTGCACGGGCGGCGCCGGAATCCTGAAGAGGAGGGAAGCCGTCCCGGCGAAACTCAATGTATGTATCGTGCCACGAGCATTTATTTCCCCGCAATCCCCAATTCTGGGAACCTGGTAACAGTAACTATTACTCCGTTGAATCCCCGCTGTAACTGTGCCAAGTGGCCAAATGCGTGAACACCACCCAGTGTTCATGCGGCCGAATAAAGACAAATTACCTCACACAAAGGATTCCCATTCCCATAATTTGCGCTTGGTAATATCCCTGGAATTTTGTATTCATTCAATAGCTGTTCATTGAGTAGCAGTTCATTCAATAGCACCACATGCGACACGGGTAATAACTCAAATTTGAGTGGAAAAGAACTCACCTACGCCAAAGTGACCCCAAACTTGCCAGCCGTTCGGGTGGTCTCGTGTGGCGATCTATTGGAAATAGACTTGATCCGGATATCCAATATCCATATTGCCCCCACTAGCGAGATATGATTCACCGATTGATCCCCGTACTTTCCAGGGCTCATGCCCACTTTGAGGGTCTTTGTTGAAAATAGAAAAATTAGGGGTCTAGAGCTATATTAAACAAGTCAAAGTTCATTGAAGCCAGAATAGCGGGCCCGGGGATCTTCGAATATAACCATGACGGATTTCCCCATTTTATTTGTCTGGTTCTTTTTGGCATTTTCTGTGTATAGGCGCGGAGGGGATCCTCGTGCCCTCTAGTCATTCATTATGGATGCTAAAATTGACCCGCTTGAGGAGGTCGACCTCGATGACAGCCACAACAAGGCCATTTTGATCGTTACTTCTGTCTTCTTCGGTATTTCGCTGGTGAGCGTTATGCTAAGATGCTTTGTCCGCACCCAAGTCGTTCGTGCTTGGGGCTGGGATGATGGAACTATGGTAATAGCTATGGTGAACTACCCTGCACCTTCCACATAGCGAACAACTACTAATCTTGTCCCTTCCCATACAGTCCCTCAACACGGCCTTCGCCATCTGCGGAATCGTCGGGTGTAAATACGGCCTCGGGAGGGAACTATCCTACTTTATCCTACACCCAGACAACTTCTACCGGGCAATGCTGGTACGATCTCAGCCCTAGTATCCTACAACTCAAGCTTACATACTCCCAACAGTGCTGGTGGGTAGGCCAACTTTTCTACGTATTAACCTGCGTCGTCGCCAAGCTCTCCATTATCATCGCCCTCCTCCGCATCACCATCTCTCGCGTCCACGCCTACATCCTCTACGCCGCTATGACCCTAGCCACCGTCATTGGCCTCATATTCTTCTTCTTCACCATATTCCAATGCTCACCTGTGAACTACTTCTGGAACCGCACGCAGTCTCACGCCCATGGCTCCTGCATCAAGACAACTACCCTCATCGGTGTCGCGTACTTGTATAGTGTCGGTGCCGCTATTACAGACTTGACTATTGGATTGGTTCCAGTGGCATTGATCTGGAATTTGCATATGAGTCGCCGCACTAAGGTTGCCATTATCATTATTTTGGGTATCGGTTGCATGTTCGTGACTCCGAGGCACTTGGCTTTAATTTATTTGGTGGCAAATGCTAACATCCCTGCAGTGCGAGTGCTGCGGTTATTATTCGCATCCCCTATATCCCCACCTACCAAGATCCAGACTTCCTATGTACGCACGACCCTTTCTTAACGCCCCCAATTTTCAATCCAGACACTTCCACTAACACCCAACAGACGCCACTTACCAACTCTCCATATGGTCCAATATCGAAGCAGGAATTGGCATCACGGCGGGTTGTTTAACAACCCTCCGACCCTTAATCCGCTTTTTCCGCGACGGTTCCTCTGATGCCACACCAAACTCATATCCTCTACCCAACCACATCGCTGGCGGCTTCCACCGCTCTGCGCCATCAAAACAGATGTCCCGTGATGAGGCGCACCAGCTCTGGACCGGTCGAGGGAGTGACGAATACCACGGGGTAACTACCACCATATCCGGAGCTCACCAAAAACAAGTTAGTTCCAGTCAGGAGGACCTGGCTCCATATAGTAACGTCTCCGATGCTCCGGGGTGGATGGTGGAGAGGTCTGTTCGCGTGTCCGTGCACAATTCATGACATCCATGGATCGGGCCAAGTCCCAGATCTAGGCCCTCTAGAGGGTTATATAATTTATTTCATAATCTCACGTATAAGTTTACGACAATTCATTATTTTTGTTCAAGATTTGGGTATTCTTTTTTTTTTTTTTTTTTTCCCAAAAGCTACTATCGAAACGTGCTGGTTCCTTATGCAGGGGTAGCCCGATCGTCCAGCTATTGCCGGATCAACAGCCGATCGCGATGTGCCGCAAAGAGCCGATCTTTACGTACTTCGGATAAGGCACCAAGCTAACCAAGGCTCTACTATATGTTTCACTTCTATTATTACGTAGTCCAGACCGATATATTGCCGCTGCCACTAGCATGGGATTTCTAAGAAATACCAATTTGGAGGGAATATACTAATTGCTCTGAAATGATAATTCGAATGTCTACAAGATAATACTTGGGGCAGAAGAGGCAATAATAGGAATCAAGTAACGAGCTTGCCTGTTCTCCCTATTTTTGGTCTCGAACTATGTACCCACAGATCTACAATCCTTTCCTATGTATTCCGTTTATTATTTTCTATTATTCTCCAATAGATATCTGTTAGAACCCCAGTGGTTCCTACAAATATTGGTGCCTAAGGTATCAGTCTACCCACGCGGCCTTAGGATCCAAGGATACCAATGAATGTTTTATTTCCTACAAAGGATGGAGAGTTATATGATCTATGAATATATTACCTTCGCGGGCTAATTCTCTGTAGAGATGGCTATTGGCTTTTTTATAATACTACAGTAGACATTTTAGCTCTATTTCTTGATTATATATTTTTTTCATCCCAACTACCCTACCATATCCTAGTAAGAGTATTTATGAAGTACTATTTCTCTAGGTAGATTACCTCCCATCCCGAGATCAGGCACACAGACGAATAAAAGCAATGAAAGGGGATGATGATCCAGAGACACTATCCAGCCTAGCCCTTCTTACAGCAACATACGGGTGTCTAGACAAGCTAGAGATAGCGGAGCCGCTGTTAAGCGGCGTAATAGCCAGACAAAGAAGAGCTATGGGCCCCACAAACAAAGACACTCAGTTGAGCATGTGATATTTGGCCAAGGTGTTTGAAGATCAGAATCGACCAAAGGAGGCAGAGGAACAATTGGTGCAGATTATAGAGGCGAACAAAGCCTCCGCCGACCTAGATCTTCCCAACCTTATGTTGGTTATGGCCCACCTAGCCTGGATGTTCTATGAACAGAATCGGTTTCATGAGGCAGAATTGCTAATAGTTGAGATACTAGAGCAGACCAAACTCTCTCTCGGCCCAGATTATCCAGAAACCTTCTCAGCAATAGATTAATTGGGGGGTCATGATATTGAATCAGGGACGGTTTCAAGAGGCCAAAACCATATTCAGCACATTGCTAGCATCATGCAAATGGCTCCTACCTCCAGGTGATCTACAGAGGATACAAACTTCATCAAACTTGGGGGCTGCCTTGTATGGCCTGGGGCGGTTTCGGGAAGCATAGACTCAACTTGGGTTTGTGTTGCAGATGGGACAAGCAACAGACAAGGCAAGGGAAGTGTTGATTGCGAGCTTTGTCCGCCTTGATAGAATACGAGAAATGGTAGGGATATCAGCAGAGGCGATTGAGTTGATGGTACAAATTGCCTAGGGTGAAAGCGAGGATTCAGGCCCGTCAGAGGAGTTGGAGGTTGTCGAAGATCCAATGGAGGTGGACATCATGACCGGGATACAAACAGGCAACAGTGCTATTTTGAAGAGAAAAAGGGTCTAGGGAGTCATGGACGTGATATCCGTGCCTGATTAGCTGAATGAAATATTCCCATACTGGATGTACCCCGTCCTCGAATGCTGTAGCTGAACATTCTTTCTCAGATGAGGCATTCCAAGTGAGATGGCGTGGAGAGAACGATGTGTAAGATTCTCACGCCCCGCAGGCGTACCATCCATTTAGCTAGCAGATGAAATATCCTTTGGTAATAAATGTAATGAATGTAATATTTGGGAACAAAGGACATACAAAAAAGATATGCAAGAGAACTTCTAAAAAAAAGACATGACAGGGCCACATAAGCTGCCGACTATTGTTCTACTGAGTCGTAACCTTAGAAGTTGACTGTTCATTAAATTCACTATTTGCTGAAACATACAAAGTCAATTCACACATGGCATCATATACAACCGCCTGGGTAGTGGCCCCGGTGTTTATTAATTATCTCACTGATTGGTATCCTGCGTCTTCTCACGCACAAGGCCCTCCTGCGACTCAGCAGGCCGGACTGAATAGGGATCAACGACAGTTGACGAGAACTTGCTCGCCTTGATCTTGCTAGCAAACAGAATATCCAGTTCAGCGTAGGTGCGGCCCTTGGCCTCAGGAAGACGGAAGAATGCCCAGACAAAGGCAACGAGTGCCGTGGCTCCCCAGAAGAATCCGGTCTTGCCAGACGCATTCCACGCGGTCGGGTTCATGAAGTACGGCTCTAGAACCTGGGATACCACGTTGATGATCTGGTATGCTGTACGAGCGAGACAGACCGTCAGAGGACGTAGACGCACGGATGATGTCTCCGAGACGATGGCGTAGGCGATGGGACCAATGGTCAGTGAATAAGTCAAGAGCCAGAAGAAGCACAGTCCGGCTTGCGCCCACATAATGCCATTTGCAGAGGAGGATACGTCCAGGATGCCGATAATGAAGAGAATTGCGCAGAGCGTTCCCTGACCCACGACGTATAGCGTGCGCCGGCCGAATCCTGTGATCAGCCACCAGGAGAAACAGGTTCCAACGAAGGCAATGGCAGTACATCCAACACCGAGCTGGAAGGAGCGGGTGACAGGAAGGCCGGCTTGGGTGAAGAAATAGGTAGGTGAGTAGGCGAATGTACTGCCGGATAGAATCTGGCCGACCAAGGCCATGCAGCAGATCTCAGTGCGGCGAAGGTCAACTCCCTTGAAGCAGTCGTAGTAGGTGGTGCCAGCTTCGATCTCAGATTCGAGCTTGATCGTGTGCACCATCATGGCCAGTTGTCCGTTGATCTGGTCTTCGGTCTTGGTGCCACCCAGGCGGCGAATGCTGCGCTTGGCATCTTCCAGGCGATCGTGGCGGACGAGCCACCAGGGACTCTCGGGTGCGAGCCAGGCAATCACCATCAGGGGAACGGGCCAGATCCACTGCAGGCCGAAGGGAATACGGTAGCCCCATTGGTCCTTTCGATCGACGAGTCCGTAGAGAACACCGGAGGCGATCAGCTGGCCGATAGCCCAGCACAAGTTGACATAGATGGTGAGGTAACCGCGCAGCACGGTGGGGCATACTTCAGATGCGTACGCCGGTCCGATGGTGGCGAACACTCCCCATGAGAGTCCGCAAAGGACCTGGCCGGTCAGAAGAACTGCCGCAGAGTTGGCGAAGAACGTGATGAAGATCAAAGCAGTGAGGAACCCAAGGGCGACGAACATCACGGGTCGGTAACCGTACTTGGAGGCACAGTATCCGTTCAAGATACCGCCTGTGATCATGTCAGTCTTTGTCCTGCTTTCGCGATCGGTAGGAAAACTCACCAAAGATACATCCGACTGTACTGGCCATGTTCAGACCTGTTTGCCAAGGGGCAGACACCTGCCATCCGATATCACCACCATAATCCTGTCCATACTTCTCATTGAACGACGGGTAGGCGAAGAAGTTGCCCATCAGGATAGTATCGTATCCCTCCATGATGATGGACATGGAGATCAAAACAGACCACATGACAGCCTTTCGGTTCTCCCGCAAAGCTTGCATCAGTGTCTGCGAGTGCTCATCGTCGGTGGCCTGCTTGGCCTCGCTGATGGCACCGTGGCCCAGAGTATCTTCGACATGGTTGGCGGCAGACTTTTCTACCGCAATTACAGCATCACCAGTGGTCGCCATGGTCAATGAAGGGGCTGATGTTGACTATTGTAATACAAGATCCCACTGAACCTCAAACCCGAGGGGGAACCCGTCGTCTATATACGTTAATTATCGCGACATTCAAACTGCATTAGCGTGTATCCGGGGTTGTGGAGAAAGAAAAAGGCGATTTGGCACCGGATCCCTAGACTGCAATCAGCCCATCTCGGTATTCAGGCTAATTGTCGCGCTGGGTAGAGCGTGGGAAGAAGACATATTCGAGTCGAGTCATACAATAGTAGAGTCTAGACCAACTCTGGAATGTCGGACATGATGGTTTGAAATTTACACCTATCAGTAGGGAGAATATCGACAAGTGGGAATTTTTCGAATCAATTCAGCCGCCAGTAAGTATTAGTGTCTGGGGAAGCGAGGTCGGGGAAATGTGGGGAGGCCATGTGATTGGACCTGGCCGCGTAGCGTTAACGCCCCCGGAATGTATGAAATGAAGCTATCCCCTTTCTGTAACGGCAGGCAGGCCGCACATTCAATTTGGAATAGGTGCCCAGAACAAAATTCGGGACCCAGTCTGAATTTTTTTGCGCCTATTGGAACAAGACCCAGGTCAGGTGCCGTCGAATATATCTGTCACGGCGTTTCGGGCCGGCTTGGGTAATGTGACGAGCTCGGATTCCGACATCCGATGTTGGAACGGCGTTTTCCTCTATGGGATCTGCGAGCAGAATCTGGGGTTTTTCGCACTTGCTGGGGTGTTTGTCTTGCTTTGGACAGGGATCTGTGCTGTCCTCTCAACTTAAAACTCGCTGCACCTCGTGCGATAAAGGGAAATCCATGCATGTGACTTCCTTATAACGGCCATCACTCTTGAAAATGAACTTTCAATTCACTTGTTCTCTTTAAAAAGGAATATATCGGGCTTTCCAGCCAATCACACCACTGTGATGGTCCAAACCAAGTGGGCTTTCACGGGTAATACCGGTGTTTATGCATGGAAGTGGTTCGTCCAGGGACACCCCCGGAATCGGCAAGGGTCACTCAACTCTCTTCTTCTTGCTACGAACTTCCGGTGTTCGCAGTCCGATTCAGCATAACTGAGCTCCGAGGGGTCAACGTGCCGAGTTCATGTTGGAAGTTGGGCGAAGGAGCAGACAGTGTAATAACCCTTCTCTCTACTGCTTCCTGCAGCGCAATCCATCCTCCTACCATCTCCCAACCCTTGTCATCATACTGCACCTCAACGCTGGGGGTAGGAAAAAACTGTCCCATGGCCGTTGGCGGTCGAACAAGACCATAGTTGACGCAGAGATGATCCGACCACTGGGTGTCTTCGGTGTCTGCCTCATATACTAACAAAAATAGTCACTGATGCGCCCTTGGGATGTCTTTTGGTGGTCTTTTTGGTGGTCTTTTTGGTGGTCTTTTTGGTGGTCTTTTTGGTGGTCTTTTTAGATAGTCTTGTGATATATCTTCTGATGTGTATATAGAGGCGGTAAAAGAGCGTCAATCAATCAATCAAAGTTCAATTAACCTGTTGCAGTCTAAGTAGTTGTGTGTGACTATGCAGGCGCTTCATCCAACTGAAGCAAGAACTCGAATTCAGACGCCGAGTGGGATCTCTCTCAGAGAATTTATATATACAGAGGCCAGTCCATAAAGAGTGCAAAATCAGCCCATTCCCATAAATCAAACCCATACAGAAGAGATAACCATATAATAATTGCCGGGGGGTGCACTCCCCACTTTCCATCTCTCACTTTTCTCTCTCTCTCTCTCTCTCCGGTAAAAGAACATACTCTACATGAAAGACTTATGATATTTGTTTTCAAATACTCTTTTTCAAGCCGGTGTATCTTCTCCTTCTACACGTGATTACTGATTACTCCATATTCTATTATTACACCCCGTATAATAACCAGACGCCCCAAAAGATAGGAATTTAGGCGGATCTTACATCTATACCGTACATCGCTGTACACGTCGAATTCTCCCATAGCTAAAAAAAAAAAACCTCACATCTTCCGAAATATTTGTAATTTTTGGAGCCTATTGGGCCCCTACTAAGGCCCAACAGGCCGTTACTCCGGGCCCACGACCTATTGCTAGGCCTAGGATCCGGGCCCAGAACTCAGCCCATTAGTGGATGAGGGCGGGTTGGGTTTTAGGCCTTGTAGGCCTTGCAGAGATCTAGTGTATGCATATCCAAAGAACGGCCAAAGTTCCTATAGTCGGAGAATATGGTAGGCTATCAGTTGAATAGTTCGACCCAGCCTTGGTAAATAGTAAATAACTATATTGAATCGACTTCTACCCCAAAACATGACTATTCAACAGCCATACCTCCAATCTGCCTAAAGCCCCGCGCTAGTGATGCCAGCATATAAAGATTCCTTCAAACTAGTCCAATCAGCCTGGCCGAAAAACGAGTTAAGTAACTCCTTGGACCTGGTTGGCACCACAATATCGACATATCCCTGACGTGCACCTGGGGGGTTCTTGACAAGTTTGTCGCTGGATGCCGGGCGAAGCTCGCGGAGGTGGTCGACAACTCCCTTCCAGATCAGTGGTGCAGCTAGTCCGAAGATACGCTCAGACTTGACACTGGGGTCGAGGAGGGCGATTGCATGGAGGCGAGCGACATCTTTGACGTCGACAAAGTACTCTATTAAGAGGATTAGCATCCTCAACAGACAAATAGTATAGAATAAATGAATGCTCCCTCGTTGATAACAGGAAAATAACAAAGTGAAGAAAGGGGGTCCTTACGGGAAATAGCTATGTCAATGACCATGTCATTTCCTTCCAGTAGCTGGAGAGCCAGAGCTCCTGTTGAGCCAATATTCTTATGCAGAATCTCTCCCATCTATGTAGAAGTTAGATAATCGTCTCGTAGTTGGAAATGAATAAACTTACTGTGAAATCTGGAAGCACGGAGTTGAAAGTAAATGAAGGTTTATTCTTCTTGACCCAGTTATAAGCCGCGCGTTCGCCTTCAGCCTTGGATGCGATGTAAACAAGGAAGCCCTTGCTCTCTGCAGGAGTGTTCTTGTCCCACGCTGCCTGAACAGCGGTCTCGTTCCATGTATCTATGTATTTTAGTCATGCTGCAACATACATTCAGGAAGAAGAGATAGGGCTTACCTTGAGTCAGTTCAATTCTGCCCTCGCCTGGGTAGGGAACCACGGCTGAAACGGAGGATGAGGTAAGAACAACCCTCTTGATAGATGGTACTCGAGCAGCAGCTTCGAGAACGGCCTCCGTGGTGGCCACGACGTGATTAATAATGTTAGGGTCGGGGCCGAAGGATGTATCCGAAGCCTGTATTTCTAAAGTTAGGATCTCGCAACAACCACGGAGATGATCAATTTTACATACCACATGGACAATACCACTGACGCTATCCAAGGCTGCAGCTAGAGCCTCCTTGTCATCCAAGGTTGGAAGATTGACGGTTTCAAATTTCCCACCTCCATACTTAGACTTAAACAGCTCATTAAGCCACGGCTTCTCAGAGCGAACAGCACCACGGACAATATATCCTAGAGATAATAGGACATCAACAACATTGGAGCCGATGAAGCCATTTGCGCCGGTGACAAGGATACGCTCGCCAACCTTGAGGGCATAGGAGTCTTGGGAAGCCATGGCAGCTTGAGGGAGTTGCTTATGTGAATGCTGTGTAAAAAAGGAGTGTCCTAAAGTGTCCTTGTAAGAATGATAGTGCTCGAAATAATACTCTATTTCCCCGCGAGACGTACTTATTTATATTATTTTCTAGATACAATGTTTTAATCCGTGCTTGATAAGCCTGGAGAGATTTGTTCTCGAGGAAATCAAATGTACCACACATTTGGTAGCGGACTCACCCCATAGATTGCCTTGTGTCTGATTTCTTAGTGGTGGTTAGGTCTGTGAACCGGAGGTCCGGGTTGATCCGGTGCAGCTTGTACATCCTCCGGAAGTCCGGGTTGACTGCAGCTTGTAAATTCTCCGGAGCCTGAAGTTTGTATCTTGTATCATCTATGATTATAAACAGTATTTGATTCCTCATCCCCAAATTTAGAGAGGCCAACCCCCCAACAGTTGCGCCCATGAGAGTGAGTGTGCACTATGGCCCTATGGCTCTCGTATATATTGATGATATCCTTGTGGAAGGAATAAAGCTTCTTCGTCAGGAGACTCTCTCATTGCATCCCACAACATAATACTAATTCTTGCAATTAAGTCATCTTTACTCAAAGGGAGTTTTTTCTAGGCGGTCCACCGATTATATATTTCTACATATGGTCAACAATGGATACAAAGGAAGTAAAAATCTTTTCGATGTTATCTCGAGCCCCCCAATAATCTTCAAATGTTGTTTTTAAGAAAACGAAAGGAATATTGAGAATGGGTGGATGATATTATAGGGAAGTTTATGGAGTACAAAGGTAGAAGATGAAGATATTCCCAAAAAGGTGTAGACCCTGCCGATCGGATGACATCAGGAATGTTGGTTGCTTCCGCCCACATCCGCGTCGGTGTGTACCTGGATTCCGCGAATTTCTGGATCCCTTGGGAGAACTTCAACACCTTCCCGATGCTATCCTACATATCTGCTGCCTTCCAGTCCTCGCCGGAAGAAGGCGTACAGCAGCGACCTCCACGGTATGCTGGTGAAGATACCACGCCAACAACCCGCCGGGAGATCTTAGGATGGTATTCGTACGGGATTGCGGCTGAAGTGTTCGCGGTCTGTGGTGTAGGTTCGTAAAGACATATTGCCAATTCAAAAAAAAAAAAAAAAAATTCCAAAAATTCAAATTACTTACTATACCAGGCTCTTTTCTACCCCTCACCTTGGAACAGTTAGCCCGAGAGCGTGGCACCCTACAAACGAGCCGCCTTCCCTGTGTCGGATCATCCGCAGGGAACAGCACAAATAATGCTGAAAATGGCCCATGTGTGGTCCCGGTCTTCGGCCTGGAGGTCAACACAGCCAGCTTCGCCATGTACACCTTCTCACTGGCAGTACTTATCCAGGCGCTGACACTGATATCGTTCAGCGCGCTGGCCGATTACGGTATGGTTGCAGCATGCCGGACTGAGAACGTATCGTGCGAAAAAAAAGGGATAGGAGCTAACGTCGATTGGATGTTTAGAGAACAATCGCAAGACATTGCTTATGGTATTCGGATTCGCCGGTGCACTCGCCAGCATGTTGTTCATATTCATTGCACCGCCCGTCTTTGTTCTCGGATCGATATTGGTAGTCGTCGGTGTGACCTGTCTCGGCTCGTCCTTTGTTGTGCTGAACTCTTATCTCCCTGTGCTTGTCGCCAATGACCCATCACTTCAAGAGGGCAAGGGGGATGATGGCGCGGAAATGTCGAGCTTCGACCGAGACGGAGGTAATTCGGGATGGAATGCCTGGGGTAACGATGATGCCGATGCCGATAGTTTAGATGGACTTCAGCCATCAGGGCAGCCACAAAGCTCACTAGAAGGTGGAATGGGACCCAAGACCCCGCCTTCGTCTTCACCGGAGCTGCAGCTGTCGACCAAAATTTCCTCTAGGGGAATCGGTCTTGGATATTGTGCAGCTGTTTTTGTTCAAATCATCAGCATTATCATGCTCATCACGTTATCCAAGACCTCCCTTGCAAAAGTGTCTGCCACTCTCCCCATGCGCTTTGTTTTGCTCCTGGTCGGCATCTGGTGGGGCGCATTCACCTTGGTCACTCGTAATTTGCTCAAGACACGGCCGGGGCCACCTCTGGATACTGTCTCCACCAAGGGCGCCGGAAAATGGCGGACCTGGCTACGACTAGTCGGTTTTGCATGGAAATCACTATGGGAGACGGTCAAAGTAGCCAGCAAACTGCGTGAAGTCATCATCTTCCTCGTAGCATGGTTCCTACTCTCCGATGCAATGGCCACTGTTTCAGGAACAGCGATCCTGTTCGCGCGCACAGAACTCAAACTGAGCACGCCGCTGATCGGCCTCCTCTCCATCACCGCCACGGTGTCGGGTATGACGGGCGCATTTCTATGGCCACACGTGTCTCGGTATTTCGGCTTACAACCGAATCACACCATCATCCTGTGCATTGTCCTTTTTGAGTTAATCCCACTCTATGGGTTGCTTGCTTACATCCCCTTCATCAAAAACTGGGGGGTGTTTGGGTTACAACGGCCGTGGGAGATATTCCCGCTAGCCATTGTGCACGGGGTAGTATCTGGGGGACTGGCATCATACTGCCGATCTTTCTTTGGGCTCTTAATTCCGCCCGGTAGTGAGGCTGCATTCTACGCTCTTTATGCCGCTACTGACAAGGGGAGTTCGTTCATTGGTCCGGCTATTGTGGGAGCCCTTGTTGATGCGACCGGTCAAGTGCGAAGTGGGTTTTTCTTCATCGCGGTGATAATTATTCTGCCTATTCCGCTGGTGTGGATGGTTAATGCAGACAAGGGTCGTCGTGAAGGTTTGGCTATGGCTGAGACCCTGGGCAAGTCACATGGTGGACCTGCGGAATATGCCGAAGAAGCCGAAGGACTTCTGGCTAGTAGGTAACTAGATGACTAGACTACTCTATATATTAGATAGTAGAACATAGCGTGAGATATTTATGACCAGATAGATTATGAATATAGATGAATTTAGGAAAAGGGCACAAGTGAGACAATGAGACATGAAAAAAAAGAAGGTTCTCGCCAAGCATTGAGCAAAGCAGTGGGCATCATTGGCACACAATCCACGCTTATTTTAACTAATTCCTCCATTTCTTTCGAAATTGTCTCAAATTTCAGGGTCTAAAATAGATCAAAGACACGGCAGGGTCTTTTCCACCGCTCTGAATCCAAGTCAAGCCTTTTAGTCGGTAGTGCGGGATACACTATGTGGGGAGGTGATATATATGTCCAATAAAACATCCCCCTGAGAAAAAGGAAGCCCCAGAAGCTGATCTCTCCACCAATGGAAAGGGGTTAAATCCTCTAGCTTGGCAACTGAGTGGATCGATAACAGTGCTTGGTTTGTTGCAGCCTAGAAAGAGAGGACCCCCAATTTATTGTGAAAGGACCCTTGGCTGAATGGGACCCTGAGGGGAAAAAATATGAGGGTCTTAAAAAGCAAAGTCCGGATGGCGTGAAACATGGCCACCAGGTCCAAAGGCAGAAATATAAAGATTCACGCGTTTTCTGTTCGAAGAGATGGCAAAAACCGAGCGTTCTTTCGTATTCTCCCCCATCACAATCTTCATCATGCTCATCAGTGCAGTCTTTGCATCTCTGTTCATACTCGCCAATGCGAAGTCAGGGAAACAAGGTCGCTTTATCGAGCCCATCGCAGACTGCTCCCAGCTCCCATTGTACAACAATGACACAAAGATCGCCGGACCCTGGACGATTAAGATCGACAACTGCTACAATGGAGCCGGGCCTCACGGGTTATGCAGCATCGAGGGCTTCGAGTCTAGCAGCGATATCACACGGCAGCGATCTGATACACCTAATACGATCGAGCATGGATTTGTAAGTTCTTACCCTTGGTATCGGTGTATTCATAGATGGACGATACCCATCCATGAATACATAAAAACACCAATACAGAAGACCAAGATGACTAATAGAGATTCAGATCACGATCGTAAGCGACAATAACAACACCAAAACCCAGTTCCGCTGCAACGGCATCCTAAACACAATCGAAGCATACGTCCTATTTGGTCCCGGCGCCGGCACCCTGGAGTGGCACGCCGTCGGAATAGACCACCACCCCAGCACGGGGCGACTCGTTTGGGGCAAACCCGATGCTCAACCTGTACAAGCATACAAACACTACCGTCACGGTGTACCCGTCGAAGGTATCTTCCTCGGATCGAACAACGAGTCCAATTGGAGTGTGCATTCGGCTGGGAGGGATGTGAGCATTGTGGATATGAAGCCGTACTGGGTGCCACGATTGATGATCCCCGAGACGAGTATTCGCGATAATGAGTTCCCGACGTTGATGCGGATTGATGGGAGCTGACTTTGTTGTTCTAATGATTTGTTGCATAGCTGTTCTTGTTTTGTTTCCTGTTATTATACCCCCATTTATGCATACTGGTGGTGCTGCGCCTATCCTTTGCATTACATAGCAAAAGTTTCTAATACTGTTTTCATGGCATACACTGAGACCTTCGTAGGACAAGCAGAATTAATCCATGGAGGTAATGGTATCTGATATTTATAGATATATGTAATTGAATTGTGAACACTAGTAGGGAAAGCAAAAGCCTCGAGAAATGAGAAAGATCAATCTACGGAGTATGGAGTAAACAAAATCTTTTTTTTTTTCGCCGCGTTTCCGAATAGCTAGTCACCCACCAATCCCATCTTTGGTCCTAGTGGAACGCGTGGTTCACGGTTCTTTTCTTTTCCTCTGGGGGAAGATCAACATTCGGAACATCTTCGGGGTTTTTCACTTCGATTATCGACAATATTTTTGGATTTTCACATGTCTGGTTTGGTTCCAGAAAAAAGGAATACCTATCCTATAAATAAATATTGCTAAACAAAAAAATAAATATACTGGTGCCTGAAGTAAAAAAGATGAAGATAGCCGTAGCAGTCCTTCCGTCCATCGACATGTGCGACAAGATTTATGATTTACGATGTATAGACCGACCACGACAAACCAGTGGTGGTTCTGTGGCCAGCTTTTCGCGCAGGCTATCCTAAGTCTCGCAGTTGCAACGTATGTTTATCATACAGCTCAATTCTACTAATATCTCTACAAGATCATTATCTAATACCACAGCAGATATATTCTCATTGAATGGCAATCATGGGTAACACCACTTATAACCCAAGTCACCGTTTCTTACACCGTCCCAATCGGCCTCGGAATCGTTATATTCGCCGTTCTATTCACATTCATTCTGTCGCTGGATGCAATTCATCACCAAAACAATGCTCTCCTCGTCGCCATCTGCATCTGCAACACGTGCCTCTTGGTCTTCTCCATTATGCGTTATTCGTCGATACGAGGGATAACGAACGGTCTTTATTTGTCTCGTTATCAGAAGCCAACTTTGGTGGATACCTCTAGAAATCTCTGGCCTCGCATTCAATCAGCCGAGATCATCCTATCAGTCATCGTGGGTATCAGCAGTCTGAGCTTGTGGCTCTCTGCATATTTCCTGCGCAAAGAGTTTTCATGGACAATTTACAAGAGTGTCCATGGCAGTCTACAGACTAGAAAGCGTTACAGGGCTTATGAGGTACTGTATCTATTACCTTCCTTCCCAGGTATTTTTAATCTCTCATCTGACTTGCCATATGAATATAGATATACATTGTCCTGATCAAGCTGATCTTTTTCTTCCTGACCGGCTTCATTATCCAATACAACCTGATCGATGTTCATTTCGACGAACCCGAGTATAGCCTGACGATGGCTTTGATACCAGCTGCATTCATTATGATTATGCTCGGTATCTATTTTGTGAAACATGAGAAGACATACCCTATGATTCCTATTCTAGTACGTTCCTTATTCACATCTTGGAACTATACGAAGTACTAACGGCGTGACCAAAAAAAGCTATGCTACCTAGGTCTGATCGCATACCTCCTCAGCCGGATAGTACTTCTATGCGGCCATACACGACGCTCAAATACGGCCGGAAAGGACATGATGATATTGTTTGCGTTTGCTGCTTTAGTGTCAACCCTATCCACGTTTTGTTGTGCCGTTGTCTGCGTATTTAATTTCGACAACGGATTAAAAGGTGTCGACAAGTGGAGAAAACAAGTTGCACGAGAGTCGTCCTTGTTTCACAGTCGCGGCTATGGCTCTGCAGGTTATGGTTTACCGTCGGATTCACATTCACTGTCGAGATTATCCCGTGAATAAATAATGTACATACACCCTGCTTTAGTTAGTCACAGCAAAGGCGGAAGACTAGAGGATCTATGATTTTTACTAGGCGCCCTTACTATAGGTCGCTAGAAGTGACGGTAGCGGTATTGGAAAGTAAGGATAGGATAGAAGGAGATATTTCAAACCTAAGGAGTAAATAATATTAAAAGTAGAGCCGACAGTGAGGAAAACCTGAGAGGACGATTGAGCCTCACTGCATAAAAGCTTTTTTTAAATCCGCATTATGTTCTTTGAGTCTCTGTCGAGCCAACTTCAGACTCAAATTGTGAGCAGAGAAAGCAAGATAGCGGCTAGCAGACATTGCTTGGTTTTCCTAGATCCAGTTCCACCTGCGATCACGGCACCTTGAAGAGGAAGATATTGCAGCCTTTCTGCGACGGAAATTCGCTTTGTCGAACTCGCTCGCGGAGAACAGCAACCTAAGCTCAATTACACCCAGAGAAGGCTCCAATCCGGGCGCCGCAGGCTGTCAAGTCGTATGAGCCCAAAGAGTTAACCGCCTTTAAGCTCCTTGAACAGAATGCCTGCGATGTTACACCCCGCCTCCTTGGATATCGGTCCGACAAACATGATGGAGATGACACCGGCCCCGGGGGTTTCTCATTTATGTGGTATGGGAAAGGGTACCAGGGAAGTCCCTCATTCGGGAAGCGTTCTGGGGTTCTTCGTTCTCTCAGAGACAAGAGATTCGACTCGAGTTCTACGAGGTCTAGGAGTGTGCTTTTCGGGAGTCTTGATTATACTAACGGCCCTAGAGCTAACAAACGAGAATTAGGAAGATTAAAGCGTGCGGGTGTCTCCTAGGTACTAACTAGTATGCGCAAGGTCGTATACCACTTGCTCACTAAAACAATGTATTAAATACGAGAGACGTATTTTGGCTTCTTTTTGTTTACTTTGAACTACCACAAAACTTCTAAAAAGGAAGATATGACTGCTAAGTGATACGCAAATTGCAAGAGAGCAAAGCATGAGCTTTGAAAAACACTTGTTTGTCCCCCAAACTGATTTCCCAAGGTAAAACTAGGAGCTTAGATGCTTCAATTCATTTATATGCATTGAAGTGTCTTGAACTGCGAAGATCAGAACTTCTCACCAAAAAGAAGGGAGCTGAGTCGCACTTGCCGATTCCGGGCCGGTCCAGGGCACCTTCCCAATCGGGCCGCACCTACCCTTGCCCGAAAGTCAACATCTCGACTTTTGTTCTTCCTTCATCTCCAAATAAAGAGAATTCGCATTCGCAGTTCTGTCAAATCTATGTGCCATGGCGATTCTACAGTATCTCGAATTCATTATCGGCCGACTGCTATACCCAATCCGTGGCCATGATTCGGGCCAGATCATTCATTGCCTGGCATTCAAAGACATTCCCGAGCCCAACATGACTCTCGATTCACCTGAAGCCGGCCCCTCGGGCTCTAAGCTACCTCTCCACTGTACCTGCAAGGCTGTTGATGGTAAGGGCTGTCTTCCTGAGTTACTCTGGACTGCTCCAGACTGTCACGAGGAAGTCAAGGAGTATGTACTCCTCTGCGAGGACCTCGATCCACCGATTCCCTTCCTCGTCTTCCACCATGGCCTCCTCTGGGCAATTCCAGCTTCAACTACCAAGGCCGAAGCGGCCAATGTCCACCCTGATGAACACGCCAAGATTTCCCGCCTGACTGTTGCTGGTTGGCGCTTTGTACCCAACATGCTCGGACTACCGTATACCGGCGCCGGTGCACCCCTAGGCCATGGAAAGCATCGCTACGTCTTCACCATTATCGCCCTCAATGAGTCGCTCAAGTTCAAGGCTCCCGAGAAGGCGACCAAGAAGGATATCAAGCGCGCTATTACGGGAAAGGTTATCGGGTGGGCGCAGTGGACTGGAACTTTTGAGAAACCCTGGACCAACTAGGTCATCATCAACTCAACTCACCTTATACGGGCACAACCAGCGTGGGACGGACATGGGTGTGGGTTTGACAAATGGGCCCAAGGTGCTTCAACAGCGGGCGTGTACTTTGTTTCCCTACATTCACCGGGATTTTTCATGTGAGTATCGTTATGGAACTAAAGTCCTAATAAGAACACATCTTTTGACATCGTCGTATTCGATTTTGTTTTGTATTTTATGACTAATTTGTGCAATCATTACTGGTAGTAGCCTAAGACCCCTAGGCTAGTTCGAAAGACCGTGGAAGATATCTCACGTCAGAGCGGAATTGCATATTGTGTTCTCATCTGGCATGGAAAAGACTTTTGGACCAATGAACGTCTACATACATAGCTTTCATGTCGATCATGAGGTCTACCGTGAAATGTCAATGGTGGCGGGCATTGATTGTCCTATTGGCATTTAAAGCCCCTCTTTCGATTGATATACGAATTCTATCATTCCACGATTGACAAGACTGTAGCTCTTTATCTTTCGGCTTTGTTCGATGTGGCGAACTTCATTTCTAGCACTTCGACGATATTCGCTTCGTTTGGCCGAGATCAACATGAAATAAAAAGAGCCGGTCTGCTATGATACTCGAGATATTCTCCTCCGAGATTATAATGAAGGCGATGATTCTAGGTTGAGGTCGAAAAAATCTACCGAAAGCTTGTCTTTCCCGTACAGCCCTTCTTTTCGGCATATTCCGGGTATGAGAAATTCTTGTTGCTTGTCATAAGCTTCCACCATTTGGTAACCACGGAAGTTGAATATTACTACATAACCTAGCTATAGACAAGGACTCAGATCAAAACAGCTTCCACTGGAGACTAGTTTTTTCGCATGGTATTCACACCCACGATACCTCTTGGCGTCGTCTCTTTTACAAATGCTGCGCTAGAAAAGTGCCCTAAAAGGTCAGTTGAGAAAATCCTGCTTGACTTAAAGTTTTCTGTGCGAGCCAGCTGACACGGCGACCTTTGCCAGTGCAACGCAACTCACTCCGGGGGGTTGGATTTGTCTATTCTCACTGGGATTAGTAGTCAATGCTCTCACGATAATCCATCAATTTGCCGGATAGTTGGACGTGCACGGTACTTCCTCAGCTCGGTGATTTATTAATGTTTCTGATTTTCTTACAAGAACAAGGCATACAGATTCGATTGAACTATCTATATCATCACCCCCATCTCCAGCTCATTACTACTGATGAAAGTATTGAACAATTTAGAAAGCCCCATGAGCTCTCGGGTTCCATTCCGCGTATACTACATTTACACACTTTCAACCAGCGATCACTCGAAGATTCGAATAATCGACTGCAGCTGACGATCTGTCTCATCCGCCATCAGTATGTGCCATTTTGAAGGCGAAGCACACTGGAGGTCTTGGTGGATGAAACGGACGATTATTGACAAATGAGATAGCCAACGGCGCATCTGGCTGATGTCCTCCTCTCCCCATACGGAATGAACCCCCCCCTTGCACCGAGGCACTGGCCAATTTGGCCCTTACCTTCAACGCCCGTGCCGCCTTCTCAACTGCCATCACTAATAAAGTGAGAATACTAGCCCTGGAGTTTGAAGCACAGCACACTGGACATTGAAGGATGACCACTCCCTGTTGCTGCACCCTTTCCAGGTGGAGCAATATACTATTTTCCCCTTTTGCCTCTTCCTGTCGAACGACTTCACTGAACGCTTGGGCATAGCAGTTGCAGTGAAGGGAAGAAGCATCTTCCGGCAGTGTCTCGAAATAGATCTCCCCGGGCTCGAGAGATTGACTGGAATCAGTTTCCGTTGGTTCGTCCCAGATGTCATTGGAGGGCAATTCCATGATTCTGGCCGGATCCTGGACTATTCCGGAGACCTGAATTGCGTTCGGTGCGAGGCTAAAGGGGTAGATTGCACCACCCTGAAAGAGTGACCGGGGCTGGGTGCCCGGCGCAGCAGTGTTGATAAATCCTCCAATGGGGGGGTTCATCAACCATCAAACCGATCTGGGGAGCATAACACTGTGTGGCATAGTCAACACGCGGTTCAAGAAAATGGGGACCCCCAAAACTTTCGACTCCGTCAGTTCCTCCAAACGACCTGCCCAGGATAGTATCGGCGAATCCTGGATCGACGTGGGTATAGGCCTCGTTTGCGCTGACGACATTCTGGTCCTGGATCCCTTCTCCATTTGTGTTGTTTTCTGGGCATCCCAATGGTCATTTATCGACACTTATATACCCAGTGGACTAGATCCGTGCTTACCTGGACCCTCCGAGAACAACACTGTGAAACTCGGCCACTGGAAGTCTTCCTCCGATGGTGTGACTTCAGTGCCGGTCCTAGAGTCGCTCTTGTGTGACTCCTCCCTCGAACTAGGACCCGAGTCCGATGCTGCTGTTGGACTCGGGACCCGACTCGGGACTCTGCGCACCCTCTGCGCCCTCGCTGCTGGGGTTGGCTTCGGTACCCTCCCCGCACTGCACCGAGTCGGACGGTCAACTACCTCTGCCTCTCCCCTGCGCGCCTTCACGACTGCCCCCACTGCTGCCGGCCGGGTCGTCTTTCTCTTGGCCGGCCGGCCCAGCGGTTGCGAGATCGAATAGATACACACATACCCGTGATTCTCGCACCGGTCACATGGGTAGGTGTGGCTACATCGAATCTTCGCTTGTTGGCAGGCGTTACAAGTTGTCCGCATCTTTTGGTTGGGAAGGAGTTGACCGTTAGACTGTGGAGACCTCTTGGAAGAGGTCTGAGCCATATGAAAATCGTGGAAAGTAAATCGAAATATTTATGTTGAACTCCACAATCAACGAGTCTGGTCTTCCCTGATCTTGGGTTGATTTGAGGTATTTATATTTCATCTCATGATCGTTTCCCCCTCCTTTCAGTTGATAATCTCTACTGTCCAACAACAATACCACAGGACCACGTTTGATTGCACTCCTGCATCCATCGCAAAAGGAGACACAGTTTACCCACACCATAATGAGCTTCCATAACAGCACTTGCCGAAAGCACGAAAAGTTACATGGATCTTGAACTTTACTACTGACAAATAGTTTTGTCCTACCCTCCTCGGGACCTGCGTGCGAGTACCTCACTTGTAGTCTGTGGGGTTCCTGACTGTTCAATGATCACCAACCTTATCTCACCATGCATCAACGAAAGAGTTATGTGGTGCAGTATACTTGACAATGTTTTTTTGAAGTTAATTGATTTCAGTAACGCCGCCGTATGGTATTCCCATTTCATGGAGTCCGTATACTTCATTACGCAAGTTTATCCGACCTGTTGTTGCACATGAAAATCGCTGTTTCTTCCCTCGAGTAACATCCTATTCTAGCTGATGACGCCGCGAACAAAATTAAACGGAAGTGCAAGGACGTCATTTGACAACAGCACAAGAAGCCAGACTCCAATGCCTATCCGTTGACCGAGAAGCTCGCCCATACCAATGGGATTTGTCAGTCAACCTAACGTCCTATGGCTCTATGCTGTTCCTGGTCGGAGTATGCTTTCAACCGGTAGGACAGTTGCCTGTTTGTGGCTATCTAGTAAAAAGGATTGGTGCGTTATCAACGCCCGAAAAACAGGCTTGTTATCTCTAATATGATCATTTCATTAGATCGAGTGTCTACCTAGCAATGATTTTTCCATATGCTATGCAAATTGCGTTGCAATCTCTGCCCCATGGTTAGGGCTGTACGGCATCATCTCATTTCCTCATGATCAAGTCTCATCGGATGTTACTAGCACACATGTGGTGGCAGCGTGGTTGCTCTGGACGGCAACCATGATTTTACGTTTCGACTAAAACCTTGCGACACGATTTCGAGAAAGCAAGCTTGGATGAATGAGGAACTTTTGTTGCTCGCATACTTGTTGGGATCATGATTCGTATTGTATCTACGACTTGCTACGTCTTCAATACGGACGCAATTCGACGGTCCCAATTTGAGGCTTCTCCATAGTCAATAGATTTTTGTTTCAATATATACTCCTATTGGCTTTACTCATCAAACCCCACATGCTATAGTACCAGGATGTATAATATCACCTGAACGGCAATCTAAACTCCAAGTGCCAGAAAGGCTAAGCAAAGGCCACAGCCATTACACCCACTCTCACTTCACGTTTCATCGTAAGGTTCTCGTCGAAACACTTTACTGCTGAATTCGAATGCGTTCAGTGATCTCCTAGTACTGTGTAACACTTATATTTGCCTTATAACCAGCTCCATTCCCGTCTTCCAGTCCAGCCTTGAGTCGTTGTAGTAGTCCGTTCCCTGATCGCTACTGGAAATGAAGTCAAAGGCACATTGCACTTGTTAGAGATAGAATTCGATGCATATCATGGCAGTATAGATGATTGCTGCGATATGGATTCCATGCTCGAGGGAAAGTCGTGCCATACCAGATTCCATCTTCGTTGAGGCCAGGATCGTATCACATCAATAACAAGTTGAATATGGCATACCATAATGACACCGCAAATATCATGGAGAGATGATGTTGGCAACTACATTCATTCTCGAATTCAATCGCAATAAAAACATCAATCAACACATATACATAGCCTTTCGCATCTTTGGAGATTTCAGGACCATACCAAAGCACCAGGTGCAACTTACTTAAATTTCTGGTTCCAAATAACGGAGGGTTTTAACAATAGTGTACTACATAAACGTCATATTTCCTGCGCTCCCTAAACCCTACTGCCTAATAATACAAACCAACCACAGCATTTATTCCCCCCACGCTGTCCCTAGCTCATGGCACAAAATCTGCCGTCCTCGTGGGACAATCCACGGAACGGAACGAGGTCATTGTCGCACTGTGAGGCATGGTTGTTGTCTCGCCTTCGGCAGGTTCATGTCTACCAATGAAATAGTTTATGGCAACAGGAGGGTCCAACCCTGCTGCCTGCATAAACTCCCTGATATCGAATCCCGCACGCGCGCTAACAGTCTCTGGGAACACATGTGAGAAGCAATCAGGAAATCTATACGCTGGAGGCTGTGCAAAAAGGAGATACACGTAGCGGTGGCGAGTATTTGGTGGTGCACGAGGAGCTATGTACGGGGCTATTGGATTGTGTTTATCCCCGTCGTCCTTCCCAGGAACGATTATTGAAGGTGGTGATGGTTTTCTGCAATCTATCATGAGATTGGGTTGGTACCAGTGTAGAATGACTGATTGAATACGAGTCCCTGGTACGATGGCGTCGAGGTCGATGAAGAGGATGATGTATTTTTCGTTGCATTCCAGGTTCATACTACTAATCTCTGGGATCTTGCTGGTATCTGATCTGATGTTAAACTGTTCGATTTAATTCCTTCGCCATTGACGTACCCTTAATATCTAATTCTATACCTGGAGTCATCCATTGGGTACCGGGATACCGTATTTGGAGTTGCTGGCCATTGGTCCAAGGGAAGATCCGGACTACCGGAGTGAGAACACCAAAGAGGATAGTAAGTAGTGAGATCATATTGTGATATCGTGGAATCAACTGAAAAGAGGAAGATTCGACTATAGCACTTGCACTTCAATTCAAAATTCAAAAGCTAGATCAATGTCCTTACGATTCAATTTATAGACCAGCTTGCCCTACTTGGTACTATGGTCCCTCGTGTACAGTTCGCAGTTGTGCATCAGTTTCGGCTTGTTTCTTCCGCCATTCCCAGCCCTGAAGGTAGACAATGCTTAGAATCGGGGTAACTAAAACAATTGCTCCCGATACAAAACAATATGTCCATTGCACGCCAATTTGCTTGATTAGAGGGTTTACCACTGCTGCAGCCCCAGCACCCAAGAAACATCGGACAAGATTATTAGCGGCCATAGCAGTAGCGGGCATCTCGTAGTACAAGTCGACAATGAGAATATTCATCACGTTATATGCCGCCGTAATACAAAAGCAAATTACAAACACCATAATTAGTGAAGCCAGGAGTGGGGGCTGTAAGGGTATCAGTACTCCATAAACGACTATCGATACAGCTGCAAGTACCTAAAAAGGAAAATGAAAGTCAGCTAATAGAACGGGTTAGGTACAAGGATGTCTTAGGGGGAACGTACTGTCATTGGCATGCCAATCTGCAACCTCGCTTGCTCGATGGGAAATTCAATAATATCCTGCTTTTGGTTCTTGTGTACCGTCTGACCGGCGTTGCGTCGAGTCCGTCGGTAATTCCAGTCAACTAATACTCCGTTGGCAGTTGCACTGAGTAATGACCCAAGTCCTGCAGGAATGAAGCATAGGCCAATCTCCAAGTCGTCCAGATTATAGATTCTATGGAAGAGTGCGGGGATTCCAGCAGTGACAGCATAGTAGCTGCTGAATACAACTCCGTTTGCGAAAAGAACTAGTCCCACAGGTCGGTGGGAAAGCAGACGCAGGGTTGGACAGGGGTTGGGAACATTTATGCGCCTCCTCGGTACAGTTGGTGTCGGCGGGGTCACTGCGGTGGTGGTCTGGAAATAACTCCAAATGGCTAGATTCCATCCAAGTGCGGGTATTGAGCCATTTCCCACAATCCCACGACATGTTTCAGGGAAAAGGAGCAACAGCGGGACGAAGCAAGTACCTGCTGCAATAGCCAGGAACCAGAATATTGCTTCCCAGCCCAGATACTTACTCAGAACACCACCAAGGATAGGCCCGATGGATGGAGCAAGAATGTTTCCCAGAGATGTAAAACCCATATACATTCCTCGCTCGGCAGATGTGATAATGTCGGCGGCCACGGCGGATGCAAGCGCGATAGTGCCGCTACTGCCACAACTTTGAACAGCACGAAGAGCTAGGAGTGCCGGGAAACTGTGTTGTAGAGCCAAAGCAATGTTCCCAAGTATGTATATTGAGAAGCAAAGGATGTACGCGGGTCGACGACCGGCTTGGTCTGCCAATGATCCTGTTAACATTGGAGCGAGGCCCTGGCATATCTTCAAATCCAGGTATGTCAGTATATTCGAACAGAATTGTAGAAGTTGGTTTATAACATGCCATGTATGTCGTGATCGTTAGATTAATTTGAGATGGGCTAACTCGCAACTCCTTTGCAATGGAGTTCAATGCCGGGTAGTAGATATTGGCAGATAGAGGCGAAAAGCTCGAGGCCAGTGCCGCTATCAGAATAATGAGGCGTTTCTGTTTGGATGTGAAGACGGAATATGGCTCGGCGGTAGGAGGATGTACCAAAGATGTTTCTTCATTGACCTCGTCATCCTGTCGCTCCGCTTGTTGGTGGATATCTTGGTTGTTCATGTTGATTTAGGTATAGTACGAGCATAACAAATAAAATTGCTTGTGTGCTTGAGGGCCATTAAATACCCGGGTCTTTTTGGTTTTTAAATAGACCGTGAACCCAGTATTACTCCATGTCGGCGAAAGGCAAATCACTCTTCAAATAGATGTATTCAACGTGCTTCATAGAGCCCAAAGACCATATTTATCGATGGAATCTTACTACGGAGGGTTCGCTAGTTTTCGCAGGAACAGAGCAGCTAACAACATTTGAGGAACAAAAGCCCCTTCGCTATAATTTCGACCTCTATATCTTCGGCCTGGGGACTGAATTCGGTTCTGCATCACCCGTATACAGATGAATTGGTCGAAACAGCTTCCCACGATTAACTGTAAACTATCAGCCAAGTTACTAAGCCTACAGTAAAAATTTTCCTCACCCATGTACTCTTTCCAATGGGCCATGATACCCATAATGCGATGGGCAAGCATAGCCGCGGGAATCATATCAAGATCAAAGCCACTGAATCAGTGCATTGGGACCTAGGATCATAGTACACATTTCACGATTGCACTCACATTCCAGTAAACACGAAGTTACCATAAAAGTCCGCATTAGGATACAATCCCCGGGTACTGAAAAACTCGTCTTTCGCAGCAGCCTCCTCAATCGCTTCAGCGACTTTCAATAGCGGTTCATGAACATCTGCCAAATCCTTCAAGATACTTTGGATAGGGCGCACCCGTGGGTCCATTCCTTTATAAGTGCGATGACCGTAGCCGAATAATTTTCGTTTTCCGGACTTAATTTCTTCAATGAAGGCTGGGACATTCGTTGGATGTCCGATGTCGCGGAGGGCGCGTTGGGCGGACTCAGTTGCACCGAAGTGTAAGGGTCCGTGGGCGGCGGCCACAGCAGATATCAGACAAGACACCGGGTCAGTGAGGGATGAGGCGGTCACCAGGGTTGAGAATACTGTTAAGGCCATTCCGTGCTCGGCATTAAGATTGCCAAAGCGGCGGAAGCAGGATATGCGTGTAGGATCTGGGCGGCTTGTGTCTGGGTCTACAAGACCGGCCATTGTGAATAGATTCTCGTAGTAGGTCTGGTGGAGAGATGGAGACTGCCAGGGAATCCCTAGTCGGTGGGATCGCACTGCTCCGAAGACAACTGCATAGGCGGCGACAGTTTGTAGGATGATTTGGTCGGCCCGTTTGATGTCCGTTTGGTAAATTGTCGCATTTGTATTTGCTGGAGTCACATCTGGTATACAGGCCAGGTAGGCTGAAAGGCCTGCTAGAATCAGCGGCAGTGGGCTGGTCGCCGTTCTGTTGGTTTCAACATTAGGTAAAGACAACATGACAGACATGTGACAAAGAGAGCCGTCATACGGGAGATTAAATATGGTCTGGCGCACAATATCAGGGACTTCTTGCATATACTGTGCCAGTCGCTGGCGTAGCTCTTCGCGTTGACTTGCTGTAGGATATGCCCCCCATAGTAGCAAATGGAACATTTCTTCAAAGTCGGATCCCCACAGTTGCTCCAGAGTATGTCCTCGATATAGCAGTAGACCGTGCTCATGATCACTATATAACAATTAGTCAAACTGCATAGGCACCTTTATGAGGCTCTCACGAGAAACTGATAGCCGATGTTGTCACGGCTGTGTTCTGCAATCCGGGATCATAGACTCGCAATCCATGGGCAACTTGATCTGCGCGATTAGTGTTGAATGAAGGCGCCCGGATACCTTGAAGGTCGGTCGCGCGTACTGTATTTCGATTAATGGGGATTTTATAGTTAGCATTAGTGCGCGAGTCGCGGATGAATAAAGTGCCAGTTGACATTTTGGGGCAGAATACTATAATGAAAAATGACCGTCGCAATTTATCCTTCACTCAAGACAGTTCTTTTTCGTCGGTTGCAAATATTTGTCGCTATTCAAATGTCACTGTGAAAATAATGTGACCGAAGACACCGAGTAAATTGTCTCACCTCAACTCGCCGACAAAGATACCTCGTACTATTGTCTTCGAAAATCCCTTCTGTGATTGGCCTACAATATAGCTCTAATGTGGACATCGTGATTAGTGATGCATGCAAGTCATATTAGACTATATCGTTGTATTCGTCATTATCACTCATTATAGGCTCCATAAAAAGATCTCCACCGTTTTTAAAATCTCACAGAGAGCGCGGGATTTACTCCGGCATGTGCTTGAAAGGATGGGCAAGGGATTCCTGGCAGAAAGGAAGCTTGCTGACGGTCCAGATCTCAGTGTCCTACATAGAACGAGGGGTCAGTTACACTCCAGTGAAGGTTAAATCTAACCCTAACTTGTGGCACTTACGGGCTTCAGGGTCTTCTTAATCTCAACATCCAGGGTGCCGGCCTTGATCGCAATGATCTCGGGAGCGGCATCGGGGTCGTGGGCGATCGGGGAACCACACTCAGAACAGAAGACGCGGTGGACGGCGAGGCCGGAAGAGCCCTTGCCAGCCCAGCTCTTGGTAGGACCGTTAATGGTCAGCTTGTCCTTGGGGACGACAGCGACGAGAGCTATAACAAGGTCAATAATTGTATTTCCCCTCAGGTATTACCACAACTAACAATAGGTCGAGCCACTCTGGCGTTGGCAGTCATCACAGTGGTCATAGGCAGTGATCAGAGGTGCGTCAACGTCCACGGTATACGTGACGGCTTTGCAAAGGCAGTGTCCGGAGAGAGGCATTGTGGATGTAATTGATGTAATTGATTCTTTCAAGGTCCTTGAGAGTGAGTACCCTTGGAGAGGGGGACGGAAGGGTATTTAAGAGATAATTGACCCCAACACTGGGACCAGTTGAGGTGGTCATTGTCCATAATTGTCCATGGATAAGTCCAAAGTCCCGACTACTTGCTTCTTCTCTTCGCTAATGCCCGTGAAACAGGTACCGAGTACCTCCGGTACGTCATCGCTGTCATCGCTTCGTGTTTTTGTTGAGCTTTTTGACACACAACTTGTCCACCAAATTCGACCAAATTCTCTTTCAGTTCCAGTTTAACCCACTTCGGGCAATTGGAATTCCAAATAGATGTTCCTGGAGAATTTCAAATCCGCTAGTGCTGATTATTCGTCCCCTCTGTGTCCCAAAACCTGCAAGGCAATTCCAAATTATTGTGCCCCGCCAGAGCTCCATGCAAGGTTTAGGGTCATTTTACCCCTCCAAACCTTCAAGACGTGGTCACGTCGACTGGTTGATCGGACTCCGTGCAAAAAAGGTGGAGATCCGCCTCCGCTGCGCCTTATCTGTCAACGACATTCTCCGACCCTCTCCGATTGGACCACCAAATGATTCCAGATGCGAACGTCCACGCATGAGATGGGTCTGGAAGCCACGAGGTGTCTTACTATTCAAGCTGTCAGACACAAAAGTCCCTTGGGGACCACGATGCGATCGGCCAAATCATCCACAACTCGAGAGGGGATGATCAGATGATCAGCCCACACGTCCACTAGCAATTCGCACGGCCTAAAGTGGGTCGCCTCCAAGTTTCAATTCAATCATGACTCCATTATGAGAGTTTGGGACCTACAACATATAGTGAGTGGACTGAAGCAGGGAGTAGGCTGAGGCTTCAAAGTCTATTCTGCGATCTGCGTTGTGATCAGTCGCTACCTGTACGGCGGTGCAGGACATCAGTAACAAGCTGGGATCATAACCCGGTGACCCGGTACATATTTGTCACTTTATGCAGGCTGTCCTTGAAGCTGAAATCCCGAGGATTCAAACAGAGTTTGTTGGATATTTTGGCTGCAGGTTCTACGTGTCAAATTCCATGCACGGCGGAACAGCGGGTCAGGGCATTTTGGTCTTCCGCCCCTCAAAAGTAGATGATAGCTCTAGGGATGTTCATTAGCCAATTCAATTTGAGCTTTGGACCCTGTCCATGATATATCCTGGTATATCTTATTGCATTAGTGCCAAGTAAGTATGTTCAAAATGGGCGATGCCAGCATATGTTCCTTGTTGGTACAATATATATATGTTGATATGTTCGGTATGCCTATTTTACACAAAAGCTGTTAATAACTGCCGTAGCTACCCCGTCGGGCATTGTCGATCTTGTCCGCTGCACTCTAACACGCGATTGTCAGCTATTGTCGTGACAAAATCTTACTCTACCCACTTACTTGCATCTGAGCTGCCATTCCTCCCCGAGGGTTCTGACCGCCATAAACAGTGGCCTCGGCATGTTGTGCGTCTCGGGCATCATCCTTGGTGATATATGCGGGCACATCAGCTGCAGCTGTAAGTCCCAACGCATCGTTACTATCAGCGATCGACCGAACTTGCGCGGATATGTAGCCGACTCCAGGTGGTTGGTTAAATGCACGTCCCTATGAGGAGCTCGCGTTAGTAATTTGACACCATGCTGAACTTTGCACGGGGATTCCCTGACCTCTGTGGCTTGGATTTCCTCTGCATCTTCTAGCGAGATCGCGCTCGATGGTTTCCGCGATACCTCTGCGACCTTATTTTCGAAATTCATCTGCCGCATGGAAAGGCTCTGGGCCGTTGCTATATTCGATCAGTGATATGTCGCTTGCATAGAATATAAATCGAACTCACCAGCTGGTCCACCCCGAGAAGGTCCGCGTCCAGTCAGCGCGCTCTCGGCTTGAGATATAGCTGAAACATCATCCTGCGTGATGCGCTGCCCCCGCTCTGCAGCGAGCTGGATCTCAGCGACGGTAGGAAGATCAAAACTCATGACTTGTCGTTGATTCATGACATGCTTTGTTGAATTTCGCTTGATCACATCTTGTTGTTCTGCTATATACATCGGCTCCAGGGTCAGTGATGTCACGGTGAGAGCATGTCAAATCGACCGAACTTTGCCTTCCCTCGTCAGTGGTGGGGGCGTTGGATATATCCAGACTAGAATAGAATATTCGACACTTCGATCAACCAAGAATTGTGGGGGATGCGCGATACCCTGAATTTGCCATCTCGTCTGGAGGAAGACCTCCCCTTCCCCCTCCCCCTACCACATCATTCCAAATCATCATCACCTGGTGGAACGATATCTGGACACCCCGTACAACACAGTTGAGATTATCTGGAGGTCTCAAAGGCAGAACAGATTGCTCGAGTGTCGTTGACTGGTCATGTTTTAGTGGTTGACCTGTTTTAGTGGTTGACCCATTCGCAAAGGGGTATCTAGGTAGGGTATCTAGGTAGGGCAACTTTCCAGCACCGTTCCATGGGTCTCTGGCTGCAGATTGCCCCTGCCAGTGCCACCGCAACCAAACCCAAAAAGGAAAAAGGAAAGAACAGGTGTCGAATGAAAACCCTCAGGGCGAAACATCTTCCATCTCGCGTCGTCATCGACCGCTCCGGCCGAACGACGGTAACAGGATATCCAACGAGATCTGCTGAGTTCCACGTTGCGTGACATGGCATGATAATGCACTGGACCTCTGTCACGAGTAAGAACGCCTCCTCGAGTCTATTGAGTTTCATGCTATGGGTGGTGCAAGATGCGTGGCTAGCCCAGGTCACGGCGATGTACCCTCGCCGAAGGTTCACAGCCTTTTTCGGGGTCTTTTAGATTTCCACTCAGCAAAGGTTATACGCAGGAGCCCTCTGAAACCATATGGTGGTCACTCATACAAGACCATCTGTTGTGTGAGGCGGTAGCGTATTGTCAATCCAAATGTCTTGTAATTTCCTCGGTTTCAATTCATTATACACGTTGTTTTCTCTTACTCTAAGAGTTTATTTCGAGGAAGTAGCTCTTTCGAGTATATGCCACTGCCCGAGTGTGATAGATCCGGGTCCAAATAAGCCAACATGACGACCTCGGGATAATGTCGTTAAAGATGGTAATGCTAACTAGAATATATCTAGAAATATATTTATATCGAGCTCATACTTTTCAATTGTTTGGAAATTTGTAGGTATATAATACATATACCCGTTGTATGAAGCTATACCAGGAGCTGACGTAAAACTCACCTGGATTAAGCAGTTCGACCCGTGAACTGGAGCAAAGGTTTCAAGATACAGCTGTCGCATCAATGCTTTCAACAAGGGCGCGAGTCTCGCCACAAAGACGATATGATCATCAGAAAGCTGATATGATCCTTTCTGCTAAGATTGTGCTGAGGTATTATCCCATAAACAAAAATTGGATACGAACAAATCAACAATATCTATACTAATTCTTCCACCAAGCAGAGGGCACGATCATCCAGTATAGGTAGCTTCGATACTGTTAGGCGTGTCTAGTATGAAGGGGACATGTCAGGCATATCACTTTAGCATGCAAAATGCGGGAAAGTAAATAAAGTGAGTTTTGCAAAGTGTATTTGTCTGCAGGAGAAGTTCAAAATATATAGAAGCGTCGACGCGGGCCCCATGTGCTCCAAGCTACATTTAATAAGTCACAGGTGGCCCACCAACAACAGACTTGGAATAAATACATCAAGATGACGCCGAGTAAAATAAGCGACAATAGGGCCTAGAGAGATGAGTTGCTAAACTTCCAGTCTTGACGGGACCTCAGACTGGGAAGAAATCCCGTATTTCATATATAGTCACGTGATATGATATCACCATCAGTTGATACCTGAGGCAACAAGTCAGTAATGCAAGGTGGAAAGCGGTGTGAGTGCACAGTGGGGTGAAAATCACATGACCGCTGTTCCCAACCCTTCTCGATAGACCAATCACAAACCCGCCATCATCCCGTTACCGGGATTGAGTCCTACCACTCTGCCTTTCCCCTGTTCTATTATCAAAAAAAAATCGAGTCAAGTCGATAAACAGGGGGTTGATCAGATATTTCGCTTTATTTGTTACCTGCAAGTTCCGATACCAGATTGTGCTCGTCCAAAGCTCAGAAATGGAGGTGTACGAGCATCCATTGTTCTCTATCTACAGAAGTATGCTAACGAAACCATGACCAGATTACCAAAAAAAGGAAAGAAAGCGTGTACTATGTGCCGCCAGCAAAAGGTATGTACTGGTGAATTCCCCTTTTAAAAAAAACCATATTGAGTCTAGTAGGCCAGGTGCGATGTTTGGCGGGATGAGACTGTACCGTGTTCCCGATGCCGCAAGCGCAACCTCGAGTGCACCATAGATGATAGCTTCACAAGAGAGCACAAGCGTCGGTAAGAGCCCGAATCCGAGTAAGAGGGATGGAATCCAATTCTTATACTTCTCCAAAGTCGATACATCGCACTAGAACACGAGAATAAGCAGTGGCGCCAACAACTGCAGACCTCCCAACAGTTGAACCCCGATTCCGTACCGATTGCGTTATCCACAGCGACAACGGAACTAGTAGTGCCGTCTGTGCTAAAGTCCGATTCCCAGTTGGACGATTCGCAGGGTTTATCGCTGCCCTATCCCCAATATCATCTTGCCCCAGCCGGCTCCACGCCGGGTTCGATGATGGGAGGAAATGATCCCACAAAGCCGCGTTCACTGAAGGGTGTTACCGTTACAGGTCCAGAGATTGACGAACTATACCAATTGTATATGTTCCCAATAGCTTTTTATCAGCATGGTTCTAACATCTTCTAGGTTCTTCCGCCATTATGCCTCGTTCCTGCCGATCCTGGATGTGCAAACCAAGCCCAATGCGTACTACGCGCAGTCTCCATTCCTGTTTTGGGCCGTCATCGGGGTCTCCAGTCGGTCATACTCCCGAAACCCGACTTTGCTGACCGCACTGGCCAAGGAGGTCACGGAAATGGCTCTTCTGTCGGTCTTATCGACGTGCGCGTCATGGTACACCATACAGGGACTGTTGCTCCTGCTAACGTGGCCATTTCCAAAGGAGAATCGCCCAGATGTGACATTTCCTTTGAGTGGAATGCTTTTACATGTAGCGATGCAACATGGTTACCATATCCCAATGTCGAGCCATGAATTTTCCCGAGTGAAGATCCCGGTCTCGTCGGACTTGGATATGGTCCGACGTTCTGAACTCTGGGCTCATTGTGTTCTTGTCCATCAACGGTGGGTTTCTTTCCCTCAAAGTGTGGCTAAGCAAAATTACCATGCTGATTCATTGTAGGTCTTGCGTGATCAAAGGGCAGTCCCCGCGAAATCTGGTCAGTTTAGCACAGGATACTATCCAACGCCAGGTGCTATTTGATAAGATTTCTCCACACCTGGTTCAGAAACTCAGATGCCAGGAAATCGTTGGGAAATGCAGCGAGGCAGTTCTGGAGAATGGAGTTCGTGCAATGTCTCTTGATCAGGAGCTGACTTTAGACATTTTGCTGCGGAAGTTTGAAGGAGAGGTAGATGATATTGCATTGCAAGCAGTAATCGGTTTGTTTCCAACATGGATTCCCTCTGCAATAGTCCGTCCACTAATGCTTGTTTCTTTGTTGCAGACGACGAGGGGTATCACCTTATCATTTGTCGAATGGCAATTCAAAGCTTCCACTTCTATAAAAACCAAACACTTGTCTCCAGTGGGTGTCTTCCACGTCTTATCGCCACCGCTTGCAACTTGATAGACTATGTTCAAGGGTTGGCGGATCGTATGGGATCTCTCTTCATGGCACCTGTTCAAATAAGTTTCGGTCTACTCCTGGCTTCGGTATCGCTGTTGCGGATTTTGAAAAGCGACTATGCCACCAGCGGACTCGATACAAGCCGCGCCCAGGCCTCCTTCTTCGCTACCATCAATTTAGCAAAGCAAATGTCCACTGATAGAAGCGATACAGCTGCTAAAATGATCACGGTCTTGAATCAACTCTGGAATAGCAGCAAGGCGTTCCGCAAAACCGATGGCTCGGAATACACGGCGCTTCGAATTCGCAGTCGCTTGATCCTCAGTCAGATCTTGGATGCTGTCTGGTGGTGGCGTGATGAATATGATCCTAACGCGCGAACTAGAATTCAAGGGGCCGAGTATATTGACAGGCCCGCTTCCCAACCCAATATGCTTTCTAGCATCGAGTCAGGGCGCGGTATCATGGGAACAGATGCCGCTCGGGAGCCCCCGGGTGGGATTTTTCAGAACGCGGGTCCCCTGCAAGGGGAGTTCCAGATCAACGAGGATTACTTTACCAACTTTGAGTGGCTGAGTGACGAAATCTTCTCGTTTCCCCCGGACTCATCGTTAGCAAACAATCTACCATGAGCGCCCAAGTTGATTCGTACTAAAAGGCCGACTTTACTTCTCCATTTCCATCCTCCAGTTGAAGTGAGACGGCATTCTGAACACGAAGGGGGTGTTCGGGTCACGGACTACGTCCTGTGTGATCCTAACTACATAGCTATGGAAAAGCCACTCTCAGGGCCCAGCATTGCCGACATCTTCTAATCGGCAAATTCACTGCTGAGTGGATGAACTTTTCAGCAACATTCCGATGTGCACACGAACCGCAGGTCCCGCCTCGAGATGTCAAAACTACGATCTCACCAACAAAAACAACCAAGGTTAAGGAACTATAGGAGTAATGCCCTGTAGATTGCGCTATATGCATATGCGTAGCCATGTACCCGGGCTTATGGACCCCTTTCTAGTACTTTGCTTGGCGCTATCCACTGTCTCCTTGCTTGATCGAGAGATTGATGCGATAGGTCTCGGAATCCTGATTCTCCGGTAAATCAGACGCTAGGGAGTCCACATGTATTTTTCCACAATGTACTACTATTAATTGACAACCATTGCTCCATAATGGAGTACGGAGTACCTATGTAATTCCTCATGCAATTTGCCAAGCATAACATTGTTACCTGGTTATTGAACAATTGTCTCCAGAACAGTATATATTGGAGGCGTGCGAACCACTAAGTATGCCACCGGCTCACAACTCTCCAGGGCTCTTATTGGATATTACCTTACTCACCCCTTCATTCATCGCCGGAGGCATATACAAGACAAGAATTGCGATCAGCCGCTTATACGGCCTTCTTATATTCATTTTAGATGTCTTTTGAGATGTCTTTTGAGGTACGCTTTAAATGTCTTAGGATATCTTTTTAGATCCGCTTTTTCCTCGGCGAACTCTTGTCTCCATTAAGCATTACCCAGCTTCTTCTGCCTCGTTCTTCTTGGTCACCCAAATTATTTCTATTGGTCAAAATTCTCAAGTTTATGCAATTTCCCCGGGTCCAGGAGCTAGTGTGTCTACAGTTCCAAGCAAAACCTACGGTAGTACGCAGTACGGCGGCACGACGCTAGATTATTTCATTCACATCTTCACATCTTCACATACCATAATAATAATGCAATCTCCAGGTGGCACCTATTGATTCCTCCCATCATGCTATGTACCTCCCAGCACATAACATGTCCCTTGGGTTTCCATGAGCCAATAAGCACTGTTGATTCTAAACACCCCATCCCTGCAAGTCCCTGGCACCTGTGGGTTGAGACATGCGAGATTCGAATCCACTGATACAGCACTGATATTGGCACTTTCGGATGGTATCCAGTTTCAATCATGCACGCCACAGAAGCCTGTTAGAAAAGCCTGCTGGGCCAAATGGATGGCTCAACGTTGCACAGCGCTTGTTTTGCCCTACATGAACTGTCAATCTTCTGTCAGCTGCCAACAATCCAATCGGGGACTCCAAGAAATCTTCAGAATCTCAGGCTGCTTTGTGATGGGCTTCGATATTTGACATGAATTCCACTATTCCCGCAGCACAGGCATCGCCTAGAGTGCCAATGTTGACTGATGCTAAGGACTGATGCTAAGAGATGCGACGCTACAGCTGTTCTTGTCATTGGCACATATCAATTGGGAATATGTACTCCGTACGCCATTTCCCCAAGACTATTCATTAACTTCCGAGATGGGTCAACCAGGCTTGAATGCACTATATTGGTTGGTTCGCCACCACCTTTAACCGCAGGCTAAGTCAATAACGGCAGGCTTATCCCTTTCCCCCACCAATAAGATCTGCAGAAATTGCTTGTGTTTCTTGGAATCTTGGAATCTTGGAATCTTGGAATCCACGTATAGACTATGTACCCCATCCATATAACACTAAACACTCTACAAGTGTTCCCTCGAGATAGGAGATAGTATAAAATACACTATTTTACACTCTGTGCTAACTTTCTAACTACTTTCCCTGCCATGGATTCCTCTAATTCTCCGTCCTAAAGCTTAAGCCACAAAGTATTTGTATTTACGCCGTAGATGCGGTGGATGTTCTCCGAATTGTGCATAAAATATGTGCATAATAGGGTGTGAGCTATCAAACCAAAACAAGGGCAACTCACAATATGATTCTCTCCTATGCACGTTGTCACTTGCCGCCTTGCAGCACCCCTCTCCTCCAATCTCTCACTTCACTTCATGCAACTCTCCCTTCCTCCACTTTTTCCTTTCCCGTCGAATCAATTGCTTAGCGTCTCAATACGTTTCGCCTCTACCCGTCTGTTACATCCATTTCGGCATAAGTCTAAGACACCCTCTTTAGGCGACCAGGCGGACTTAGGACGGCTTCGTCTTCGAGCACGAGCTTTGAATCATATTCAATCCCCTCTATCCATGGTTTGCCTTTCTCATTTCAATATCCCTGTGGATGCCTGAGCTCCATACCCTCCACCATGGAGAAGGATGAACCTGTTGCTGTCACCACAGGTGCGATGGTCGACGAGACTGCGCCTGGTGAGAAGCTGAAGCAGCTGCGCGACCTCAAGAACCACCACCACTGGGATCCTAACATGCCAGAGGATGTTATCGAGGAACTCGATGAGGCTTTGCACACATCCGACAAGCATACCCAAGAGGTGGTCGCCGACGAGCTCCTAGAAAACTCCCCTTACCCCGAGGTTCGTTCCGCTGTACCCAACATTGATGAGGGTGGATCTGTCAACACTATTCGCGCCTGGACGATTGGTCTTCTATTTGCGACCATCGGTTCTGCCCTCAACATGCTGTTCTCTATGCGCCAGCCTTACATTATCATCCCGTCATACATTGCACAAGTTGTTGCCTACCCAGTGGGAAAGGCATGGGAAGCATGGATGCCCAATTACACTTTCAACTTCTTTGGCTACAAAGCTGAGCTGAACCCAGGTGTGTTCACCAAGAAAGAACATACAATTGCGGTTATCATGGCAAACGCCACATTCGGTGGTGGCGCCGCCTATGCGACGGATGTCCTCTTAGCTCAACGTGCTTTCTATGTCCAAAACTTCGGTTGGGGTTTCGAAATCCTTATGTGTATCTCCACTCAGATGTTGGGCTTTGGCATGGCTGGATTCTTCACCCGCTTCCTGGTACAGCCCTCCGCCATGATCTGGCCTTCTACGCTGATAAATACCTCACTCTTTGCTGCGCTGCACGATCGCACCAAACCTGATCCCAAGAATGTCGCCGGCTGGAGGATCGGCAAATATCAGATGTTCCTGTACACCATGATTGGCTCTTTCTGTTGGTACTGGTTCCCTGGATACATTGCACCCTTTCTGAGTGTCTTTGCCTGGGTCACCTGGATCAAGCCCCAGAACGTGGTCATCAATCAACTGTTTGGTGGAGTGACCGGGCTTTCGCTTATCCCAATGACATTTGATTGGACTCAGATCTCTGGGTTCAACTTCAGCCCCCTCATCGCTCCTTGGTATGCGATTTCTAATACCTTGATCGGCATGTTCCTCTGGTTCTGGATTGTCACCACTGCCATTCAGTACTCCAATCTCTTCTACGGTCAGCACCTACCCATAAGCGGCTCTAACAGTTACGACAACACTGGTAAAGTATACAATGTCTCCAAAATTCTTACTCCAGAGTTTACCTTTGACAACGCGAAATACTCGAACTACTCCCCCTTTTCTTGCCGACGACCTTCATGATGTCCTATGGCCTGTCATTTGCCAGTATCGTTGCTGTGCTCGTGCAGACCGGTCTTTTTTACGGTACGGATATTTGGGATCGATTCCGTCACGTCGGAAAGGAGGAGGAAGATATCCATGGCCGTCTTATGAGTCGCTATGCTACGGTTCCTATCTGGTGGTACTTGGGCGTGTTTCTGGCGATGGTCGCAATTGGCTTTGGTGTTATCTTGGGCTACCCTACGCACATGAGCTGGTGGTCCTTCATAATTGCCCTTCTCATTTCCGCTGTTTGGTTTGTTCCTATCGGCATCGTCAAGGCTGCCACCAACATCGACATCGGCCTTAACGTGATCACTGAGTTCATTATCGGTTACATGCAGCCTGGTAAACCCATGGCTATGATGCTATTCAAGACCTACGGTTACATTACCATGTACCAGGGAATGTACTTCACACAGGATTTGAAAATTGGTCAGTCCCGACGTTGTCTTTTAATGTCAATTTGTTATACTAATCTATTCCATTAGGTCACTACATGAAAATTCCTCCGCGCGTTACTTTCATGGCCCAGATGGTCGCTTGCCTGTGGTCATCCCTCGTCCAAATCGCCACCATGAACTGGGCCCTGGGCGCAATCAAGGACGTGTGCAAGCAGTCCCAGCCCAACCACTTTGTCTGCCCTAATGGTCGTGTGTTCTTCAACGCCTCCATTATCTGGGGCGTGATCGGACCCGCTCGGATGTTCTCTGTCGGCCAGCTATACTCGCCCCTTATGTTCTTCTTCCTCGCCGGCGCCATCCTCCCCGTCCTCATCTACTTCGGTGCCCGTTTCTTCCCCAAGAGCCCCATCAAGTATCTCAGTGCTCCTATCATCTTCGGTGGCGCCAGTTTGATTCCTCCCGCTACCCCTCTGAACTATCTCTCCTGGGGTATTGTCGGGTTCGTCTTCAACAAGTGGATTCGTGACCGCTGGCGTGGGTGGTGGATGCAATACAACTACGTCCTGTCCGCTGGCCTGGATGTCGGTCTCGCTCTGTGCACCATTCTCATCTTCTTCACCCTCAACCTAACCAAAACCAACTTCCCCGAATGGTGGGGCACCAGGATCGCCGCCAACACCCTGGACACGTCTAATTCCGCCATTCGGGACCCTGTTCGTACGGGCAAGACCTTTGGTCCTACCACATGGTAGAACTTACGACGTGTTGCCTGTTACTTTGGCTTCTATTTGTTATTGGTAGCCAACTGCGGTCGGGGTCTGGGCATGCTACAATTCTTCGCACTTCACTTCAGCAACGAATACTCACGATGCCACATCTAGTAATACCTTCATATTTTATTCTTCAAACTTTCTGTAGTTAATATAACCGGTTCATCGATATAACACTCCATGAGCACCTATGATACAACAAAGGAACCAGGTCCTGAGCGATATATCTTGTCTCACTTACTACCTTCACTCCTTGTCTTAGCTCTATTCTTCATACCAGTATCCAGAATTTCTTTTTTAAAACCCGAATATGGTTTCAATACAAAAATATATAAGAAAATATGACATATGTACACGCTCATCAGATTCCCGAAATGCGACTGACGGCCACAAAGACCAAAAACCAAATCCGAAATCGACAAACCAAAAAAAGGAAAGTCATCAGCAACTGCGCGGTAACATACCTACCGCAAGGCAAGCACAGAACCAACCCAGCCATTCTCATCGAATCATGACAAAAGACCGTAATCCAACCTTGGAAGATCCCATGCAATTCCACCCTAGGTCCAAACAATTTCAATCCTGAACCCCGTCTCACAACGGTATATGCTTTTCTATGCTTCAAAATAGAATCTCAAACCCAGACCCTCAAACCCGACGACGACGCATACCAACCTGCAAACCAAGCGGCTTGCGCAGGAATCCCTCACGGGTCTCCATAGGTCCCTCCTGGTGCATCTCGAATTCGAAGAGACGGAACACAGTAGCGCAGATAACGAGGAGTTCCATCTCGGCGACGTTGCGACCGACACAGGCGCGGGGACCGTGGCTGAAGGGGATGAAGGCGGCCTTTTGGCGGGGGGTCAGACGTTCGGGGCTCCAGCGCTCGGGGACGAACTTTTCAGCATCGGCACCCCAGATCTCCTTGGAGCGGTGGATCGTGTAGCTGGGGACGGAGAGGACATCGCCGGCTTTGAAGGTGTGGCCGCAGATTACGACGGGGCCGGAACCGGCCGGGATCTCGCGGGGAAGACCCATTGAGGAGGTGCTGTGGATGCGCATTGTTTCCCAGATTATCCATTGGAGGCTATGGAGATATTAGTTTGGGGTATTCTTTTCGTGGGGTGGTGACATAGGACTTACTAGGGGATTTCCTTGACCATAGCGTGAGTGGGAACTTCAATGTCCTTGGGGATGGCTTCGTCCAGGGTCTTGTGCAGCTTGGGGAGAACGTGAGGGGTGGTCATGCACCAGTAGAGGATAGCGCAGGCGGTGTTGGAGGTGGTGTCAGAGCCGGCGATCAGTTGGGTAAGGGCCTCGGCGGTCAATTCAGCGCGTTCAAGTTGGTTACCGTTTCCGTCCTTGCCTTCCATGAGACGGGCGAGAAGATCCACACGGGTGTTGTTGGCCATAACCTCCGGCTTGAGACGTTCGCTGACACGGGCGATGGCGATACCAGCAAGGTTCTCAACAGCTTCCAAACCTTCGGAGAAAAAGCGGTCCGGGATGTACTTGGCGTAGGGGATGAGAGACGGCATGCAGCCCAGGGTGGCGGAGACCTCGCCACGACGGTTCAGAACTTCGACGGCGGCGACATACTTGGGAGGGTCCTTGGGGTCCAGACGCATCTCGGCGATATCCTGGCCCTTCTCGAGCATGCCGAAGGGAGCACCGAAAGCCAGGTCACCGATGATATCGAAAGCGAGGTAGTTGAACCAGTTGAGGGCGTCAAGGCTGACATAGCCGGTCTTGGGGTTACCCTGGAGGTCGGACATACGGTTCCATTGCTTGACGAACTCCTCAATGTTGCCGTGGATATACTGCTCGAATTGGCCAATGGACTTGGCACTGAAAGTGTGGGAGACGGTCTTGCGCTTGCGGGAGTGCTCGGCACGGTCACGGGTGTTGAACAAGCCACGGCGGATGGAGACAAAAGCATCGTAGAAGTCCCTAGGATATTGTCAGTTTCGGTGTAGTGTGTCTGGGCGGCAGCGGTGACGTACGCTTTCAAGAAACCGTTGCCATGTCCGTAGACGCTCTGGATAGCCGCATCGTCGGCAATAGAGACCTGGGTGGGTGAAATGCGAACAAGCTTTCCATATTTCTTGTGGGCCTCGTCGATCGTCAGGTACTTTTGACCCCGACGCGCCTGCAGCAGCAGCCAAACATTGGTGAAGGCGGAGTACCCGGCGGAGGGAATGTCGCGCAGGTGCGACTTCTGCACGTACGGCACCAAGTAATAGGCTACAGCGAGGCCGAGAAGAATCAACGGGACGTTCTCGAGTGTCACAAACATGGTGAAGTGTTGTATAGGAGTGTTGGACAAAACAACTCGGGGAAAAAAGGTACCGGTCCAATCAATGCAGCAAGGAGAATGCCAATCAATAAATATAGAATGTATGTTCAAATGAGAGATATCAGCTCAGATCCATGACCAAACGCGAAAAGCCAAGTTATTTATGAAAAGACGATGCGTGGTCATCAAATCATCCCCGAGGGTAATGCAAGGCAACGGGTAGCAATTTCGGTAGTGTGGAGTTCAGACACTGGCGGCGAAGATCCGTGGAGAGTGCCGTCTCAAGGCTCCGAACCTCCGGCACACCGGTTTCGGTTATTGGCAATGAAGTTAGGCAAATCAGCGGTCGCATATTGGTGAAGGTTTGCCTCCATCCTCTCTCCGGTGTAATCATTGGTTCTTGATTTGTTGGAGAAGAGTGTGGGGGAGAAAACGGCACGAGGCACCCTTGATGCCTAGTCTATAAGGCCAGTATCTGCTGTCGGTGCATGACGACCGGCATACCGGAGGATTTATTAATCCTACACATTTTTGTAATTAATGTTATGTAATCATGGCTCCATATAAATTGTACGAAGAGCTGATACAGAAATATAGAGTTGAATACCACTAATTGGACCCCTATATTTATAATAAGAAGGGTTCTCTAGGACTGCTTTCTCCACCTTGGAGTAGGAAGACCGAGTAGTCTGGCGCTTCAAGGAGTAGTCAAGCTAGCCAATGATATCTCGCATTTGCCATCCCTGTTTGGGTTGGTAATCAGTGAGTCTCCATGTGTAGTCTTCTTCCATACGGAGCCTTCTTCCATACGGAGCCTTCTTCCATACAGAGCCCTCTTCCGTACGGGGAACTGCACATGGAAAATTACCTCATAGAATTCATCATTGGACCGCCAATCACAGCTATATTCTCAGTAAAGTAAATTAAACTATTGGGATAGTGGTTGCATAAAATCCCTGACCGAGGATGGGAAAAACAAAGGTTCTTTCTGATGAAGGTTCCGCTTCGGTCTTATGACTTCATATAGGTTGTTGCGGTGTAACAACCTGCGGTAGATCCTGGTGTGTCACTAGCATTGGCGCTGGATAGTAGGAGTTCTTGATAGGTCAGTCACCTTTTCATCAGAGCCATAGTTTGAGACATATTAATTGCGAGCTAAGGAAAGCCCAAAATCCCGAAGTATCCGCTGATAAAATATGTACCTGGCCCGTCTCTCGGATACGAATTCCCACGCATACGTCTGCGCCGCACATCCTGCTATATTCGCATGCCTTTTTCATCAGACTTGTTTTGCGACGGCATTGTTTTTGCTGCATCAACTTTCTTTTCGAAACGACATCCTTTGACCTGGTAGCCTTGATAGCGGCCATTGAGCGCGTTGCCTTGATATCTGGAGGTACTTTAGGAGTAGAGAAGCCTATATAGAAAATTTAGATAGCAGGGACTCTTATAAAACTTAGATCCGCTAATGGACAGGGGCCCAATAAATATAAATGTTATTACACGAAGGGGAGTCTTCAATCATGGAACGCGAAAAGACCACGATATTCAAAGTACTACACGAAAATCGGTCCTTTGTGTGTTGAACTTATGAAGGCAGACCCCGCATAAATGGAAGGGCAACAATTACTGGTGTTATTTGCGGTCATCAAATAGGTGCGGCAACGTGAAACGACCGTACTTGTAACGTTATTGACATATTGCCCGCCATACCTTTTACGTGTCTGCAACGTCACTACAGCATACTTTCAGCACTAGCAAATCCTTAAACCGTCGGGCATCATGTTACGCATTCCTGAACAGTACTCTCGATGAAGAGGTCTATACTCAGATGCCCGAAGGATTCACGGATGGAGAGAGCTGCCGGAAGCTGAATAAGGCTCTTTATGGTTTGCGGAAGTCCCCGAGACTCTGGCAACAAGAAGCTACCCGAGTACTCGAAGAACTTGGCTTCCAGGCCGTTCCAGAAGACCTCTGCCTTTTCACCCGCAGCGGCATCATAGCCTTCTTCTATGTAGACGACATCGTCATCGTCTACCATCGCTCGAAGTCTGGCGAGGCCAGTCAGCTCCGCACGCAGCTCCAGAAGCACTGGGAGCTTCGCGATATGGGAGAAGCCACCTGGTTTCTTGGGATTCGAATCCTGCGCGACTGGCAAAATCATAAGCTCTGGCTCTGCCAAGACTCCTACTTCTCATCGGTAGCTGCATGCTATCATCTTTCCAGTGGTCGGAAATATCTCTCACCACTGCCCGTGGAACGTATGGCTTCGTTCACAGGCCAGGCTACAGCCTCACAGATCCACGAATATCAGCAAAAGGTCGGATCCGCTCTATACGGGACCATCATCACCCGTCCAGATGCTGCGAAGTCTGCGAGCCACTTGGCCGAATTCCTCACTAATCCCGGACCTCAACACCTTGAAGCAGCCGACCGGCTCATCCGTTACCTCGACTCCACTCGTTACTTTGCCCTCGAGTACCATCCAATGCATGACCTCGAGCCTGCCCTTCAATTTGTTAGCGACGCATCATTCGGCGACCACACGGACCGCAAGAGCTCGGAAGGATACCTCTGCAGGCTGTTCGGCGGGGCAGTCGACTGGAAAGCTGGAAAGCAAAGGACCGTGACAACTTCTACCACAGAAGCAGAGCTGCTAGCCCTATCCGAGGCAGCGAAATCAGCTCTTTGGCGGAAACGTCTACTCGCCGCAGTCAATCTCGTATACCAGAACTCAGAAGCGATGGAAAGTCAGTGCGATAACGCCCAGACCGTCGGCCTTCTCACCAAGGAGACGCCTCAACTCAGTACTAAGCTTCGCCATGTTGATATTCACAATCACTGGCTTCGGCAGGCCGTCCAAGCCGGAGAAATTGCTATCCGCTAGGTTTCCACCAAAGATATGGCCGCGGATGGACTCACGAAGCTCTTACCTACTCAAAATCACAGCAATTTCATGCGCGCTCTCGGCCTCACGAGCATACAGCACCTTATCAAATGAGGCGGAAGTGAGAAAAGAAGATCGCACTCAACGTCGCGTTCTCAGGCATGAGGCGGCTGCTGGGGGGGTGTGTCAACAAAAGAGGGTCGCCATTTTACTAGTGCGCCCGAGGAATATTCAGCACCCCCTCTGCCTGATGATCGTAAGGCTCTCAACGACCTTACTAAGCCCATCCCCTATTTATTCTGCACTTTCTATAGTATATAAGAATCACACTCTCAAGTACTCAATTGGCTATGCCCGTACTAGTCCATACACCGAGGTGAGTCCTTCCCTACACCGAGAACAGCTCAAGCTAACCCACCACAGCGCCTTGGAAACCCTCCCACAAGATTGCTGGGTGCAGATTCTGGATGAAATTTCACCCCCAGACGCTGCATGTGTAGTAGCCACATCCCGAGGTCTGCAAATCTCTTCGGAGAGCTTACTATATCGCCAGGTCGATATTGACTGGACCAGACCCCCCTCAAGCGGGTCCTGACTCTATTCCGTGTCATTCACGAACGTCCAGATCTGGCTGAACAGATTCACTATGTGAGCATGATTACCTCGAAACTGGTGTATCCAGCAGCGCACGAGGAAGCCGAGTGGGGGTTGCCTCAAATAGATGGCGACTGGGACCAGCTCTCATCTCTATTTCAGGGTGAGGTAAACGCCGCGAAAGATATCATCACCAAGGCACAGTTTCCCTCGTCGGAAATGTGGATTCATGCCCTGGAAAACGGTGACCCATACGCATTTGTGGCTGTGCTTCTTTCTCAACTTCATAATCTACGGTCGCTACAACTCGATTACACTTTTGTGTGGAAAGCTGGGTTTCCGGGATTGATGATAAGACATGCTCTTCTCTCCGCGCCTAAGAATATATTATCTCGATTTTCACAACTCTCCGTTGTCGAGTACGGTCTGAATGTTCCACGTTCTAGAAGGTTTAACGAAATGAGATGGAATTTCATCGATGCATTCCCCGTTTGTAACCCGGATCAATTTGCAGGCTGGTTCTATCTGCCTTCTTTGAAATCCTTAGAAATCTGGATCCAAAGTTTCGAGGGTGTTACCAACGAGTTGTCTAAGCCTACTGAGTCAAGCAAACTGGCGCATCTAGCCCAGCTTAAAAGACTCGTATTGACGGAATCTTCCGTTGACGAGGATGATATTAGAAAACTACTGTCGCACCTCTCTTCGCTGAAGAGTCTTGACCTGGGCCTTGTCTACCCATCACAGGATAAGGAACTCGATTATAACGTTTGCTCTCCTCAACCTCCTCTCAAAAAGCAAGGTATACTTCTTAAAGGTCTGATAAGTGTAAAGGACACAGTTGAAAATCTTTCTATTAGTATGGAGCTTTGTCCATTTTGGTGGCCTAGCTCTTGGGGCGCAAGAGTACGTAACCATCGAACCCCGCAAGAAAGCTTCAAACCATTCAAAGGAATCTTGATGCGGTTCCCGCTTCTTCGAACCGCAGAACTGCCTTCAGTCATGCTTTTTGGATGGACTTGTGCCGATGCACCAGCTTTGTCTGAGCTTCTACCGCCAACACTTCGGAAGCTCGCCATTCGGGAGAACCTGTGGCATACGGAGGACTTCGAGTGGGAGACAGGTCAAGTTGGAGAAGCAATTCAGAACTTTATCCCCTTTGCGCAGTCCGTGACTCCTATGTTGAACACAATTGCAATTAGAGCCTTTGGTGTCGGAGAAGAGGGTGATACTGACCCAGACGATGCCATGGGGGCTATATCATCGTGTGAGAAGCTTGGGCTGGATATAGACATCAGGTTGATCCAGTATAATCTCTCGCCGGGACTCTGGACGACGCACAGGGGACTTGAAGAAGGATCCTGGAGAGAAATATCAAATCCTTAGTCTAGAGCTTAGATTCTTCAACTACTCAGTCCATCAGACTCACATTCATCATGCACCCCAATGTTTTTGTAGACGTCTCTTCTTGATAAGCCTACCATGATAATGGATAACTAATATCGGATCGAATTGTTGTTTTTGTTCTAATATCCTCTTGTCAATCAGACTACCGCCTTGCAAGGCTACTAGATTAGTAGAATACCTGGTTTCCTGTAACTAGATGCGATTTTCCAGAAGTAAAAGACAGATGAGAGACATACTAGTTGCGTTGCGCAAGAGTCAAAGCTGGATACGCTTGAAACTCTTTATATTTGCCTTTTTTTGGCCATAATTTCTGCGCTTCAGTCAGGATAGGTCTAATAACGTATTTCACCAGTGAGCTGCGCACACCAACGAGCTGTGCACCCCACCTAAAACGCGTTAACTAATTTACCCCCTTCTTCTTCAACCACCCACTATGCCACCAATTCGTACTCAATCTTCTCAAAATTCAATGGAGAGAGAGGGTAGAATCTAGGCCTTGACAACTTCTATGGGACTAAAATAATTGTCTTTTTGAGGTTGGTGGATTTCCTTTGCTCAATCCCGAGACGCCATTCTAATTGGATTAATGCAGACTGCTCGAGTATTACCGCGGCATCATGGTCATGACAACCAACTGCGTGGACGCAATAAACCGCGCTTTCCAAAGCAGAATTCATCTCACCTCGCATTACCCGGAGCTAGAATCGCTTGCAAAAGAACAAATATGGAGACAATTCACTTCCCAATTGAAGAAAGATGGAACATTGACGCAAGACATATACAACCGGCTTGCTCAACTACCAATGAGTGGATGGCAAATCAAAAATACGGTGAAATATCAGCCCTTTTGGCTCACAAAGAAAAGGCCGATTTTGGTGTTCAGCGTATTCGCACCGTCGTGGTGAATTTCCCAATTTGAGGCCTTGTCCAAGATGTTGAAAGTGGACTGAGTAGAAAGAAAAGTACTCCAAGACCGGTTGAGAAAACATTCCAAGTCAGTGATTCCAGACCTCGACAAACCACCCTGATGCGCCCAGAAACCCCAACTAGGTTAGGATCGTCGAAATGAGGGGTCAGTGTTCAGCCTCACTATCAGGTGACTGAGATATACACGCTATGGGATAAACAGGGCGCTTCGTCGATGGGGGGCCAAAATCGCCATCTCATTTTCTTTGAATGTCTGATTCCAACCTGTGGAAGCTCAAATTACACATCCAATGTCGAGCACGAAGGACTACAGTGTAGGCTGGATCTCAGCCATCAAGGCCGAATACGTTGCCGCAGATGTGTTTCTGGACGAAACGCACGATCGCCCTGCCGATGTTCCAGCTGACGACTACAATGATTATACCTTTGGCAAAATTGGGGAGCATAATGTGGTCATCTCCGCTCTTCCTAAGGGAGAGTATGGCGAATCCTCGGCGACTGGTGTCATCAAGGATATGATCCGTAGCTTCACCAATGTCCGTATTGCGCTCATGGTTGGGATCGGCGGTGGTGCACCAAGTGCTTGGAACGACATTCGGCTCGGTGATATCGTTGTTGGCGTTCCTGGCAACCGTGAAGGTGGCGTGCTACAGTATGACTTCGGGAAGACAATCCAAGGCCAAAGCTTCCAGCCAACTGGTTTCCTCAGTCCGCCGCCCAGATCGCTACTTGCCGCGGTACAAGGACTCGACAAGCATTACACAATCCGTGGTCATAAGATTGAAGAGGCGGTTATGAGTGTACTCGACAACAATCCGCGACTCAGAAGGGATTATGGACGGCCGGAAATGTCGACGGATCGACTTTACAAGAGTGATGTTGTCCATCTGCCTGGGTCCAAGGCGCCTTGTCTTACTGTTTGCGGCGATGACAAATCCGTGTTAGTTATCAGAAATGAACGTCACGAAGATGAAGATAACACCAAGATCCACTACGGTCTAATCGCATCCGCCAATTCACTCATGAAGGATGCTGAAATCAGAGACCGATTTGCCCAACAAAACGATGTCCTATGCTTTGAGATGGAGGCAGCCGGATTGGTCAAACATTTCCCTTGTCTTGTGATACGAGGGATCTGTGATTACTCTGATTCACACAAAAGTAAAGAATGGCAGGGCTTCGCAGCCATGGTGGCTGCGGCGTACGCCAAGGACTTACTGAATCGGCTTCCCCCAGTTCAGGTCGCGCGAGAGAAAAAGGTCGCTATGGTGCTGGAGCCTGCTAGGACCTATCACAATACGAGTATTACACTTGGGGACTACAACTCGGGCATCCAAGTTGGTCAGAACAACGGTACCATCACACATGGGGCACCGCCTCCGGGCTATTGGTGAGGGTCTCTGAGGGAGCTTCTATCTTCCTCAATTGATAGTGTCTCTAGTAGTTATATTTCCCAAACTTGTAGATTCGGTACAAACTCTATGGTTGATGTTGACTACATAAATGCTCAGCTACTAAGATTTGTACATCCAACAGGACCTGATGCCTGAGGCACGAGATGCAGGACCTCCCAAGCTGCCCAGGTGCCCAGGTTGCGTAAAAGACAACCCCATTTCAGGGGGCCGAAAATCACCTGATTGTCGAATTGAACCTCGAAGGACCCCCGCTTTCTCGCACCTGGTGTCTTCACCTACGGAGGGTGCATGTTAACCATGGATTCAATATCGTTCGGTGACCAAAACTCGGGGCCTCAGCTTGGGATCAATAACGGGACAGTCAATGTTTTCTCCCGTAAGTTTGTCGAGGTGGCTTGCCCAGGGCTTAGCCGGGCTCAGCTAACTCGGAGCCACTTTTAGGGCCACAAAATACAGATTCCCCACATCGGACGGTGGATAACAGTTCGTCTCGCTCTATGTCTACCAACAGGATTGTCATTGACTATTTTGTTAGAGATACTCGCATCACTGGCATTTCCGCATATGCTAAACCGAAGAGATAACGTCGAGCCATGTCATACGAATACCTGTCAATGGATCTTAGAACTGGAAAAGTTTCAATTTTGGAGGAGTGAACCTCGTGGTCTACTGTGGATAAAGGGCAAACCAGGTGCCGGAAAATCGACATTGATGTCATTTCTACACAAGAAACTTGGGAGTTCACAGAAAGACAACCAGGGTATCCAGCTCGACTTTTTCTTCACCGCCCGAGGCACAGAGATGCAACGTACACCATTGGGCATGTTTCGATCTTTACTGAATCAAATATTCTTGTACGATGCGACCATCCGGTCTCAGGTACGCGAGGCCTATGAGCACCGGTGCAAACTGTTTGGGTGGGAAGAAGGTATTTGGACTTGGCCACAAACGATGCTTGAAGAACTACTGGTAGACACCGTCCTTTCTAGTCGACAACGTGTGACGATTTTCGTCGATGCTCTGGATGAGACTGGAGATGTCTCTGCTCCACAAATCGCATCATTCTTCCATCAACTTCTTGACCGGGCAGAGCGAAAGAACGCTGCTATCCGAATCTGTATCTCATGTCGCCACTATCCTATCATTTGCAGTACCCAAACCTTAGAGATACATGTTGAACACCATAACGGCAAGGACATCGCCACATATATTAGGGATATACTTGCCCAGATAGAGGTCGAAGACAGCCTTAGCGAAGACACGAGACAGGTGCTGATCAAAAGGTTAACCCAGCAAGCTAATGGTATTTTCCAATGGGTTCGTCTTATCATGCCCTTGACACGACGGAGAATACACGAAGGCGAGACGTCTGAGGACATATGTTCCTGGTTACACGAGGTCCCAGACGGCCTAGAAGATGTGTATAGGTACATTTTGAAAGAAGTGATAGACGTGCGCAACTTGAAGCAATCTTTCTCGCTATTCCAATGGCTAAGCGTAGCCGAACGACCACTGGCTTTGAAAGAAATACGGTATGCTTTGGTGGCCGGGGACGCGCAGATAACAGGCGCTCTAAAGCCCATAGAGAAGATTCACGGTTTTGTTGAAAGCGACAAACGAATGAAGATAAGAATCAATGTGCTTTCGGGTGGATTAGCCGAAGTTGTCTCAAGCAAGGATTCGGACGAATTCGTACAGGTGGTGCACCAGTCCGTCAATGAATTCTTACGTGCAAAAGGGCTGGCTATGATGAGTGATATGCTCGGAACAAGTAGCCCAACCCGAAAAAACGAAGAAATTTACTTCCAATCCCACGCAGTTCTCTACCGAACTTGTCTTATCTATTTGATGATTCATTTCCTTCGTGGGGGCTTTCCAAGGGAGCTCCACGAGACGAAGAGTGAGCTCATCCGAAACCATCCATTACTTGATTATGCCACCCACAACGTGTTTGTCCATGCAGAAAAGGCTGCTCACTGCCGTAGACTGAGATCGCTTGACGAAGAATATATTCTGTCGAAAGTGGTGACTCATTGGGTACAATTATACCAGTCCCTCGACGTTTTTAACCCATTGTGCCCACCCTCAGGCGCCAGGTTGATTCACATAGCCGCAGCCGCAAATCTCGTTGATATCTTGGAGCGCGTGTCCTTGGACGATAGTGAATGTGCGATGTCCGACAAATTTGGAAATACAGCCTTTCATTTCGCCGCGCGATGCGGCCACATCTCGGCGGGAACGATTCTATTGCACAAAGGAAACGACTTCAAGGTAGAAAATGAGCTCAAGATGACTCCATTGACTGTGGCTGCTAGTTACGGGCACATGGACTTTGTCAAATGGCTCATATGCGAGGGTGTGCATCTTGAAGATACAATGGGCGACGCCCACAGTGCTCTTCAAAATGCTTCCCGCCAGGGGCATCAGAATGTTGTTGAGCTTCTGATTGGAGCCGGTGCCAATGTCAACGCCCAAGGTGGTGAATATGGTAATGCTTTACAGGCTGCTTGTGCAGGGGGGAGTAATAGTGAGATTGTAAAGATACTCCTCGGTGCTGGCGCTGATGTCAACGCCCAAGGTGGTCAACACGGTACTGCCTTGCGAGCTGCTTGTGCAGAGGGGGGGCAGCAGTGAGATCGTACAGCTGCTCCTCGACGCTGGTGCCGATGTCAATTTGCAATATGATCAACACGGCCCTGCCCTGAATGCCTGTGCTAGGAGCTCCAGAGGCGGCAGAACGCTTGGCGGTTATATCAGCTCCCAGGATATGACGGATCAGGAGATCGTACGGCTCCTCCTCAGCGCTGGTGCCGATGTGAACGCTCAGGGTGGTGAATATGGGACTGCTCTCCAAACCTATGCAAACGCGGCGGACTCACACATTATAAGGATACTTCTCGACGCTGGTGCCGATGTAAACGCCCAGGGTGGCAGATACGGGACTGCCCTACAAGCTGCGGGTAGAGAAAATGGCAGACAAGAGATTATACAGATGCTCCTCGAGGCTGGCGCCGATGTCAACATCCAGGCTGGATTTTATGGCACTGCACTCCAAGCCGCCTCTCAAGGACGGGGGAACTGTAAGAGCGTGCGGATGCTCCTCGATGCTGGTGCCGATGTCAACACGAAAGGTGGCTATTATGGTACTGCTCTGCAAGCCGCTTGTGCCAAAAACCATGATGATGAGAATGTTGAGATGCTCCTCGATGCTGGCGCTGATGTCAACGCTCAAGGAGGTCGGTATGGGTTTGCCTTGCAGGGTGCCTGTCGATTTCAGGAAACCAGTAGGATCGCACAGATACTTCTTCGCGCTGGCGCTGATGTGAACGCCCAAGGCGGGGATTACCGCACTGCACTACAGGCTGCCTGTAGAAACAGGCGAGACAATGGGATGGTAAAGATAATCCTCGATGCTGGTGCTGATGTTAATGCTCAGGGTGGAGAATTCGGATCAGCCCTTTTGGCAGCTGTCTTTTGTGGGCATCTTGATCGGATAGAAGTTCTTCTTCGGGCTGGGGCAAATCCGTCACTTGTGGACCGACTTGGACAGACTCCTCTACATGTCGCAGCCTCGGAGAATATGCTCACCGTTCTTCATCGCTTCCCGGTGTTCCTCTCGTCTATCAATGTACGAGACAAGCTTCTACGTTCCCCAATTCATCTGGCCATTTGCCTGGGTCATATCGACTTTGCCACGCATCTCCTCCAATTTTTCACTGATCCATTTCTTCTAGATGGATATGGTAGAAACATACTGGACTGGGCAGTTGGAAACAAAAGCTTGGTGCGCCAGATTCGAACCCACCACCCTTCAATTGTTACGACGCCTAAAGAAATCCAAGCACGTGTCGTTTGCCAATCCATTATGGAACTATCAAAAATGCTTCAAACCCAGCCCGATTTCTTATGGCCACTTATACAGCAACTGGGTCGATATCTTCTCTTCGTCAACAACCTAGACGATGCTCGGTTTTTACTCCAGCTACATTTGAGCCAGAGAGGTTCTCCCGCGGGCGCTAGCTTCACAATTTACTGTGTCATTTGTGATGATAACATCGAACAATCTCGCTTTGTCTGCAGAGAATGCGCTCATATGGATCTATGTTCATACTGCGTGGAGAATGAAGAGTTCCACAGTCGATTACACCCAAACCAAGCGCACGTCACCTTCGAATTAACTGAGGTTCAAGGAGCCGGGCCTCAGTTCGCGGAGCTGGAATTAGCGACTTATAGGAAAGTTCTTGATAGGCTTTCCACGGAGGGGCCATCGAATCATTCGGCGGCCAATCTTTTTTTTCACGTCACGTCACGCACAATGATCGATGTACTTCCAAGGGGACTTTTGGGATTGATTCCGATGTTCTGTGTTCTTCTTGTTGGAATTTTAGCGGTTTTGTGGGGGCATTAGATCACCCAGGCTTCGACAATATACTAGTATAATATCCAAGGGATAAGATAATGACTTGGAATCGATGTGATGTAGATGGCCAGGTCAGGTGAACTTGTCCCCTAGATAGTCTCCCGAGGTTCTTGTGATGAAACCTTTAGAATTCCCGGAATATCGATGTCCATGGGATCATATGCCCAATGAAGGAACAGGTAATGAAATCAAGAGTCGTCGAAGACCAACCGATCCGCGGATCATTCACACGTGGGCGCTAAATCTGGATAGTTGGTATCTTTTCTACGAGATCGGTAAAGCTTGACCTTCTCCGAGACTTTTTTATATTGCACCGCGAAGGTAGTAGTGAAATGCAGTAAGCGGCCGTTGTACCTAACGAATATAGTGGGCCCAGGTGACAATGCAGAGAAATCGATCGGCACGTTATATTCCTCCCCAGAGACGCCTATAAATATCTAGTGCTTGTGCTTTGAGCCTCCTACCTTGCTTCCATACCCACCTCAACATACAGGTCCACAACCCACTTTATTAAAGATCATCTTTATTGATCTCTATTCATCTACATCCTCGTTCTTTATTCGCCTGGGCGACAATAACACCTACAATCATGGTAAGTTCTTTCGCTTTATCCGTTATGCCATGCTTCTAGAATTGTGGGCTTTGGTTTGTGAGCTTCGATTCTAGATGGGCACCCCTTAACCCTATATATATCGAGAGAAACTGGTATACGGATTTTATATAGAAATTCAGTCCTAGTTGATCGTGACTAACTTTATCTATATATATCTATAGCGAGCAAAATGTCCATGTGAAGCTTGCGGGCGATCCGACCACCTGCTAAGGGACTGCCCATTTCGCAACTTTTACGACCCAACCCAGCAAAAGGCATCCCTAGCCGCGGCAAGTTTTATTTCATTGAAAGTTGCTTAATTGAACATCCCGGGATCCCTATCACTAAGAAGCCGCCGACCTCATATGTCCCGGTGCGCCTCAACGGCTCACCCGAAGCGGCAGCGGCCACGCCCAATTTGACCCCATGAGTCCCAGGAATCTAAATCATCACCACGTGCTATGTACTCTGGGCTCCAGTGAGAGCGTTGAGAAAACTCTGATCACCAAGTCGATCTCCAGCAAGTGTCTACTCTGCCCACAGAGTTGATGTTACTGTGTTTCCCTTCGTGGGGCAAGAAGACTAATAAGTCTCACTTTTAATATCCGGAAAAGGACAGCCAAGACGTGGTAGAAGAAATTAAATACATAGTTTTTATGTACATAGTTATGTATTTTTTCAAAATATAGATGTATAATAAATGTACATGAATCAAAAATCGGGTCTCCTTACTTTCCCCATCCTTCACTGATGATGGCGGGCATGATCATGATGATGACTCTTGCTCAACAAGCCGTGAGCCCCCAAGAAATTATTAATCTGCTTAAAAGCCCCGGTGGCATTATAATGCAGATTAATAGCATGGCCAGTGTTGGGGTGAACATAGGCAGAAAAAGCACTGGTCTTTGGGAAGATCACCTTAGCCGCAGCAGGAATAGGAGCTGATTTCCCACCAGTGTGCAGACAATCGCCTCCGCAAAATGGTACGTCGTTCGCACCATCAATGACATAAACAGGTCCGGTGAAGTTGCTCTGCGCCGGGAGACCGGTGATGGTCAGGAGTTCACCAATGGTCATCGGTTGCTTGTTCTCTTCGGCATATTCCAGAAGGCCGGTGTCGAAGTGGGGTGGGTAGAAGAATAGATATACATTGCTGCCGATGTCCGCACTCTTCAAGTATCCAGCTGTGTAGTCTGAGTTCTTGCCGTTGAGTCGAGCTTGTTGGAAGTTGGCGCCGCTGAGGAACATTGGCATGTAGTCAGCGCTTGCCGTATACCCGGTGAGCACGAGTGCATCGGAAAGCTCTGGGTACATGGCAGATAAAGCAACTGTCTGGGCAGACCCAAATGAATGTCCGACATGGACGACCTTGGCGGGAGTCTTGACATTAACCAACTTGCCGCTGCGCACCATGCGGGTCAACTGAGCAAGAGCTTCGATCTCTAGGAATGCCTGGATCTCGTTCTTTGCGTCGCCATGTGAAGATTTGCCCAGGCCCAATCTGTCGTATGAAAGTGTGTGGTACCCCCGAGACAAGACGTAATCCACGTAAGAGTAGTTATAGTTGTGGTATGGTAGATCCCAGTATCTATATTATTATTATTTTAGCCCCCTGTACATGGAGACCAATTAAGTCTCAAAACTCACGACTTGTCAAAGCCCATTCCATGTGTGAGGATCTGAAGCGTGTAGGCCGAGTTCCCCGCGTTCTTCGGCATACAGTATTGAGTCGAGATATTGTAATGGCCCGACACAGTGGCATATCCCGATAAGGCTATTTCTGACAAATTTCCACCCTGTCTGGTCGCGGAGAGGACGAAGGAAGTAGCGTCAAAGTTCGTCTGGGGTGTGTTGATGTTGTCGAACACGCCGTTGCGAGCCGTGACAGGCACCTCAACTGTGACATTATAACAGGTCTTTGCAGCGGCAGCACCAGCCGTTAAAGCCCAAAGTCCAATTGTTGAAGTACGCATAGTGAATGAATTTTGTGTGTGATATGGCGGCAGTCAGTTCCAACAAGCGCAAAGGGGGTTGCGTCCCTTATATAGAATTTCCACCAGAAAGCTTCACCCGCGACAAAATACCCTATCCAAAATCCCGCAAGTCTATTTCGAAAAAAAATCGACCCCAAAATGATTTGTCAAAAGCCCTGCGATTGGAGTGGAACCCGACTAACGCATATATCGATAGTGCACGCCCATCAAAGGTTGTTCTCCGGTGCTAAGCCCTGAGCCTGAAAGCGTCTTGGACGTTGGAGGATCTTGTTGACAATTGACATAATGTAGCCCTAACGGCACCAATCATCGTTTACATTTGATCTGATGCGTCCGTCTGAAGAGAAGAAACAGGTATAAATTTGCAGTTCTTGCTGCATACTGTCGATCCGAATCTAAATAGGAACGAATTATCGTGCACGATCTCTGATCTTGCTGATCCACTTGGTCCGAGAGCCCTAAAAATGAGAACACATCCAACACAAATAACGGATCTCTGCCGAGGTTGGATCAACACAGGTTGATTGTACGTATACTGTACGGAGTACGGAGTAGATTACAGATAATAATTCGGATGCAGCGGAACTGGGTGGTGAGATTCAAAATTGGGATTGCAGGTACAAATAGTCGGGATATAGTACGGAGTAGTACGGGGTAGTATATCCTGCAACACCACATGCTAATTCTGACCTTGTTAGGGGCAATTGGAGGGGTTCATTGAAAAAACAGTCCCCTGGCAGGTGCATTAGCGAGAATATAGATCCAACTGTTGCGATATCTAACGAAATCTAAGGAAACGATCTACAAGCGTTCCCAGGTTCGAGGACCTAGGCTTTCGTTTTAGTGCCCAGGTGGAGTACTCGACCGAGTCTTGAAACCACTAAAAACGCAAGAAAGAGGATCAGAACGAGAGCGAGAAGAACACCAGCCGTGCGAACCCAAAATTAAATACAAATCAATGCGCTATGTAAATTTCAATGCCATATGTTGTATAGTCGGTAGAATCATCATAATCCATATATCGTATATGCAACCCGTTGATCACCACCGATCGCCAGTGACAGGAAACAACCCATTCTTCTTCTTTTCCGCGTCCCACCGATCCATCCAAACCTTCATCTGGTCCCGACTCTTCTGGCTCCCAACATTCACCGTCGGGATGACCCGCCCGATCCGCAAAGCGCAACAGAACATGGTCAACTCGCGGAATGAACTGTGCTCGCTGTACGGCACACCAAAGCAGGCACTTTCCCGTGTGCTGCCGCGCTGCGGTGTGAGATCTTGGCTGGTAAATGGCGACTTCCAGTGTTCACCGTGTAGCACAGTGGAGACTGGTGGATTTTGTACCAGTCGCCCGGCTGGTGGGCGATAGGTCCAGCCGGTCGGGCGAAAACCGACGACTCGGGAGAAGTGCGGTTTGAGGCCATCAAGGTAGTCTGCCAGGGTATCGGCGCGGATCTCAAAGAGGGTTTGCATATGTACTTGCGCTTCGTGTGGATTGCTGGTTAGCATCGCGGAGAGCTCGGGGTCTTCCAAGCAGGCACAAATTCGTTGTTTCGGTGGAGTCGCGAAGATTTTTGATCCAAGTACTCGAGCGATCCCCATACATATCCGTTCTTTGCCAATGCTGTAAGTGCCAATCACTACCAGCAGTCGGCCTCCGGTATTCGAGGTTTTGTCTTGTAATTTGTTGCTCCCTGTCGCGGCGGAGATAAATTTGCCCATCAAACCGCCTGCACCGTTCTTCCCCGTATCAGATCCGACGCCAGCTTCTTCGTTCAGGCGCACACATAGATCCGAGCACGCTGTGATCACATCCTCTTGGGCGGGGAATCCATATTTTGGGCTCAGGTATGTGGTGTCGAGATAACATTTGTCGATATGTTGCTGCCTTGGCTTTCCAGTGATTGGGTTGATCACATTAGGGCGTAGAAGTGGATGTTGCACCTGGGCTGGAGACGCACGAAAGTCACCACAATGCAACACCCGTTGGTTATTGGCATTGGGTCCATTCCCAGAACTCTTTTCGAAAAGAAAAAGTGAACTACCGGGGCAATGATTTGCGTGTATCATGGTGACCCGCACCCCTCCCGTCTCCGGTACTTCAGTGGTAGATTCAAACTCGAGGTCAACTACCCACTTGGGATCAACGCGAAGCTGCTGGCGGACAAGATTGGCAGTTGGTCGACTGCAGTAAATGGGCCCATGGCACCAGGACTTGCTGAGCCCTATATAGTGATCACTGTGAAAGTGACTGAGAAAGTAGGCGTTACACCCTTCGACGGCTCCGTATCGGAAGGCATCGACGCATATGGAAAACCCCGGAAGAATTTTGTAAAATGGACAAGTCCGTTGGTAGGCTTGTTTGCCACGGGAAGACACCTCGTTCGCAGCTGCAGTAGCCCAAGCAGTATCTTCTGCATTTCCAGCCATCATCTTGGAGAATGCGGAACCTCCAATGGGTTTTTTCTGTGAGTAGGGATCCCCTTGCGCAGGCCGAGCAATAGCAGCGCGCTCCGCGCGCGTCAGCCCTTTGCCGATGGTGGCTGGCTTGGAAGCCGGCTTCACCGTGAGCTTAGGAGCAGGTGTGGCCGGTATAGGGTTGGTTTTACCATCTAGGCAGTCGTTGACATGGATCTCAATTGCCTATGCCGGGAATGAGCATTTCAATACAACCGAAAGGGGGTAATAAGCACTTACCGTCTCATTAAGATCCTTCAGTACCATTTGGCAGATAGGACATGTGCTCACCTCCGCCTCAATATCTTCTACACCTGAACAATCGTTTAAGTCCTTGTCTGGATCTACCTGAAGGTCCATCTGATGCTCTTGTTCCTCGCCTTCCCATGGCCGATTTCGAAACTCTTCCCCTATAAGCTCGTCTTCATCTTCTATATCGTCAAAATTCGCGTATTCATCATTATCGGCATTATTCGTGGCGGTTCTTACCAGTGGCGGGGGTGTAGATTCGGAAGTGCGTTCTGTAGCCACTATTTCATCCATTTGCAATATCCCGTTCGTCGTATCCCTAGTGGCGGGTGTGGTTTCATCAAGCTCCCGATATGCTTCCATATCATCCTCGCTGTCAGACTCATCGATGAATGGTCCGCTCCTTTTCTGGGTCTTTGCGGGTGCAGGTGCGGGTGTGGGCACTTTTTCAGTCTTCGATTCGGTGTCTGGTTGTTCTGTTTCGTTGACCGGACTGCCCGGTGAGTCGAATTTCCGACGCTTGACCGCTGTATCGCTCTCATTGTATCGTTTGGAATCCGGCTTCAAGAACTCATCATCGTCGCCCCAAAAATCAGGCGTCAGCGATCGCTCTCTTTCGCTCGTCACCGTCGCTCGTTCAATCTTTGCGAGTCCCTTTTTATCTTCCAAGAAAAGTCCACCAGCAGGATCATTCCTTGAACTGCTGCCCCTTTTGGGAAGCCTGGGTCCCCCGGCCGCTGCTCGGTGAACGTGAGGTCGCCGTTGCAAATTGGGTGATTCGAGCCTGGCGAGAAGTGGCACCCGGTGGCGTGTCGGTCTTCTGAAAGAAGCTCAGGATGCTCGAGTTGCGCTTTATTGAGGATTGCCTTGTCCCAGAAGATCCTTTGGATGGTATAACCCCCTTCTTCGCGTAGGATCCGGCCATCGTGGCTCGGTCACAGAGGGGTTGAAGTCCGTTGCACCGTGTGCGAGAATCGAGCCGTGACGAGGGTATAAGAGAGTTCGCAGCTATTCCAAGGTAGTTTTAGGCCGGATGGAACGGAAACAGTCTGATTAGATGTACAATATGTCCATAATTTGTGCACAGTCGCCAGTGAAAATGTCCAGGAATAGTTGGGTCAAGAGGCGCGAAGAAACAGGATCGCGACACGCGGTCACGTGGTCGGTATTACTCGGCTCCAACTGGGACTACATTTTGATTTTGGTCTGTTTAGAGCATTGTGATATAGTCAAATGACCAAAAAAAAAGTTGCTGTTCATTATTGCAAAAAAAATGTCTAACGAGGTATCATGAACAACGCAGTCCAGGTGCCAGCGTGAGCTAGAGGCGGGTAATCTCCGACGAAATTGCTTTTGCGGCATATCAGCAGGATTCCTGAAGTGGCGATCCAAGGTCAATTTGGCATCTTGGGTGCACTCGAGTGGTATGGGAGTTTCGAACATCCTTCGTTGCACGAACCCGTCTCCCCGGCTATCCATTGGGTCATCTCAATATTGGGAAGCCACCTGGAACCCCATACTTTTGGCCATATAGTCATGTTCTTTGCTGGTGCCCACCTGGTGGGAACAACGGTATTGAAGAGCGCGATGCGTGATTTGTCGTAAAATTGAGGCCATGATCGTTTAGCGAGCTTTGCCAGCCTGGTTGGCAGCCTCTGTATGATGAGTCTATATTAGCATTGATTCGAAAGGCAATTCCGGTCGCAACCCTCATAAATGCTTTAAGACAGGCGATAACATAGACCGATATCGAGAACTCAGCTCGGGGAACGAAGCGCAACTCACCTCGCCGTGTGGCATCCTCCAACAACCCCACGTCAACCTCCGACCGAGGCAACATCACGTAACGAACCACACTGCCTCGGATGAACATGTTCTTCACTGAAGACAAGTGGGGGTACTTGGCCAGATCCAATACTTCGATATCGTCAAGCTTGATGTTTAAGTACTGGTCGACAGATTTCAGGATTCCACGAATGCGGATGTCATTCTTGAGCTCAATGGTGACCGTCTGGTTGGTCAGAGTCTTGAAGAAGCTGCAATGAAGCATATATTAGTATTTACCATTGTGAAATGAGTTTGCGCTTCGCGCCATAGCATACCTGAAGAAAAGCATGGCTGCGGTGGATAAGAAAGCTTGGAGGGGTGCTTCGATGAGAAGACGTGCGCTGGACCAGGGCGGTGATTTGTATTCTGCCGATGCTCAACGATACTGCAGGTTGGATATGAAAGGTTTGGATTAATGAATATCACAAGATTTAAAGACAGGAATGTCGACAGCGCTCGAGAGTTGGTAAGGCAAGGTGCAAAAGAGAAGCCGTCGGAGGTGGTCACGTGCACAACCCCATATAAGCAGCCGATGACTTCGAAGAACTCAACTCTTGGCTATATTTGCTCGAGTGTGGATGACCATAGATCAGAAACTGTTGAACAGATTATGCACACCTGCATCCGCTACACACCCTTCAAACATGCTTTAGCTCATTTTCCCGTTAAACAAGCCTTAAGCCCTATTACGCTCATCTAGTCCTACAATGAACTTGAATATTCACACTGCGGCAACTATGTTCCCTGATTGGATGTTTTGCGTAAAACAGGCTGGCTGAGCGTATCTGACCGCACGAATAGCACCATGGGTCCGTCCATCTATCGAATGCCTATCGCTTTATATCAACAATTGGAGTAAAAAGCCTCACATTGCACTAAACCTAGGGAGATTTGCAACAAGATTCAGGCACGGAGCATTAATATTTGGCAACTTCCAAAACAGTAGCACAGCGTATGGGAGGCCCCGATTCCATGTCGAAGGGCCTTCAATCAATCTACATGATTTCATGTGCATGACTATCGTTTAGTCCAACCCCACTGGCAACCCCGAGGTGTATGCATACTGGAGGATTGAGGAAGGAACAGAATGGAAAGAGATCCGCCTTATCTTGTTCGATAACACTTGTTCCATTAAGGGCTTGTTGAGGCTTTGCAGTAAGGCTGATTTCGACAAGCATCACAAGATGGGTATCAGCATCACGCTTGATGACTACGTATTTGGTATCAACTTGACCCAGGACACTAAGAACTTCCAGGTGGATCAGAATAATCCAAATGCGACGGATTATAAGACATGCGAAAGGAGTATGGCGGGTATCTGGACCATTTCATCCCCAACCAAGATAACGTCCATAGGGGCTCTCAGACTGATTTCCTCGTTGGAATTGATGACCCGCGCATCTGGAGTAAGAATTTTGGTAGTGCAAACGAACCCTAGGATGATGCCTGAGATCTTGACATTGGGTGCCGAGGTTATGTTGGAGCCAAAATGTGTTTACCATGACTCGTTGGACTATAGAAGAAAGCATAATTAGTGTGAGGGATTTGCAGGTTTTGCTTCGAGACACTTCTAGACGTTATAAATCGGTCTTACAAGCTGACACAACCTTGAAATAATCATCGTTCTACAACATCCGTCGGTAGGGAATCCCTGTTTACTAGTAGTCGCAAGTCAGCTTGGTTTATACGGATGATTTATGCTTCAGCACAATGCATATTGTGCCCTTAGTCTGAAACGTAATTGTCGAACCTACATACTTTACACAATATATGCAAAGTCACTCCTAATCTCGGAGGGTGGCCCAAACCATCTATCATGCATTAGCTACATGCGCATGATTCTGATAGAGTGCCAGATATATATTGCAATGTCCTAAGACCGGTGTAACTCTAGACTAGTTGTGGGCGGGGTCTTTTACTTCAGAGAATAGTACTTTGTACCCAAATTATAATTTAACAGAAATTTTCCTAGAGTTATGTATTAATAATTGCCATCTGCACACATCATGATGTTGGGTTCCCATGGCGTTGAGTGATGACTTCTCAACTCCTACAGTAGCGCCAAATTTTGGAAAGTATACCCTGGTAAGAGGGGAAAGTGTATGACAATGGTTCAAACCAACATGGACAAGACTGTACCATTTGTATGCGTTGAACTAGACCCCAGGACTCTACGCGCCTTTAGGGTCACATCGGTGTAAGCAAGGAGGGTAGATGTCAGTAGTACATGGTCACCGATACTAAGAAGAGAGGGGAAAGTGTGACAATGAGGTCAATTAGCACATAATTTCTATTATTATTCCTTGCTAAGAGGCCTTGTACTTCTCTAGCGTGCAGTAGTATAGTATACTATATGTACAGAGTACCAACTATGTTGGACTTGGCAACCATTTCCCCTCTTTGCCCTCATTTTTTTCCCTTCTCTGCCCGATGATCGCCACTTTATCTTACCGACTTTTCTATCATACGACATTAATTATGTTGATTTCCTGCCTGTTTAGGCCTACTTAGGCCTGTTTAGGTGCTAGAAAGGTGCATAATTGATGTTCCATCCACCTCCGAAGGTCACTAATTTGGCTAAAGATAGTAGCCCGGCGCCTACACTCGACCAATCATCAGCCTCTTCACACTGCATCTCACTCTCATCCCACCCCCGGGCGGTTCATCACACTATCTACGAACCTCATTCGTTCATTTTCGCATTTTTGGTTCTCGTTTACTCGATTCTTGCTCAAAAAATGGTCTTGGCTTTGTGCTCACGGGTGACCCCCTGTCCAGCGCGACGCGCCCATTGCCTGACAGCCAATGATATCAATGTCCACTACCCTCCAGACCAGGGTTATTGGATGGATTGTGCCCAATGCTGCAGTAGTCTCTGTAACGGAGTGACTCTTTCTGAAGAGAGATCGGCTGGTCACTGCACATACCCCGTGGCTGGTGGAAAGCGCCCAATTGACTATAAACCCTTCCCAACTGCCACAACTTCTGCGAAGGCTAGCGTTCTTCGTTTCGTTGACTTCATTCTCTTATGCTCGGTGCCTATAGCTCTGGTAGCTCTTGCATCTGTTTTTATTTCTTATTGTTATCTTGTTATCTTGCATTATATCGTTCACTTCACAGACCCGTTGATCGGTGTCACCATTTCCTACGAGTCGAGATACCCATAGATATTCCCGTGAGCGAGTCACGCAAAACCAACATCCAACAGTTTGATCAGGTCTTCAAGATGACCGACACACTCCGCATCTCGACTGTACGATTTCCGCCCCTTCGGCAGGCCCGGGGGACGGTGCTTAATACTATAATGGAGGATACACGCGAATCTCATTTCGCTCAAACAAGTCCCAGAGGCCCAGCCCCTTCCAGACCGACACCGGCAGCTATAAGTCCCAAGTTGAGGTTGCAGACCAGCGGGTTCGCAGTACCAACACACGCCCGGCTCGCTCGCCTAATGTCACCCCTCTCAGCCGGGACTACCTCATCATGCTCAGATACAGAATGGCAGTCTCAGATGCAAGACTTCCGAAAATACGACGACATGTATGATGCCACAGATGATGATAGTGACGACAATGGGACCGAAATTAGCGATTCATGCTTTTCCCCCGATACGCGGCCATCGAGCTTAATTACACCAATCACCCGAAACTCAGTGACCTCAACTGGCAGCCGGAAGCGTCCTCTGAGCTCTCTGACACTTGAGATTCCCGCTTCTACATTGTGGCCGTCAATTAATGGGTCCCTCAAGGGATCTCCAGTGCCACCGACGCCCCCCTCCAAGATCCCAGTTTCGCCAGCAGCGCTGTCGATGCTCAGTCGTTCTGTACCTGCATCATATGCCCCGCCTTCACTGGATGGTAGTATGACTTCGGACCAAGAATCAATAATCAGTGCACTGGCTACACCAGACTCCCAATCTCTGCCAGACACCAACTGGGATGCACATGATATACATGTTCGCCGAGATCTGGACGGAAGTGAAAGCGACCTAGACAATGCAGATGCCAATTCAGATATGCAGACTGTGCCCATTACTATTGAGAACCCACACGAGGATTGGCGTCATGTGCTGGGAAATTTTCCTCGGATTCCCACCGCTACCCAGGCATATTCACCCCCGCTCTCGCCGTCGCCACCTTTTCATCTGAATAGTGAGCCCATTCACGAATATGATGACTTATACGATGCTCCACAGTCTATGGGTCAACGTGACTTTCTGCCTAACCCGGCACTGGCAATGCTACACCACATTCACTTGGATGAGACACCCGACTCGTGGTCCGAGATCTCGGAGGATAAGGGTGAGATGTGGCAACTCCAGGCGCCTCCCACCCGCCCGAGGAGTGCTGACGGGGTCACCCCCGCATCTGAGCTGTCTGGATACAGCTTCAGTGACCTGAGCATTCCATCTCCTGGTGGCTTCTTTGCCTCTTTGGCGCCTCGCGCGCGCCACACATGGTCAATCCCCAATACCAATTATCAACCGTCATCGGCGGCTGCAGAGGGGTTTTACAACCTCCCTTGGCGTCGAGATGAAGGAGAGATTGTGGAGCAGGTAGTGGAGTGGCCTGAGCGCCCTGTTGACGAGGATCCAGTCACAGCGGTTCGTGATGAAGAGGCTCCGCTTACTGCTGTTCGAGTTCCCTGTGACACACCTACTCGTCGGTCTATCTACCAGGATAGCCCCATGAGTGCTGCGTTTGACGCAGTTCAGGTTCAGGAGATCCCCCGTTCTGGGAACGGGTATGAGTATGATGAGTGCTATGATCAAGAGTTGCAGGAGCGTGCAGTTGCAAGCCACGATCGGACCAGTATCTGGCTCTCTGCCCAAGCATCTTACCTCTCTGCTCTTAATGAGACAAATCCCGTGAATGACATTGAGCCTGTCGAATCATTCGAGGGATGTGATGAGGTCGAGGCTGAAGTGAAAGACACCACAGAGGATCCTTCCAAGAAGATGGTGCGATTCGTCGAAGGCGTTCCGGAGTCCCCTAGTCCTCAACCCCCGGTCCTTGCTAGCAAGGATTCAATTTACTGGCAAGGCTTCCAGTCTATTCGGGAACGGTCGACCAAGACCGACGGCTTCATGCACCGCAACATGCGATTCGATGCTGTGCAATCCATGCGCCTCGCCATGAACGACCTTCACATCAACTGCTTGCTGGGCAAGTATGAGCTTGTTCGCCCTGAGCGCCCTGCATACAGGGGTCCTTTCGCCAAGGCACCCCGCAACTCGGTGATTACCACCGAGCTGGCCGAGAAGGCCCAATTCGACAAGGTGGAGAAGGAGCAGCTGGTTCTTGCTCAGTTGTCCCAACCCATGTGGGCCATGGATGCTCTTCGGTCTCTCAATGGCGGCAATCTGCTCACAAGTCCTGCCCGGCGCATTCTTGCACGAGCCCCATCTAAGCCCAAGTCCACGCAGGGACCACGCAAGCGCAGTCTCCGCATCCTGGACCTTGGTGGTCACTCCTCCTGCGACTGGGCGTGGCAAGCCGCGCACGAGTTCCCAAATGTCAAGGTCTACACTGTTGCCTCCAAGGACCAGACCGTAAACAGCGCTATCAAGGGTCCTCCCAACCACCGCCAGGTGACCGTAGCCAACCTCTGGGAGCTGCCCTTCGGCAATAACCAGTTCGATGTCATCTCCGCGCGCTCCTTGCACGCACTTCTGAAGACCGAACGTCCTGCAGGCAAGGACCGCGACGAGTATGACCTCGTTCTGAAGGAATGCATGCGATGCCTCAAGCCAGGCGGCTACCTCGAGTTCCAGGTTCTTGACGCCGAGATCTCGCAGGCCGGGCCGTACGCCAGCGCAACGTCGGTGGAGTTTGCATTCAACCTGCGCAACCGCGGGTACGACCCACTAGCATCCAAGAGCTTCCTTGGTCGTCTCCGTAACAACGGATTCGTCGACACGCAGCGCGCGTGGATGTTCCTCCCGATGGGCACTGAGCCCGTCGAGCAGGAGCCACTGCGCGAGACTCCTGCACCACGTGTGCAAAGCCATATTGAAGATTACGAGGCGGTGCAGGGGCCGATTGGTAGCACTGCGGATATTGCTAGTATGACCGGATTGATTGGAGGGTGGATGTGGGAGCAGTGGTTACTGAAATTGCGAGTGGAGATGGGTCGCGAGCGATCTATGTTGCTTGAGGGTCTTGGTGCGTTGTTCGATGAGGGGAGGAAGAGTGGCGCGGGCTGGACCTGCCTCTCTGGATGGGCTATGAAGCCAAAGCAGAAGAGTTCTGTCTCTTTTTCTAAGGTTGGGTCTATCTAGAGACACTGGTCTATTATTTATGTATTTAGCCTTGGCCCTGGTGGCTCGCAATTAATGTAATCAATGGTTTATGTCTGAGACGTTTTACTTGACTAAATTTCAATATAAAACATCCAATATCAAATATCAAATATCAAACATGAACAAATCGTCCCTTC